CTTCGCTGACGCAGTATGATTAGCGGAAACCCAACTCCTACGATAGCACCGCTTCATTCATGCATGAAGCTGTTTACTACCTGCTTTACACGCAAATTATAGAATATTTGGATAACTAGGGGAAAGAAGATTTGGTAATTTTTCTGATTGCTAGAGCTAGACTGCTTCTGTAGATCGTTATCAACAGCAGGAAAAATTTGTAAAAAAACCACTGGCATTGTTACCAGATAGCTCCAAAATGAAAGTAGTTTTTACAGAAAATTTCTTCTTCACAACTTGTTCCTGCAAAGTTGATAGTGAGCTGCTGTTTTATACTAAGAGCTTTTTTTATGCTGTTACATAATACGTTTCTTGTTCTCTCTCACTCTCTTTCCGAAAAATGTAATCGTGTTCTCTTTCTCGTAAGCAAATCCCAAATCCCACTATTTTCCAGTCTAAAAGACACCTGTGCATAGAGTAAGACTTTGAGAAACTCATGGAGGGAGGAGGGGACAGAATGAGAATTTCGGGAATACTTTATTGGATTTTTGTCCGGTACTAATTGGTTACCATGAGCGTAGCAGAGCATCTTATAAAACAAGCTGAAAGCAAATCAAGACTTCTTAGCAATAACTGTCAGAAAAGAAAGAATTTCAGCATTTACAGCTCTCCAATTTCGGTTTAGCCTTTAGAAATGAGGCAAACTTAATCCAGCGCATTCGCATTCAACGAATTAGGAAATGTTAGTGTAAAATGGGAGAATCATTTTTGTGCATAATATTCGTTTTTATTCGTTTTTGATGTAATACATTATACACGAGTGGCTAAAATATGCAGAAATTTTTATCAAAAAGCAAAAACACAGTGGAATCACCGGTGAAGTATCTGATCAAGTATCTGCACTATGTAAGTTATATGAATTGGATTTCGTGACAAGTACGAATTCACACACAAGTTTGCATGCAGACAACTGAACTCATATAAGCCAAAACTTGATTAATATGACCAAAAGTACTGATCGTGAAGTCACGCAATGCATACTCAATTGTACAAATACCTATTTTCAACGAAGTTGATACGAATGACAACAAATTCTACTCTTACGCATCAATTTTTGAACTACAAGTAGTCTTCCGTAGTAGGCGTTAATCATTCATTGCATGAGACTGGTTCTTTACAAAATTTGAAAAACGTGTGCGACATCATCTCGATAAAAAATATTTTTGTTTATTTCAATGATTTGGCCTCGAAGATGATGTATTAGAGGTGGAAAAGAAGATATGACGAAGGGTGAAGAGGGAGGGGGAGGGGTGGTATGGTTGACTCGCTCATCTGATGGCGATTGGTCCATTGGCATATGGCTCCGCCCGCTTGAGAGTGATTGGCTACTCGGCTCTTTTCACGCTATCCAATCAGCACCCACACCATTCGAAAAATAAAAATAAACGTGATACCCCCTACAAGCTGCGAAATATACCCTTGATTCAAATGGCTTGGCGGGCTTTGTGACCTAATTAAGGCCAGGTAATGATCAGAGAGCATGCGCGTGGGAGAGACGCAGACTGCGTAACGGGCTTAATTAGGTCACAAAGCTCCGCCTTCCAGTCGCCAAGCCATTTGAATAGGTTAGTTCTGGCTGACACTAAAAACATGCTGAATGCAAAAAAAATGCCGTAAAATTTGCGAACGTCACCGATAAGCATGGAAATTCCGAGGACGTGAAATGAGACGTAGGAGTTGAGAAAAAGCTTGGATCTTATTCGTTTTTGCGCTAGTCTCAGTACGGTGCACGTTCCTGATAAAATGCAGAATACATGAACTTTGACAAACAGCCGAGGATTAAAGTGCTAAGCAGCTCTCTCTTCCGCATTTTCTGCGTGATAAAAACCGTAGCAAGCTCCTTATATCTGCTTAGTATTCTAGCTCAATAGCTTACGTAGTTAGTTTTGCTCATAGATTTCAAGGAATGATGAGAGAACTCGTCATAATACAAGGACTGGTGGATGCGATGAAATGCAGTCATCATTGCTACACTCTCACTTGTGTTACCGTATCCTTCTCTATCTCTTTCAGGAAGGAAATTGAGCATATTGCTAAGGTGCTTACTTTGAAAGTACTCTCCTAAAAAGAGAGCAGGCTTAAGAAGGCAAGAAGGAGATGCTCATGCGATGACTTCAAGCAGGCTAGCCAGAATAGTAAAAACCCAATCAGACACGCGTAACTTTCCAGATCTGCTCTTATTGAAGGAAACAATCTTACGATCGTCTCACAGAAAACAATTTCCGACGATAATTCCAAATAAACTTGCTATTTTATTTGCTACTTACAGGGGAAGTCAGGTAACTTATTGTTAAAATCGCTTTGAGATGGGGCACATATATTTGGAATCAGCTTCAAACGCTGTTTTCAAATATGCTGTTCTTAACCGCTAAACTGAAGCGAGTTAACGATTTTTTTCTGTGCAAAATATTCTCTGACCTACTGGCATTACGGTATCATCACCTAAGTGCTAATTTACTATGTTAGGTTTTTTTCAATGACAAGAGATTCAATCTGATATTATCTTAGTATCCCAGCTCCTTTTTGAGGCAGATTTTCATCTACAGGCGGCTTCCCATGTTAAATAATATGCAGATTTCATACAGAAAAAAGCTCATAACTCGCTTAAGAATAACGGACAGCATATTTGGAAACAGCGTTCGAAGCTGATTCCAAATTTATGTGTCTCATCTCAAAACACGAATCTAAGTTACAATTCCCCTGTTAGAGGGCTTCTCAAGGCTTTTGACTAAAAAAATTCAATCTGGTTACTGAACAGCAATAAATTTTATCCGAAGACTAAAACCTAACTTTTTGTCTATGGTATGTGTCGTTCAAGCTTTATTACCTTGGATACTTTCTCATCCAAAGGTTTGAAAATGAAATAGGACGATTGACAAACGATGCTTGCCTAGATTTGTTTCGGAACTCTTGAACACAAAGGCATTCCACAAGAAAGGTCTCAAAAAGTGTGTCTGAATCTTTTAAAATGCAGCTGGAACAGTTCTCTCAAGTAATGAGATATTTAATGGCTTTCTTCTACCAGAATGTTCTTCTTTATGTGACGTGACGCAAGCGCGGTTTACGAGATAAGTATTAGTAGGAGTCGTAATTCTTTTAAAATCAAGTTAAACATTCGTCTTAAGCATTGAGGTACTAATTCGAATGCTTTCTTCCAAAGAAAATGTCCTTTTTGGTGTAATTCAGATAAGAGGAGAACACTTTAATCGCCAAAAAGCAATCCAAAAATCCATTGAAAAGATTGATGAAGTGACGTTTTTTACGTAGAGTACTTAAGCAGATGCAGTTGAATTCTGATAGAAATTCGAATGTTCATTTCGTAGCTTTTTCCAGGAGGAATTGATGGGGAACTGAGGGAACATCTGGAAATCTAACTGTGTCTGGTAACCCAAATTCGCAGAGAGTAATCGGAATCAGTACAGGATGTAAGTTTGGATATAATTTTCGGAAACGAAACAAAGACACGCAACGAAACTAATTAGTGTTCCTTATTCATCAGATACCAAAAAAAAACACTTTTGTTCTGCTTTATAACCGACTTTGTCGCTATTAATCATTTTGATGTTTTCTTCAAGGACTCCTGCTAAATTGAGGACTGAAAAAAAATTCTTTTGAAGAAGATTGGCAGAAAGTATATGCCTGTCTTGTATTTATGCATTCAATGTACATAGCATTAATAATTGCTTTGAAATATAATGCTGGCGTAATGGATAGAAGCCCAAACAAAGAAGTTCTTTCACATAAAAAAAGTACTAATGAATTTTTGACTATTTACCGGGGTATAATAGATCCGCAAATTTTCATGAAGTAGGTTATTAACTGTTGTTTAGTTTAAATAAGCGAAATCCTTCAAATTTTGAGCTATCAAAAGCAAGCAATCACATCGAAAGCTGATATTCCTAGAAAATTAGCCCCAGTTTCAGACCTCAATCAATGCTTTAACAAAATGTTTTGGCCGACATTTTTTTTCGTATTACTTTCAGCATCTCAGAGAATTCGTCTATTTTACTCTCATAAAATCACTAACAAATTAGGTGCACAGTTCCTCCAGTTACTCAAACCGATAGAGTTTCTTCTGTACACTGCCAATACTCCCTCATTTGAAGAGATAATTTTGTAGACTAAAAAGTATGATAGATATAAAGCAGATCGATCCCGATGAAATCTAGGGCTAATGAAGCTTGTGAAGTTAAGCTGAAGCTCAAATTTGCGCACTCTAAATTACTCTAAGATGTAAACAACATGTAATAGCCGCTTACAGTTTTCAGTTCTCAGCATTGAAAATCCAAAGATCTAGTTAATACTATCAACAATTTTGTAATAACTCAATGACCAATGAAGTCATTTCAAATCGAACATGCTATCAAACAATTGAAAGAAGAGTTACCAAAGAAGGGTGAAGAAGAACCCATCTCGACGAACACTGTGAATTTTCTAAAAGCCTTGAAAGGTTTTTTAAACACACTGAACCATTCTCAAATAGCTTGATTGGCTCATTAACATGCATTACACCCTTCAATGCATCAAGCATAGCAGCATATAAACAGCATCTTTGGCTTTTAACGATGTTAAGACTCTTTGCTTCAGCAGATGGGGATTATAAAAAAATTATTCGGAGAAAAGGCTCTAATCTTTTCACACTTTGTGTCATGGAATTGATTAGGGAAGTTAAACGCGACCATAAGATCGGAGCTGTCAGGAACAACTGGAATTTCCTGGAAAATTAGTGAAAATTCATTTTCACCTTCATTCTTTATACTATTATTTATTGGCCTCGTATTAACCCCTTTTATCTTTTTTTCTCCATTCCCCCCCCCCCAAAGACACCTTTTTTTTTGTTCAGCGACTCCATCCATCCTCAGTTACACTACTTTTTGAAGTTTCCGTCTCCTTTCCAGTCGACACATGCAGACTGCGTGACCGTTTCTGTGACGCAAATTTGAGACATAGATGTTTTCTCATGAAAAATAGATTATTTATTTGTCGAGACATGATACTGAAGGGCATACGATGGAATAGATAGAACAAAAATATAAAATTCGTCTAGAAGATGCCACTCTAGCATTTCTCCCTCTCGCCATGGACGTTGATGTCGAGTGTGACGTAGGTCATGTCGTAGAGGCCTCCGATCTTCGACTGAGGAACGATGTAGTCTCCGATACGTGTGCAACCCTAAATTTTTATAATTTTTGACAAAAAATGAGATTAGTAAAATTCTGGAAAGATTATGATAGTGAGGGGCCATTGAGTTATCTGTTGCTCGCAATTTTAGGTAGTTTTAGGTATTCATGAATTTGTTGAAATTATTTATGTGGAAAAAGACTGAGTTAAGCAGCTTCAAAACATTGGCTTGTTCCTTGCAAATTTCTAAGCTTCTTCTTGCAAAAACTTTTTTTGAAATTCATTTCTCTCTTGCAACAGCTCACAATCAATCAAACTAACACTATGCAGCATTCTGATCGCAGCCGTACATTTGAGAAATAACATCTTTGACAAAAAGACACCCTCAAAAACCACGACAAAAAATATTTCTGGTTTGGCTGAGTCTGCTATAATGCATGTGAAGCGCTTTTTGTCAAAGATGTTATTTCTCAAAAGTATGACTGCAATCAGTTTCTGTATATGGTCTGGGTAATCTCAACAAATCATCCTTTTTTGGTGTCTGCAGCCCCAATATGAGTCCTTCCGGGATTATATGACTGTCATATCAGGAAAAAAGCGATGTCTTTTGCAACATAGCAGTTAGGGGAAGAATCACCAGTCAAAAGGGGATGAAATCGGGCAATTTATTTTTTAGTATCGAACCCTTAGGCTAACCGGGTACCTAGACTTCTTATCTAGAAACGCCACTGATGACTTTAACAGCGCCGTTATCCTGGGCAGTCCAAGTGATTTGTTTTATGAAGTTAGGAAGAAGGAGGGAAATTGGACTTTAAACTCAAACTCTTAAGGCACTCTTAATTGGTCCTATACGGAAGGGCACGGTTTGCACAATACCCTGGACTTGGATTCTAAGTACGAATAAATGTCGTCAAACTGACACTTGTTTTCAGAAGCAGCCGCATCGCACCCGCACGCGCCATGAATCAGCGTACAGGTGGAGCAAAACCTGGCGTTGAGTGTTGAGGAAGTTTTTTTCCGATGGTTTTATCCTTATAAAGTTCAAATCTCAGGAATTCGCAAGTAGAAACAGTTTCATTACTCATGTTGCACTTACAGAATTCAGCGACTCTCGGAAAGTCCCCCCACCCCACCCTCCATCCGCTCCGTCAGATAGTGTTACTAGCATCTTTTTGAGTTATATGAAACCCGACTGGTAACCTCACATATGGTAAAGGCAGCCTGCCTCACTTTCTTTTGTACTTCCAACTATGTATGACTGAGCTAGGTGAGCTAGCGTTTGGTTAAAATTGCGAATAAAACGAATAAATCAAAACTCCGACTTACCGGCTTCGCCATGCAGTTGTGTGTAAGACGAATAAAGGGTTCAATGCTGCCGACCTGGAAAATTTGACTCAGGATATATTTCTACTAAATTATGTTTTGAATCCATACCTCGTCTTCCTGTCCGAACAGCTCGAACTCTCCTTCGGCATTGGTGTGCATCTCGGCTAGGAGATCATTGGGGTCCACTGAAAACATCAGTATGAGTCACTTATTTGGTTAGAAGTGCATAAATTGGGTAATTGAACTTACAGGTATCCTTATCATAAAGTTCCACATGGACATTGGCCAATCGCTTCTTGTTGCATACGGTAACACCTTTTACGGTAACGTTCTGCATTTTTGCGGAAACCGAGATACAGTAGAGGCCGAGGGCGATGAGGAGTGCCAGAGAGCGCATGGTCTGAGCGATGTACCTTTAGAAGGAAAAAGTTTGCAAAAAACGATAGATTCTTTATATGCCAAGAAAATTTGCAAGACGAAAAGAGACTTTTGAGCAAACCGATTTTCATGATGAAAAAAAACGAAAATTCAAGAGCTTTCGGTGGGACAAAGATTATCGACGCAATCTCGCCAACTAGCTGGCAGAGGCTTCTTATACCGAGGTGGATTTAATGGCAGCAGCTGCTTTGCTGTCTGTGAACGACGATTGGTCAAAACATTGGCATCGATCTCTCACGCATTTCTGCGGACAATCTTCATTCGATGATACTCTTCGATAGCAGTTGCTGTGCCGAGCGACAGATGAAACATGCACGGTTCGTGCGCTCTGATACGAATCCGATAAATCTCACTGAGAAAGCTGAGCATACCTGAGCCGATCAAAGACCAAACGGAAAACGTAGTGAGGTCTGAGTGGAGCTACACAACGATGCTCGATTTCCCAATCCATAACGTATAGTTCTAGAATAGGAAATCGAGAAAACCGGATTGACGTACTGGTTGCGAGCACATATCCTTGCGCCTGTATGGGATATAAGAGTCTGCGTCAGAGTAGAAACTGTTTGAGAGTTTTTTTTGAGTTGTTTTAGCTCCAGTCTGTCAAAGTTGAGTATAATCTCACGCCAGCCTGTCCATATTTGAACCACACTCGGGATAAATCTTAACATGCACAGAGATCATGGAATTGTCTCATTGCATTTGCAAACCTTAAAGGCAGCGTCCGGGCAAAATTTCGAATGAGATTTTTTTCGCTTACCTGAGCTTATTCCTCCCGCTGATTCTGAAAATGCAGCTTGGAGGGCACGAAAACGCCGAAAACGGGCTTTTCCAGGAGCTCTTGATTTGAATTTTGTCGCCTGCCGCCAAGGTTAAGACGCAGAGTCTTTCTGGGACCCTACGTCTTGACTGTGTGCGGTATGCGCGCTCTGACCTATCTTACTAACTCGTCCCGGTCGCCGGGGCGTTCCGCTCGCCACTTCTGAAGCGGATTTCTCGCTTCAGAAGCAAATTGGTTCATTGCCAGTTGGGCAAGAGCCTTGCCAGGACGGGCGCCCCTGTGCTCTACATTTTCGTATCTGCCCGGACGCTGCCTTTGATTTTAGGTTATGCTATAACTTTCTGGAAAATTACAACCCGGATGACTCGAGAAATACTGGGAATCCACTCAGGTACACAACGAGATCAGGACTCAAAATAATCAGATTAATATCCCCGTCAGTAAGTCAAAAAATCTCGTAATGCAATCGTAACCACTTTATCTGCAGCCTACCCAAACCTAGAAACTTTTGCTTACTTTATTCTCTGTGTTCTCGGTACTCTTGTTCAAAACTTCCATGCAACATTGCCCATTCTCAGTCTTAATAATATCATCTATCAAAATATCTTGTCCTAACCAGCGCTGATTCGTTCAAGATGAGAATGACAGTATTTTAGGTATGGCCTTGATTAATAGATCTCTTTCTTCACCAGCATCCATATCTTTTACTTCAGAGCGTACATATGTGATGAAAGTTTGTTTAGTCGCTTTTATCTGATCGCCAGAACATTTCTTGCCTCTCTTATTGATACAATCACAAACACTCTCATAATTTGTAGGATGCCATCCAAATAAGATAATGTTTTATTCAAAGATATTTACAGATAATATAGTAATCTCTGGTGATATGAGCATTTAAAGGCATAATTTGGGAAGCAGCATCGTGATTAAGAGCATTTTTCCTTCTCTCCATGAACGACGATGTCCAAGGTGACATAGGTCATGTCGTAAACTCCACCGATCTTGTCATGAGGTACATTGTAGTCACTGATGCGCACACATCCCTGGAAAAGAATTTTATCGTAAAATTTGTATTGTAGAATAGTACATATTGTAATATTTTTCAGGAATCCGAGTTTTGATCGCTTTGGCCATCTTTTTTTGTCAAATGACTAGTGACTAGCAACTGTTTCGATAACTTTCTGTACCAAGAAAAAAAAAGCGCCTTGATCGATAGTTCGAGAGTGAGCCATTTCAGAAAAACACTTGTTTCGGGGCATTTCATCAATGAGTACGTACAAAATTTTTCTTACATCGTTAAAGAATTATAATTTTTTTACATACGCGATAATCTGCAGTCAATCATTAATCCTATCTTCTTTCAGTAAATACGTTTTCCAAAATTCTACAAAAGCTCCACAAAATTCGAAACCGTATGCATCTACACGAAAAATTCGGGGCATCAAAAAGTATAAATCGAGCTGAGAAAAAGGACTCTATAGGGGCAATTTTTGAACCGAGCAATGTAGATAAATTAACTTACAGGCTTAGCATTGCAGCTGTGATGAATGCGGATGAAGGGCTCAATGCTACCAACCTAAAACATTAATATTCAATAATATAAATAATAACTTTGTGGTAGATTGCCCACAATTCCTCGGATCTTAGTGACGGTTTTACATCGCTCATGTTAAATTCACCTCATCTTCCTCGCCATACAGCTGAAATTCGCCTTCTTTGTTGGTATGCACTTCAGCCAAGAGATCGTTGGGGTCCACTATAAATGAAATTTCACCCTTTTTTAAGAGATTTCTATGCTCTGCTTACATGTATCCCTATCAAACAGCTGGACACGTTGGTTGGCTAGTCTCTTCTTTTGGCAAACAGCCACACCAGTTACAGTAACATTTTGAAGTTTAGCGGAGACTGATAAGGCACAAAAGGCGAACAAGGCGAGGGCAAGAAGGCACTTCATCTGAAAGACAAGAAGGGGTGTATTTTTGTTTAGTGAAAGAATTTCAGATGAGTGGAGGACCAAATGAAACAAAAGGGAAGCAAGAGCTCTAAAAATATGATTTCGAAAATTTTTTTGCCATGAAGCGAAGGCTCAAGACCGGCACGAAAAGTCTGTGAAGAAGGCTGAAAGTGCTAAACGCCTTGCTTATATGTTGCACTTTGTAGGCGTGGCATTTTGCGCACTGACAAATGATGGTCCTCTGAATGCTCCGCAACTGTTGTGCCCAGATGCTGTAAGCGGCCGTGGATCATGTGAAAGGTGGCAAGACCGGAGACCGTAGATATTCATGATGTTGATGTGTTCAGATCAAAGACCCTTCTGAGTCAGCGGCGATCCCACGGGGGCGATAATGGATATGTTTATCTATTTCTGTTCGCAGGATATACGCATGGCAGAATGAGAATGTAAAAGACTTCTAAAGACTCAAAAAAACCTGAAAAGAAATTCTATGTAGGACCACAATAATTGACTATAGCCATGGATGTGTTTCATCTCTGACACTTTATTAGGCAAACTGTGAAGTGTCCGCGATCGCCTCAAAAGTTGAAAATTGTTTGATTGAACATTTTTTAAAATAAAATCTGCTTGCTTGACTTGAACTTCTCACAACGAAATTGCACTATGCGATGAATTAGTGTTCAATAACGAACTAGCGGCTGACCCTTCTGATACTTGACATTCTCATATTTGGGCTTATAAAGAGAATGCTGCTTTTTATTGGTAGAATAGAAGTTTTTGTACAGTGCACAGTGACAACTTCATAGCATCTTATATACAAAGCTAAATGTCTCTTTGTCCGTCGATCTGCCTGCTCATACCTTGTTACTTTTCCAATCTCTCTTTCCTTAACTCTGAATCAAAGTTCCTATTGTGATCAATCGAAGTCTTGACCTATGATTACTGCAATCTTCAATAATGAGCCTAATCCGCTACGTTTACAATCCAGATTTTTACTAAATTGTCAGCTTGAACCTGATTGCACTTCGCCCAAGTCTTCCTCATAATTTTTTGATAAATTCACATTTCTAGAACAAAATGGGCGATCTCTTCTCAAAGAATAGCGACATTTTCTGACAGAGATCCTTTAGAAACTTCATAATTAAGATTCTTTGTAGGTTTGAAAAACGCGATTATTCACCACTTTCTGTCTGAATTCCCATTTTCTCAAAGTACATAAATATAAATTTTCGATAGTTATTTGCTGTAGTAGCTAGCCTCGGTCACCGATTAATCCCGGCTGTGGACGGACCTTGATCTCATATAACCTTCATGACTCAGTGCCAAATGAAAATGAGGTTGGTTCACTGTTAATGCTGAATCATTCAACTTCTGTCTAGTGCGGTATTTATGTTCCTGCTCCTTGCCACTTTGCCCTTGGGCGTTAGCAATGAATGTAAACATGAGGGCAAAAATATACACTGGGCTGGGACCGATATATTTTCGAATGCTTTTTGTTTTTTTCCTGTTTTTCACAGTTTCTTAAAAGGAGAAATTATTTTGCGGTATTTGTTCTCTTGCTCAATAATCTTTCAGAACAATATGGAATGAATAGAAGCATACCAAGTTTTAGGAAAGGCTAGAGTATTCAAGCAAAAAGTTACGGCAAAATTTGATAAAAGTCGTATGAAGGGAAGTCAAAATATTCTTTGTCATAACAAATAACAACTTTTTGAGAAGAGCATTGAAAATATGACAGTAGTACCGAGACATATGCACGATAATTTACTTTCAAACTACGCATTTTTACTCAATGACCTGAAATGAGGACTTTTTGCACATGATCAGGCAACTTTGAGCTGAGGCCTTCCAAAACATGTGAGCTCTCGCAAAGCTGAAGACTCAAACATTGTAGAACTGTCCAAAAATAATCCAATATATTATGCATCCAAAGTACTCACAGAATGCGCAAAATTTCCGTGAATGCAATTCCGGGAATTTCGCGAAATCCACGGAAATTTTTGCACATTCCGTGAGCGGTATTGTACATTCACTTCCAAAACTTCGTTAGATTTCCGAGCTGCGATTCCTCCAGAAGTAAGTGAGCAATAAGCAAATCTTACTTATACCAACGAAGTTCTGACTTTTGCTCTTGGAAAAAAGCCGCTCAACAATTCCATTTGAAGGCAAAGTGTTTGTATTTGCACAAATGTTGGGTAAAGTCTAATTTTTCAGATCGTCATTTATACAAATGCCAAAACCCTCTAGGAATTTCGATTTCTTGGTCGGTCATCAATAAACAAAGGGTTTGAGCTACATAATTTTGAACTTTTGCCCTGCTAGCACCTTCACTTCCTCACGTCTCACTGTGAGTCACAATTAAATTGCACTGCAGCGTTGTGCCAGCTTGTTTAACACTCTCGGCTGAGATCTATGTGTTTATCAGAATTCGCCAAGCAAGTGACATACGTTTCGTACAACGCACGAACATGCGTAGTCGAGGTATTGTTGGATTTTCATTGAAAGAGTATGGGGTGGAGATTGAAGGGGAGATCGAGTTCAGACTCTGCGAATGAAGCGGAACACAGATGTTGATGGAGCAATCTAGTGCCATATTTCTAGTTTATCAAGCTTTCTGGAGCATTGGTAACCTTTGATTCAACTGGATTGGCGGCTGGAGGCGGGATTTGCGACCAAGTTAAGGCCGCTCGCGCGCGCGACGCAGTCTGCGTTTCTCCCGCGCGCTGCTCTCTGATCATTACTCTAGCCTTAATTGGGTCACGTAGCCCCGCCTTCCAGCCGCCAAAATTGTTGAATCAAGGGATAACTATGAATCAGTGCTGTTATGATATCTTGAAAAACTAACATCGGTTTGATATTACATTTTCGGATACAGCTTTTCCTTGCAGATCTTTTTCGAGAGACTATCGCATCAGTTTATTCTGTCATCCGCTTGTAGAAGGTTTTTTTAAGGGGGAATAGAATCTTTATTTACAAAATATTCAGTCAGAGAAATTCTTCAAATGATGGTTTCATCCTTGAACAAAAATTTGAGATCGTTCTGCAAGAAATGTGCCAGTGTAATTGCAGTTTGTCGAGTGGCAGCTTGCCAACGTGGATCCTCTTTCGGGGCTGTTACCTTAAGGGAATTATGAGAAATCGTAGATAGTTGAAGTAAAAAAGAAAAAGGCGCATTTTAAGTCTCTTCTAAAATCTATCAGCAATAAAATTGTAAATTTTTAAAGCATACAAAGGCATGTCTTTGCGCTACATACATAAAAAATTTTCAAGGTAGGTCCCCAGAGTTGAAAAGAAAATCTAATGCGAAAATTTGATGGTACTTAAGCCTTGATTCAACTGGCTTGGCGTGGAAGGCGGGACTTTGTGACCTGGTTAGGGCCGCACACGCCCGCGACGTAGTCTACGTCTCTCTCGCGCGCGTGCTCTCTGATCATTACCTAGCTTTAATTAGGTCACGAAGCCCCGCCTTCTAGCCGCCAAGACAGTTAAATCAAAGCGTATTCTCAGAATATCTTCGAAGACATTCTTTTCACGCGTAAATGGGAAGGGGATATACGAGACCATACGCCTTCCTAGCAAGGCTTGTTGATGCGAAATTTAAAGACATTATTAGACGTCACTATCCACCATGACCCACGAATAACTCGTTTTCTTGCACAGCGTACAGAATCACTTTTTACCTTGAATGCTTCATCAGGCAAATCCAAGTACATAAATCGGTGTATCCTCACCAACTCTAACCACTGTTTTTTGGCGTCCGAAACTGCAAAAACGAATTTGACCAGTTCGAGCCTCAAAGAATAAGCACAGCATACCTGTGATCTCAAACAGATCGGCTATAACTTCCCATGCTTTCTCAGCATCCTTCGCATTGTAGTCTTCATAAACTTCCGGATGAATCTGGACAGCCTTCACGAAATCGGGCAAAAGTTCATGATGCAAGGTCATCTGCAGTTGTTTGTGGTATTTCTAGGTTATTCTAGTTTTTTGGAGCAAGGTCTGGAATCGCGGAAAATATACTAGAAGATATTGTAGCAAGGTTAAAAAGGAAGAAATTCTAACTTATTTGATTTGAGGTGCATGAGCTTGTGACTTGCAAATATGGGGCTGCGTCTCCTACTTCCTGAACTAATTAGTATCAAAATCATTAGTTGCTTTTCGTACCTATCCTGTGGAGGTTTTAGCACTCATATGATATTTCTTTTTTACTAGTAGGATGGAGCGATTTCCGGCCGATTTCCTTGTTTGTTTTATAAATTGTAAAAAGTGCGACAAAAATGTTGACTAGTAAATGTTCTAAACAAATTCAGAACCTGCCTTTCGAGCTCGCGAGTTAAAAGCTGTATATTAAAACAAAATGTTGGGTTATCTATGCTTGCAATGAAAATACTTATAACATTACTTACAGATTTAGAAAAGCTCTTTACTGTTTAATAATACAATGCTGTTAAAGTCAATGTATTTGCAGTACATTTTATAAATAAGGAGAAAATCATTTTATAAACTAAGGAGAAAATTTGCCAACAATCGCAGAAGATAGAAATAAAATGTCAAAAATCATGAGTGCACAATGTCAAAAATTATGAGTACATTAGGGACATTTAAGCAGTATAATTCCTTCAAATAGAAAAGATTTACTACGCCAAAGGCAAAGCCAGAATAATTTGAACCCTCAAGCCTATTTAGCAATATAATTTCACAGAAAGTGTGTATGTGAGTGCTGTCTTTCATCAGTTTCTGCCTCAAAAAGCTATAAGAAGTCAAGACTTCCCAAGCTTTTCAAACGAAATAAATCGTTGAAAAAGAAATAACGGATTTATGATAAATTATTGCATGATTTTTGAGAATTCAACAGAATGTAGCGGTTTAAGCATGCTATTAATATTTATATTTATAATGTATGGCTTGCTAACGATCGTGCACTTTCGTTTAAAATTGATTGGTGATAAAATTCACATGATTTCAGTGTGCAGTGTTTCAGAAGGACGCACTTGCTCCTCAAACTTGATTTTAAAAATTTGTGGGAAGATTCAACTCTCAAGGCGGACTACATGAGAAATGGAAAGATAGTCAGGTTAAACATTTTCATCTGCCTGTTCGGATCTAACGGGGAGCGGGACCTTGCAATGTGAGAAAAAAGAGCCTTGCAAGACGAATAAAGCACTTTTTAGTGCAGACGAAATCTCTGAAGCATCCTTGGTATGGATAAGAAACGAATGTGAGAGGCACTTGAAGCGCTCGGCTCCTCTAAAAGAGAGTGCATTCAACTTAGGAATGAGCGCTGTCTGCAAAACTCTTAGTTTTGAGCGCTTTGTCTATGTATTAATTGCCTGAGGGCAAACACATCTCAGCATTCACAAAAACTCACTTCCGGTACTTTCATAATCCTAGGCAGAGAAGCCATGAGAAGCTTAGCAGAATGAATTCTCTCCAACCATCTCAAGGCCTCTCTCGCCTCATAAAGAAATGCAGAGAAATGAGAGACTCTCCGAGATGTACATAATTGAGCAATGTCACAATGGCCAAAGCTAACTAATGGCTTGCGCACAAAAAATACAAAGTAGCAAAGAATTCCATTCCTTAGAAGGTCTAAGCAAATGGCATTACTGTTGAGCCTATGCGTCGAGAGCTTTCCAATAACGCATAGAACTGCACTAAATATGTCCAGAACTTGGCCTAAAAAATTGAAAAATGCCAAGCTTATAGGCTAGTAAGTCGTTACTCTTATCTGACTTCATTCGTTACGGCAAAAAGAAAGACCTGAACAGCTTTTGCAAACGTGAAAAAAATCTGCAGGTTAGTCCTCGCATGATTTTTTTAATGTCGGAATCCACCGGACCCACCGGAATCCCACTGGGTGAAGTTTTTTTGGCACTTGGCCAAGATTCAAAAAGCTAGTAATTCATTTTATGCAATAATTATCTCTGAGTATGTCAAGAAATTTTCTAGACTAGCATATCTTCAAAGATGCTGTCGATTTGAATTTGCTTCTGCGAGGAACTTTGTAAAAATTTAGTAGGGAGTTGCATGGTAGAGAAACGTTGGTATCATTATAAAAGCATATAGTGTTTCTCTTAAATGCCAAAAAGAGATGGGGAAGCAAATCCCAGAAAAATTACATGTTGACTTTTAAGGCAATTACCATGACAGCAATGCAGATAAATCATTTGTATAATTTCTGAGAACAAGCTGTTAGGTTAGCAAAAATAAATAATTGTTCTGTTTTGAAGCTTGTAGAATGTTACAGACCAAATGTGGGTATCATTGGATTGAAATCAATGAGAATAAGAATCACCCGTTTATTGTCAAAAATCAGAAAAGTAATTTTTTGTAGGCTAGCCATATGAGGAACGATTCTCATTAGGACTTTCTCACTAGGAGAAACTAATGTGACTCTAATCAAGGTGACAGTGAAAGTCTAATAATGGCTTCAAATAAGAATCCAGCTTACCAGCTCAAAGTTTTGGCGAATTTCTTATTCGCATGTTAGAAGCAAGCTATTTACTAGATTAATTAGATTGTTCAACCTAGTACATAGCATAAAGCTGCCATTAATGACTGTACTAAGCATCTGTAAGGCTGCCTGACAGTCATTCAAATGATCTTCATTTATATTAGAAAACTTATCATGAGTGAATCATAGAGGTTGGATGATGAATCTAGAAAATCAACTAAACAAATATGTGAAACGACAGTAGAGCAGAGAGTACACTCTACTGAGAAACAACGCGATTGAGCGCTCACAGAACAGGCAGAAGTTGGATCGCCGCGCCTCTTTTTCTATATTCAGTATTGATGACATGAATTATATCGAAGATTCTTCGCCTATTAGTTTTTTCTGATTCCAGACCAGGTCACCCAACGTTTCAAATGACAACCTTATCCGATTGACTCGCATGGGGCGAAACGGAGATCGTTTAGTGAACAATCCGAGAAACATATAACGCAGTTGTAACAGGAAAATTATGGCTCTTGCTAGTTTTATTGAATAAAAACATAAGTTTTGCACCATAATATAAACATATTCTTCCACTTTCAAAAAATTTGCATTTATCATATTTTTGGAAAATTCGAAGTTTCTAATGACACTAAAAGCATATAGTTCAATTTTAAAATCGTGATGACGGATTTGACTGCCCACAGGAGCATAAAACGCTCATACAAGAAGGCACACCTCAACGTTCAGCTCAGTCACTTCCAGTGTTTAAATGTTATAATACATAAGCAAAAGGAACATTGAACTAAAGATGAAGACCAAGAAAATGCGATTTCTGTAAGTGGCGTGCATGTCGCGCGCGGTCGCGCCATCGTCACGATTTTTCAAATGCCCTATACATTATTTGCAAATCATGACTACGCAAGACGATAATGAAAAAACTCAACTTCATTTTGAAAATCGTAAATGCGAAAAGTTTCGTTCTGACTGGGATGTCGTGCTGTCCGGGTGTCTCTACAATATACCGCTTTTGCAATTTTTTTCTGACTTTAAACAAAAAATGTATATCGTAACCTGGAACATGTATTACATGCGACAAAAATGTGACTTGAATCAAATTTAGGAAATGTTTGAAAATCGTTTTGCATACATTGCTCAACTTTTGGACAATCAATGCAAGACTTACATATGTTTCAACCTACCATCAGAAAGCCCGTTGCTTTAGTTCGTGATTCATTATATATACTCAGCTTAAGGATATTTGAATATTATGTTCAGAATTTATATAAAAGCATAAGTAAAGGAAAAAAGTTTAAATTTAGAAAAAAATGATCTAACGGTCTGCTTGTGGGCAATTCACAAAAATATAAATCTCTATCAATTCTAAATATTGCAATTTCAGACCTTTGTAGGACTGTAAAAATTCAGCGACTTCCAGCATAGGTAATGTTCTCCTACTTGCACTCATAGTGGTGTAATATTAGGCTGTCCCATAAGTCTTTTCATATCTGTGAAATTCGGTTCACCTCAATTTAGTCTAAAGCTTAAACTACCATTCTTGAGAGCAACGCAAGCTCTACTGACCTTCAAAAGCTCGCAAAAGGTTTGATATAAGTGAAGTTTGAAACTGATATTCAGAAATTTTTATCCAAACGCCCGAAAATTCGAATCTCAGCCCAGAAACATTCTGCGGACCTCAAACTCGTCAGGTATATAATCACATCAGACATTTATGTTTACATCTGCTGAATTTTTCCATGGCTAAAAATCGAAAAACAAAAAAAGAAACAAAAGACTCAGAAATTATCGCCTTTTCTGGGTTAATTATGTTAAATTCGTTATTTCTCAAAAAGTAAAGCGCATAAGAATAATTCATAGTAGTGCTTACAAAGAATTATACTATAGATCTGTCTGTGTAGGAACAGCCCAGCATAGGTTTTACGAAAACATGCAAGTCCTTATTTTTTCGATTTATAGATAAAAATTCAGGTTTTGTGTATGAATGTTTGATGTGGAAATATCCTAGAACAACTTAGAAGTTTGCAGGATTTTTTTGGACGGAGATTTGAGTCTTTTTCAAGCTTTTGGGCATGTGGATCTTTTTGGATTTGGGATTCAGACTTTGTGTGGATCACGTTTGGTGTGGATGCTTGAACTTCATCATATAGAGATTGCTCTGCTCTATTGAAAGGTACCCCGATTGCCATGAGAGGTTTACGAAGAAAGAGCTTATGGCAGTAAAGAACCAAATATAAAAAGATTTATGGGAAAACCTAATAATTCTAGAACTATGTAAAGAAGAGAACAAAGTGTCTTTGAGAGTGTATGTGGCACATAAACCCAGCATGACAGAATCCCAATTTAGAATAGCTTTTATACGATTTCCAACGACTCGTTGACGATCGCTTTCTGTCATACCAAAAATTCTGTGAGTCGTACGAGGATAATTGGCACAAATATTCTTGACTCGCAGTTGGACTAAACGTATTCGCACTATATCCACAGTCACAAAAACTTTTTTTTTGGAAAAAATAAATCTGCCGAAGGAAGCAGTTTGTAAGAACTTTCGTTTCTTGCAACATTTCTAAGGCACAGATGTGTGTGAGCCATAAGCTTCAACGACAGTTTTAGTGCCATTTTGGTGACATAAAGCAGATGTCGTGAAGGGAATGAAACTCAAGTGACACTCTACTGGGGGACTTTTTATTGTGCTGTAAAAATCGATGTTTCCTTGCATGTTTCCTGGTTTTCAAAAAAATTATAATCCTTTGAGAAATTTCTCAGAAATGGCATGGAATCCGCTATGATTATTGCTATTGTGCAAGTCATCATAAAAAGCTCCAAGCATTTCAATCCTGAAAAGGAAATAGCTAAAGAGATTTTGAATACATTAAATTGTTTGCTTCCCTAGCAGAAATAGGAACCCAACTGCCTAAAAATCGTATCCTTTCGGAAAATTCCTACAGACCTTAACGTAGTATGACTGCAGTATAATCAAAGTAGTATTCATGAATATCTTTGAGTTATTCTGCAGCTTCAAAATTCAGAAACAAAAATAGTCCCAAAGTCATAATGCCACTGCTTTTTGGGTTTTTTATTTTAAAATTAGTATTTCTCGATTATGAGCGCACATATAGTGACATACTTCTTTGTATTCATTGAGACTTGTAGCAGACAACCACATATGTGGGAGGAGCCGAGGGCGGAGTTTGCCATTTTTAGACTTTCTTCTTTTTCTCAATTTCTATGCGCGGATAAAATTCCGCAACTGCACTTATGAATACTACTATCTATCTTCTCTATAACGACTAAATTGAAGCTTCGTACGATTCTTTTTCTTGAAAAAATCCTCAGGTGACAAAAGCTTATTTTAGATTTTGGCTCCAAACTTTATCGGTTATGACTTAGATAATTCTCTAGTGATCATTTCGTGGAGCTTGTTTTGCTCTAGCGAATGGTACCCCAAGCCCACTAAGAAAACAAAAGCCTTTAAACAAAAAAAACTATCTACTTTTGGGATAACCTAATAAGTTTCACAAGTGAATTACACCACTGAAGTCATGATGATCCAAATATGGGGATGTAAAAACAGAGTTACAACTTTTTTAACAAGAGATGATATTTTCAGCTCCAGTGCTAACAGAATTCTTAGCGAAAAAAGAAGTCGATAGACGCCCTTAAACTGCGGAAGAGCGTCATGTTGTTGACATTGACGCTGAAATTCCTTTAAAAGGAAACACATAGAGAGAGAGGGATGGGTCTCTCTTAGCAAATAGCCTGGCTGAGTGAAGAAGAATGGCATCGTGAGTCAGATGCAAAGAAAACCGCCTTCACTCCACTCTGCAATTTTAAGATGATTCCGGAGAAATGGGCTGCCGCACTTTTTGCACTGAAGCCATTTGGAAGGTTTTAGAGGACAGAATCAAATCTTTATGAGCTCGACATTTGAAATCCGTAAAGTGCGGAAAACGCCTATTTGAAAGAGCGAAATCGAGACGAAGCGAAAAAAATAACTAATGCCTTTCTTTCAATCTAACCGCTCTCGCCGTTTCCCACCAGATATTTGTAGATATGTAATTGTCAAAAAATCTAATTTAGGACTGCCAAGTGAGCGAAAATTTTAGCACTCCAGTTTTCCAACATTTTTTTTAGTATATGAAGTAAAGAGAGAAACGTATGAGCAAAAAATGGAGTTACTTAAACACTACGTGTCAGCTCGCAGCTAAAGGTAAATAAAACTGGTGTAGCATTATCGGAACACTTGAAAAAGTCCGAGGGTTGGTATCTGCAAATAAAAGCGAGAAAGAAATGTGAGCGAAAAAATGCTGCAATGCTATCGATAAAAATCTATTTTCTTGAAATCTTCAGACTACCCACTAAAGGTAAGTTCGCTAAAAGCTTGGATTTTTGATTTCAAAATTATTTAATTTCCATCATACTACTGTACAAGAAAATAGAGCTTGATGTGCATCAGCCGAAGCTCTTGAAAAGGTCTTTCGAATAGTCTATAGAACTTTGAGGATATGCGGATTTTACCGCATGAAAGAGCTGAACAGAAAAGTGATGTGAAATGCAAAGCTACAGTTGGATTCGGTCAAAAAATTTGACGTCAGTGGAAAAGCTCTCCAAGAGCTTCGAAAGTGACATTCGGAAACCCGTTCTTCTAGCTATTTTGCAAAAGCTGGATGATTTCAAAGTAAACAATTCTCCTCATGTATTACTAAAACTAGTACTGATTCCCTATCAAAAATGATCCTGATTCTACTTTCTAACAAGAAAAAATCGTATTTGAAATCTTCTGATGGTAGATTCTTGCAAACACTTTTTCAGCAAAATATACCGATCTGTGGAAACTAATAAATTATGACTGATGATGGAATCAGTATGACAAAATACACAGAATTCGCAAAAAAAAATCAGTTTATCCGGATTGGCTAGCCACTTAAGAAGTTGTCTCAGTTTTAGTGACAGAAATTGCACAAAAAATATTTCCACCTCATTCGGCGCGCATATGACGCTATCTTAAAATTTTAAATGATTCCTGAAAACCAAGAATTTGTTACTGTGCATCTTCTAAAGAAAACTTCCATTCTAGATTTATGACAGTGAATCAAAAGAGATATTATGCGCTGAGAGCACTTGACCAGCACCACATAGGTGATCTCAACAGGTAGCCTTTAGCAAACGTAAAAAGCGCCATTTTTCTTGCGAGCGCTTGAATTTCAACGCAAACACGAGATTGAAAGGAGCTTGAAGAATCCCGTTGATGTCTTACTTTTTGACATTACCATGGCCACGCCAAGGAATGAGGACAAGTTACGAGCAACGGAACAAAAAGGAATATGATTGGCATGTCTGATTGATAGCGTAATGCAACGCAAAACGAAGCGTAGCTGATTTGACGATGCGCAATGCGTAATGGCTCTGGTTCAAGAGCTACGGCGATTGTTTTAGTACTATAATGGAAACGCATTCCATTAGAGCCGCATTTCAATTCGTGCGCCAAACTGCAGTGATTACGCATTGTCTTTTTATGACTAATCGCTGCAATTGTTGCAAAATCGAACCAAAACGAGGCTCTTCCATAAAATGTTACGCATTCCACTCAGTTCTACTCTCCTCGCAAATCTCAGCAAGCAACGCATTTTATCTGCGTACCTTGCAAAATTTGAATTAGAAGATCTTTTATATATAATGTAGCGGTAAAACCAAAACCAATCACAGAAAAAGAAAAATAAAAACAGCAAACAAAAAAAAGATCATTCCCTAACGCTGGCTAAATTATCTATCAGTGTTTCGTAGACTTTCACTCCTCGTAAAAAGACATTTTCATTCAGGTATTCATCGTGGTCGTGCAGAAGTGACGGAGTATTGTTCATTGGCGAGAATCCAATGGCGCGATAACCATGCTGAAAGAGCGCTATTTTGACTGCAAGAAGAGTAAACGCAGTCAATACAAGAATTGTGCTACATCAAGAAAAAAGAAAAAACGTTCATTATTGACACAAAAGCAAAAGGACTGTAAGATCAAAGCTGAAGTACTGCTTACCTTACGAACAAATCGTGAGTCAGTTGATCCCGGGAAGATGTCCTTCTCAAACTCGCACTTCCTAAATCGAAAATTTCCGAACTTCACCGACCTAGTTCTTCAAATTAATCGGAATCTCGCATAAGAAAAGACAAGCGCATGTACGGTAAAAAGGGTACAAAAAAATGTCCGAATATTGTCCACTTACTCTTCTGCCATGGACTTTTTGAACGCGGCCCAGAACGGATCACTGTCTTCCGTTGTTGTCAAATTGAGAAATTCATTTTTCTGTAAAAAGATAGGTGACCACACTAGCAGGAAAATTATCATAAGACTCACAATGAGATATCTGCAAGTGACTCCACTGCCAGCTTTTTGGCACCACTGAACAATGCGTTCATCCATTTCTTTGAAATTCGCAGTTGGTGGTAAACGAATGTCAAGTACTGCAATAAAAACGCCCAAATGTTTCGAATATCTCAGATTATAAATAGTAGAATTTTACTACAAAGTTACTGCTAAGAAAGCAAACCAGAGTCAAATGAACTATGAATGCGCTTCATAAAGCAAACGAAAATTGATACTCACGTAAAGTGAACTTCTCTGGCACAATATTCACGAGCACACCTCCTTCTACTTTCGTAAGATTTACTGAGATGACTTCGCCAAGGCGTTTGGTTGCGCTCTTTTCAAGCAATAAGCGTTGCTCTTCTCGAAAGGTCAACGCACTGTTGATGATGGATTGCTACAGCAAAAATTAGTCCCAATTCAAAATTTTATCTGACCGGGAAAATATACAAGAAGCGACCTCACCAACTTCTCCGCGGCAGTGTTTGCAATGAATTTTGAACCATGCCCGGGAGTCCCTTCGCAGGTAATTTCTAGCCCTGAACCAGATATGAGCTTCACCGATCGCCAGTGGAAATTCGTATAGATACTCACACCACGGATTTCTTTCTGCGTAGTATATCTTGTAGGCAGATCCCTCATTCGCCAAACCTTCGTCCAACATAAAGCCTAGATTTAGCTCTTTGAACTCTGGCATTGTCACAAACTTTTGCATCCCATCTGCAGCACCGATTTCTTCATCTGAAATCTGAAATATACGATCATCACGAAAAAACTACCGAAATATTCACGAATTACCATAAAAAAAACTTGGACTCAAATAACTAGCCTGGCGCCCAGACTATGTGCACTGTTCTCAGCCATTGCTTTTTTCCTCGTTTGAAGTGTCTTCTGATGGCCTCGAAATATTGTATACCAACAGACTTCATGTCTTGAGTACCTCTTGCAAAGATGTTTCCATGCTCGTCCTTGTGTGCAGAATACGGATCATGTTTCCATTGATCCTAACGGCAAAACATTCAATCAAGAAACCGAACCTCTCTCGCCCTCGAGTTCTTGAATTTCTCAAGACAATCACAACTTTCCTGATTTGGCTGGCTAATATGAGCTTATTCGAAATGCAACAGAATAGGTCTTACCTTGGAAGCAGGCACAACATCAGTGTGAGAGTACAATACAACAGATGCCAGTTCTGGATGAGCACCAGGGATCGTCATTATCACGAACGGTTTCCCTGGAACCGCCTGAAATTCTTCAATAAGATCTTTTCAAACAAAATGCTAACACAAAATCTTTGACTATGATGCTCGACAAACCTCTACAGACTTCCTTTTAATTCCAAGCTCATCAGCAAGACTAAAAAGGAACTTCTCGCAGGCAGCTGAAGATCAGAGGAATATGGAACCAGAAAAGAAATTCTCATTCTAAAAACTGACCATAGTCGGGTTTGGGATGAGCAGTGTTTATTCGCAGATATTCACGGAATTTTGTGACAGCTATATCTTCCGACATTAAGACGCCTGCAAACAGTATGTAAAAAAATTCATCAATATCAGAAATAATCCAGATGGTAGTCGCGATACTGTGACTTGTATGAATTTCTCTATAGAAAAAAGGAAACAGTCTGGTGTCTGCCTGGATAATGGATACTCAGGGACAAAGCTAATATGCCGGAAAAATTATAGCGAAGAAGTTATTGCATAAGTGCGTCCTACTGCGAAGTACGACATGAATGAAAAAATGCTTTGATTGTAGAGAATGTATCTAAAATAAACAGAAGATTGGACGATATGTTCTATCAAGAGGAAGATGAGCTTTTTGCTTCTATGGAGTGCATCTGTTACAGCACAAAACAAAACGGATCCGATAAAGAGGAGAGAGTCTCGCGTAGAAAAAGTAAACGTCGCAATTTTTCATAATTGATGTTATCGAACAAGAAGCCATCTGGCTATAAAACATAGTGAAAAGAGGTGACTCAATTTGGGAAGAGACTAATTTGCTGACTTGAGTGCAGTTGATGTGATCATTGCGTGATCTTTCGACGCAAAAAATAAGATAAAACGATAAAAATAGAGTTCTTACCAGGCTGCCTTCTTCAAATTACCAATTGCTACTTACCCTTTTAGTTCTTCACTTTCACTATCCCAAACAAATCACCGGAACTTTCGCAGGACAAGCAAAATTTGCAGCGTATCGCAGAATCTGGTCAGTATTGCAAAAGTGAAAACGTAGAAAATGGGAACTTCCGCAGGATTTCCACGTCAGACTGGCTGAAAACGGGAATTTCCGCATGACTTTTTACAAAATGCTGCGGAACGAAAAATGCCGGCGTTCCGGGGAAACGGCCCTTTTGAACCGCTCGCTATCACAGCGCGCCTCTGATTGGTCAACATGTCCACTGGCATAGCGAGTTGATACTCGTTCATTTTTTTACATCTTTCGTGTCTAACATGATAATAGGTTTTGGCACAGGTGTATGCATACACCTGTGCCAAAACCATACAGGTGTACATACTTCGAACTAAGAATTTTCCCGTTGACTGCAAATGCGACTTGTTAGCTTTGCCAGCGGCGCTGCACGCGGCGAGACGAGCGTCGCGCGCGACGGGTTCAAAAGGGCCTACACCCGGCGTTCCGCAGCACTCTGACATGACAGTATTTCCGCAGGTTTTGAATGTGCTGTCTCGTACGATGTTTCTCGCCAACAGCTAGAGTGCATTGTCGAACATGTCAGCTGTAGTGGAAAGGATAGTAGATGAGTCTCACACTCAATAGAGTAAGGTTCAAATCTCGCCCACGTAGTCTTTTTTGCTGTTGTGGTTCACGTTCTTCGGAACTTCCACAAAACCTCATTTGGGAACTTTCGCAGCAGGTTTATGCTTTCGCATTTGACCCAGCGGAACTTTTCCAAATGTTCTGCGGAAGTTCCGGTCAGTTGTCTGAGATTTTGCAGCTACGACGAACGCAGTGAGACAATGGTCAATGATGATGTGCGTGAATATAGCGCCACGAAAAAAAGAAAGTACAAGAGTTCCCGACTCATTAATTAGCTGTTATTTGGACCGCACACTTTCCTCAGATTGATATGCAAAATTTACAGTACCAGGAGTCTGGAAGAACGGCGGTGATAATCTGCAAATCTACATACAACCATGTCCGAAAAGTCAATTCCTGGAGTTTAATAAACTTGCAAAAGAGACTAGTTACAAAAGCAGTTGGAGCAAATAGGTGACTCTTATTTTTTGTTAGTACTCGCCATAAGGCAATCGAACTGAAGCCGAACTAAAAGAACAACCACAAACAATTGTTAGCAGGCAAGCACATCGAGCCCGCAAAGATCAATAATGGTCAGCCGCCGACAGCCGGCTGATGTCCATATTGCATCAGCTTACATGCAGCAAATTCAAGAGTAAAAAGGTCGCAAAATGCAAAGAAACAACTTGAAAACCTAGAATTCCAAAACACAACATACCAAGTATTTCGATTTCAAAAATGCTGAACCGCTTCAGACAGACAAAGCGCACAGAAACTGTCGCCTACCGTAGGCAATAATCTCGAGGCGGAAGAATATTGATTTCGATCAAGGCGGAAAATATCAATTTTGTTTTTGAACCATGTATACAGGTGTAAAGCTATGCTTTGACTCAACTGGACTGGCGGCTCAAATGCAGGGCTTCATGACCTAATTAAAGCTAGAAAATGAGCAGAGAGCACGTTCGCGGGAGGGACGCAGACTGCGTCGCGGGCGCTGGCGGCCTTAACCAGGTTACAAAGCCCCGCCTTCCAGCAGTCAAGCCAGTATTTCAAAGGTTATATTTCGAGTAGGGGAACGAAAGCCGCCAGCTTTGCTCGCCTGCGCGGTCTGCTGGTCCTGGAACGACATGCAACAACGTTGCGAGAGTATATACCAGTTAGCCGCGAAAGGAGGCTCAAATTGGCGGCTTTCGTCCCCTTCCCTTATATTTCAAGCCAAATATCAATAAATCCATCAGAAAGACAAGAATGAAAACACCATACAGTTTGCCCCAATCCCAATCGCCAAGGCCAAAATTGGCATGGCGGGAATCCGCGTCGCTGGGGTTTCGCGGTCACGCCCACGGCCTGCTTGTCTGCTCCCTTTTCATCTTCCTCGCTCTCTCCAACAGCGCGCATATGCAACGCCTAGCGCTGCGAGCACGCAAATTTACGCCGAAGGTTGGCCTGATCCCAGTTGAGGCAGACTGTATGTATCGCAGCTGTCTCCTGAAGAATTGTGAACATTCAATTTGCACTTCTTTAGTTTGCAGATATAGGCGTCTCCCATGCATGTAGCGGGCGTGGCCCTGCAGACATTTGAACACGTCAAAAAACTTGTTGAACCTCCACTTTAGAGCATTAGTTTTTGTAATCTCTAGCTATCAAAAACTGCCACGCGCATACGTTGGCAAACGTCGGCAAAGCTCCGCCCGCTATATTGTGGGGAATAGACGATACCAAAAAGATTGCGAGACATATCTAGATCCGCCTCACAGCAAATAGGCATCTGAATTCACCCTCTTTTGCTTCTTCGCCATGTAAGTCAAAAATAGCAGGATAGTAGAAGGAAGAGGTTACGAACATCATGAAGTTCCTTCAAATCTGAAAAAGAACGCAATCATAGTGAAGATGGGCTACATCGACTTACACGAGTCCCAGATTTGCTTCAACCATGAGTAGTGTTAATGTGGTCTTCATGTTTTACTAGAACTCAGAGCAAATGTTTCACTAGAATCCAAAGCAACTTCTTATTCTAATTTATGAAGCCTTGCACCACCTAGGTGCGGTATCCCTTGATAACGTCCCGTGAGATGATCAAGAGAAAATAAAGCCATATTTTCCCTTATCTTCACATATTTGATCAATCTATATGAATTTATCTCTCCTTATACATTAGATTAAAGAGTCACCATCCAATCCGCTTAGTTACAATCTCCAGAAAATATTGAGGGCAGCGCAATCATGCTCCAAGCGCTTTTAGTACGTCTAAACGTAATATGCTCAAATAAAGCGGACAACACGAACATCATTATTTAGTTCAGTATGTGTCAGAGCCCCCATCATGTTCTGTTCTGTTTTTTTTTTCAATTTCCAATCAGTGGCAAGCTTCTGAATTCCGGTAAACCGCTTGTGACTAGCTCGTAAAAGTGGCCATACAGCGCAAATTATTGTTTACACACAAATATTGCCGGCAACACAGCAACACTTCAGAAAGTTCAGAAATTTGTTTCTGGACCTGATATTTCCGAGTCTGTGCTTATTACATCAAATAACAATTTACTCAACCGCAATTGCACGTAACAATATAGAGACACTATGATCAGATCTTTACCATGATCTCGCATTAAGTATCAATTCAATCAATAAATAAGTGACTATTGCTCTTATAAAATTAGAAATCTCCATCAATGTCAAATTTGACTGTATGGTAAACACATGCGGCATACTGATCTCTTGGTGTGCACTGTGACTCGATCGACTTTAGCAAAGTGTTCTGAAAAAATAAAATAACTGTTCAAATGACCACATGTTATTCTGGACTTACCCGGTATGAGTTGCTGATGCCGCGCTTATTTGTATAAGTATTACACATTTTCTGGCACTGATCGCGTTTGGAATTTTCCAGTTCGGACCGATCCATGACATGGACTACAGCCGTCAGGATACCCTAAAACAGGAAATTGGTGTTTTGTTGGTGAGGATTGCCTTTAGGAAGAAATCGCGCCGTGTCCGCTGCTGCAGCCCAGTCATCTTACGAACTTTATTGGCACTCTGAGAAGTTGGTGTCGCGCTGCTTCACTGGACGCGGCTTATGGGTTGTCTGCGTCGGAAGCTGATCAATAAGTATACCTGTTTGAGATAGTTCCAGTATTCTTGCAATTTATCGCGAGCATCGCCATGTTTTTCATTTAACTCACGACGCGATGGTGCACACATCTGAAAAAAAATCGATAATTGATTTTTCTACCAATTTATCAGGGTGTCAATACGGCCCGCGCAGCATTACTGTTAAAGATCTTTTTTCGTTAATTCTTCATAATTTTTTTCAGAGCTCGAAAATTCATATAGTAATCATACATTCCCTAATTTTGGAGAAGACAAAATTTAGACGCCATTCAAATCAACTTCTCACCTTAAATCGGAGTGTTTGTCGATCCTCCCTTGTATCGCATTTTTCCGAACCCTCATTAAACACATACTGTTTCCATTCGCTAGTCTCTTTGCGCGTTTCCTCTTTGATGGTGTCACAAACATGACAGAATTGACTAAATTCAGCACTTTTATTCAACGTAGCTTGCAGTTGTGATGCCTTTTTTAGGTCCACTTCAAAAATCCTGCTGCTTTGTATTCGATGGGCTTTCTATTTCGACATTTTGCGAGAACGCCTCAGCCCCATTCAGAACTTTGTTGCATCTTCAAGGTGAACAAGTTTGAGGCATGCGGGCGATCAAGAAACACAGACTCGAGAACGTATTACTTAGGATGATGTTGCGAAAGAAAAAATCAGTCTTGAGTCTTCCAGAAGCCTTCAATGATGATTTTCTACTCGCCAAATTGTGAAATGTCGCTTCAAAAGACAGTATGAATTGTCTCATAGGTTTTTTGAGCGATACAGTGTTTCACCGTACTAGTATCTGGCAACAACTTTTGGCGTGAAGGAACTGCCCACACGCAAACTGCTGGTATCACAGGCGTAGTAATTTTTCACGCGCAAATGTTGTTGGCAAATGTCGACACTGCAGAGACACCACGTTTCCCTATATATTACCCTAAACTTCATCATAGCTGAAAAAACCTTCTTCCAAATTTCAGAGGTTTCTATGCATCTTTTTTCTATGCATTTTTTTATTGCTACAATCTGATGCAAATTGGATCCATTATTGAAATACAGCCTCAGCTGTCAACTGGTTTGCCGGCTAGAAGGCGGGGCTTTGTAACTTGATTAAGGCCGCTCGCGCCCGCGAGCAGTCTGCGTCTCTCCCGCGCGCGTGCTCTCTGATCATTACCCTAGCCTTCATAAGGTCACGAAGCCCCGCCCTCCAGCCGCCAAGCCAGTTGAATCAAATAAAATCTCACCAGTTCAGTTATTTTTGCTGTAATCTGCTCTTGCTAAAGTTTACTAGCTCAAAGTTTTGGTCGTACCAACTTCCTACTCTTGCCAATCACTCTACAATTTACAAATTCTCTTAGAACTCACCATGTTTCTTTATTGACTAGCATACGTCTAAGCTCATCATTTCCACTTTGTGGACACCAGTTTGTCTTCGTAATATTCGTACAGATGTTTGAGACCAAAGTGCGACCTTCCGAACGGCAAGGTATATTTTGTCCAAGTTGTAAAAACGCTTCGATATACCTTCAAAAATGGATTTTCGTGAAATGGACTTGATTTTTGATATTTGAAAAACCTACGGATTTTCGATGGGTCGGTTCATTTTGAAGGAGAGTTTGACACGATAGCATCCAGGAAATGATATTGATCGTGACTGACCATTGAGATCAGTGAGAATAACCTTGAATTAGCATAAAATTATTAGCCATTGCGGTAATCTATATCAGCGAGGTAAGGCAAAACTACCTGGTCCGTTTCCCTTTCGTCATCTTCGTCGTTCTCGTCGTCTTCATTGGGAATCATTTCGAAATTAAATTTCACCGACGAGCGATCAATGATGTCCGATTTAACTGAAAGGAGAAGAAGTTTATTTGGAATGACTATTTGAGAAATCGATATATTGATTTTTGAGCGTACCGTTTGGACATGATTGTGTGAAGTTTTCCCGTACAGTAATCGTTACAGTCTTTGCGAAGGCGCAGCTTGGCAGCAAAAGGGCTAACAAAAGCCTTATCATTCTAAAACTACATCCATACCAAACGGTCAAAACTGGAAAAGACCAACAACACATTGACACAAGAATAAGCATCACATAAGCATACAATCGACTGGTGCCGATGATCCTCTCCAGAAGTGCGGCTTATATTTATATAGGCGGACGGCTAGCAACGTGAGGGCTCTTGACCCGATTACGGTTTTGGATAGTGGCCGCGACACGCCTACTCCCACGCAAAACCGGATGATGTGCGATGCCGAGGGCGGTGTCCAGCCGTGGCCGACTTAGATGGTTCTATTTATGCGCTTAGTTTGCGACTTTCACGATTATGCTAGATTTTACTGTATCTGTATGAACAGCGAAGATTTTCAGTACCGGCTGCCAAATTGAAATCATAGCGAACTTCGTTCAAAAATGAAAATCTAGTGAAGTGCAACTTCCGGAGGCTCATCCGTTAGCGCAGTGAGCATCTGCAAGGACTGCACAGCTGATGAGAATCAAAGGCTCCGGCTCCAGATGAACTCATAAATTACTGTATGGCGATTCAAAGGCATTGGTTTCATACTGTAAGCACCTCGATGACCACTGAGTTGGATTCAAACGTCTCATGTTTAGTGAGAAGCTTGAAGTTCTCGATATATGGAACGTACCCTAATTCATGAGTACAAGGAGCACAGTTTCCCATAAAATCGACAAGCTCGAACACGAAAAAAAATTTCGCGACCAACATGGACCCTACACCGTGCTGTGTATTAAAGAGCATCGTGCGGCAATGGACTAGCTTCCGAAACACAGTGAAGCGGCTGAGAGGGTCGTTTGAAAAATCGAAAAGTGTTTGATTGTGAAATTAGGGTCCACCATCTCTTACTTCGTCACGGAGAGATATGACTCGGTGAAACAGCTGATGAATACTAATATATCAATCCTACCGGTTAGAACGATGTTTATATTTGGCCTCCATGATGGAAAAATTCTGCTCGAAATATTAATGCACTGCTTCCACATTGAGCATATTAAATTCCACACTTCACTACCAATGATGGCACCTTCGATATAGAGCATTCGAAAAATCGTGAGATGACGCGACCGCGCGCGACACGCACGCACCTCCCGGCAACCGCATTCTCTTGGTTTTCATCTCTAGTTGTGATTTTTTGCTTACATAAAGTACGTAAACAATGGCACTGAACTGAGTTTAGGTGATGCCTTTTTGTACGTTTTCTGGTCCAGTCGGCGCAAAGACCGCAGTCGAATTCGCCGCCACAATTTTATAAAGGACCTATACCTACCTCATAGTATCAGATTGTTAATATTCAGGAAGTACTTCTTTGCCAGCCTGCAGTGCCTAGCCATTAGATGATTCGTCGAAGTCAACGAAAAACTTGCATTAGGCATTCGACGATGAAAGCCAGTGGGACGCTTTCCTAACTATCCAGGCTATAACCACAGCTGAAAGCAATTTTTCTGGGTCAAAAAATACACACATCTAATGCAGACAATCACTGTTTCCAAAGCCTGTGTGGAGGACATGAGTGAATTATTCCTAATTCACCTTTTCACAATGACCTGTTTCAGAGAGAACCGGAATGGCTCTACAACAAACTCAAAAAGCATTGTTTATGATGTCTCTCTGCGAACAAAGCTACTCCATTATACCAAATTTCTAAGATTTTAAGTATATCACATTCTGAGATGCCATGCACAGTGTGTAGAATGGATTTATTCTTTGTACACACAAACTCAATAATCATCGTCATCATCATCTTTGGGTTGGTGTTGGCAGACATCATCGAAGTCCACGTTGATGATCTGGAAAAAGAGTCCACGTTAATGGTCTCAAAAATAGTCTCAAAGATTTGTTAACAAGTTGACGCAGCTTCGTGCCACAGTTTATGGAATGCGGTATAATTTGCGCGTGATCAGGTAGCTGCGCCAGCACTGCCGGCATTTTGCGCGCGCAATTGGCCGGCGTCACGGTCGAAGTTAATTCCTCACGCGCAAATTTTACCGCATTTCACCTTCTATGCAAGTACACTATATTAAGCGGAAAATCTACTCGACTGTACAAAAACTCTTGAATCGCACGGAAAACGAGGCTATGACACCTCTGCACGCCGCTATCATCGCGGTGATGTAAAAGCACAAAAGTGCGAATCGCAGAGTATAAATATAGAACATTGCGGCTCGCAAAAAGCAAGATTACAATCGGTTGCTTACATGTCGCCAATAAACCCAATACGTAGATTCAAGGTGAGATATGATACAAATTTGATAGATAATTTATGACAGACCTCATTAGATGACAATAATCTAGCGACGACCCGACATCGGCTTTTATCCTTCTCTTCCATGGTAGCTGCATGTCCTTTATGTTTACCTCGAACAATCATCACTCTAGAGTTTTCCATACGAGGTAGCACAGTTTCCAACCAAGATTGCCGTATACCTGATAAAACTGATATTTAGTTGTAATATCAAGACTATAGAGGAAAACCCAAACATACCATAATGCATTTTCCCGTGAGAGTCTTCAAGTGAGATATCTTTGCGTGAAGCTACATCGACCACACGCATTTTCTCTTTGAAATATTTGCCTTTTTTGTAACTTTCGTCGACAAATCTGACTAGAAGATCAGCTCGCACCCAAAGCTCATCTTCCTGAAGTAGGTTACGAGTAGTATAATTATGCAAATACATATGGACAAAAGAGTAATATGAGCTAAAGTGACATTCATCGACGAATTTCATACTTTGTGATCCCTATGCTTCTCGCCCTTTTCCCGATACCTATCCTTCGATCTTTCTTCGCGGTCTCTGCGGTCATCTTTGTACTTCCGGCTATCTGTATCTCGTGTGACATCGTGGTTTCTCTTCTCAATTTTGTCACGCTCTCGATCATAATCGTCCTTATCTGAAAATTATGATCTCTTCGAAAATACGGACAAGTTAAGAAATTAGAACTTACTTATGCACTTGCTATCTTTATCATATTCTTTCTTCGTAACTTGCTGCACAGCAAAGAGACTGATCTAAACACGAGATAAGCATTTCAAAACTAACCGTCAAAACTGAACTTACTTTAACATGTTGTCCACCCAAAGCCAAACGTATAAATAAACTGTTATTGTCGTCGTCGCGAGACTCGACCTGAAAAGTATAACTTGGAAAGCATGAAGATGACACAAATAACGAGAGTAGAGGAAGAAGACTGAAAAAAAAACATAGCGGTGATATAACTTACTTTACCGTACTGTCCTTTGAATCGGCCAGTAGTTACCCGTATCAGAGAATCCTTTTTTATCTCTTCCTCTACTTGATCCTGACCATTTGCATTCTGCAATACTATAACCACTTTATCTGCCGATACAGCTTGATTGAAACAGAGCACCCACCTTTGCAATTTTCTCGGGCTGTGGAGGCTTGGCTCCAAGGCCAAGGCCATTCGGACGTCTAGGAGGTAAGCGCAGAGGTACTACCTAAAAAGCAGAAGCACCAGGTTCGGCAAATTTGTTCCTTCAAAAACAATGCGGTGGTAAAAAATCGTCCGTGAGCGTATTAAAGCTTCACTACATCATGATACGATAAGTTGTGAGAAAATGAAGTGTATATTCAGGAGATACTCAACACAGAAGAAAAATCTGAGTGTTTCTATAAAGTGAAATGGATTCTCTTCAGAACAAACCTGCGGATGTCGACCAATTCCCTCACCATCTTTCCAACCACATCCTCTCAAAATGGCCAATCCGAACTCTTCTATCGGCACCTACAAGTCGCAAATTGATCGCAAACTGTTCCCAAAAAGCCAAATAAGTGGAAAATAAAACCGATGAATGACTAACAGCGCTATAATCAGCATCCTCCGTAGTCTTCGCTTCATCTTCAATGACTATGGCGCCGTTTTCATTTGTAGAACCCTGAAAATCGATAAATACAATTCACTGAACTCAAAATTTGATGCTTACATTTGTTGAGGCAAAAGGCTGTTCTTCTGTCAAAATTGCAAGCTTTGCTCGATCTTCGTCAGTAAGCTTGCCTTCTTTCTCGAGAGCTAGAAGCTTAGCCACTCTCCAGTCAACTTCCTTTACCATCGGTATCACGATAGTCTTCTTCTTCTTGTCATCATCATCACTTAAAAATTCATAATTAAATTAAAAAATGGTGAGAAGTTAAGAAACCGATTAGAAAGCCCTTACGGTGCGCCGCCATCCTCAAAATGGGTAAGCCTGCGTCTCTTGTTTCTGCTTTCTTCTTCTTCTAGCTCTCGCTCTTCATCACTATCAATTTGCACTAGAAAACTGATCTAACTATGACTAAGTAAAGTTGACAAAAAATAAAAATAAAAACGATAATACAGACAGAAAGAGTTCAATAGAAACCCACCATCAACAACAGCTGATACAGTTTGTTTCAACTGCACAGTTTTAGTTCTTTTGACACCAAAAGAGATTTTCATCTTTGGAGCCTCATTACCTTCAGAAGTACTTGCTTCCATTACCTCCTCCTGCTGATCCATTACCTGTGAACAATTTTCATTTACCTGATAACCAATAAACAGGAATCGAAAAACCAGCATTCGTTGTTTGAAAGTACGAAAGAGGGAAGGTATATCTAATAGCTTCAAAAATGTTTATGCTAAACATTATTCAAACTACGCCGCTAATTTGTTAGATGTTCAAACTTAGATGAAGGCAATTTGTGTAGTGTATAAGGCAGCTCAACTCCAATTCAAACAATAAATTCCAACTAATGATGCAGATTGAGAAGGACTAACGATGAAAAGCAACAATGAGGAAAAACGATAACTTGACGGAATTCGAAAACGCTCAGATGAATTCAATAGTGGCAAATAGCCAGACGCTACGCAGCAGGCGCTCCGCGTCAACGTTGGCTCGTAGTGGAAATTACGAGAAAACTTAGCAACTTCAGATAGAAATCAAGCATCATGTTTCGCACTTTATTATTATTAAGAGATGTTATGCAAATGGAATAAAATATGCACTTTTATTTACAAAAAACAGACAATCATGCATAACAAAACGAAGAGGGAGACAGAGAAAACAAAACCTGGGTCACTTCTTACCCTCGACCATTATCACATGATAGCCAAACTTGGTTTTTATAGGTGGGTCAGTATAGATGGGCTTATCGCAAGTACTCTTCGGCAATTCGAAAGCAGCATCCTGGAATGGACCCACCATCGAACCTCGCGTCATCCAGCCAAGATCGCCCTGAACACAGTCAGAATAGTAGGAATTGGAGAGAAAGCTTGCTGCTTAGTCGAAATATAACTGTTGGAAATGAGTTATTAGATGAGCAGAAAATAGCATTGATGCCGTACTCACCCCAGACCGAGCTTTATCTTCACTATATTGAGCAGCAACCTCATGGAATTTCATGCCTGATTTCAGCTTTTCAATTGCTTCCAAAGCTTTGCTCTGAATCAGAGACAAATCAGAAGTGAGAATCCACAGCGATCATGGAATTGTGATTTGAGTCACAAAAAAGAGCAACCTACCTGCTTTTCGCAAAGTATGTGGCGCACTTTAACGGCGGTACCTCCTTTTGCTTCCTTTTTAGGTGCCTCTTCCTTCTCTCCACCCTTCTTGGCTGCCGCTTTCTTCGGTGGCATTGCCCTTTAGTCAGTGGCGAACGCTACTAAAGAAACCCATGTATTCTGATAAATTCAAAGCATCTTGGTGACGTCATTGCTGGTAAAGCAAGAAGCTTTGACTGAAACAAAGCCGCGGAAAGGAACAGTCTCAATTCATTTTGAGAATGACCTTCAACAGCCAGCCGAATATATTTGTGTAATCGCAGTTTCGGCCAGGAAACTGACGTTATGAAATATTCACCGTAACCAAGCACAGAAACGTGAAGCTTTGCAGTCAACAAACCTTCTTTAGGGTTCAATTTTTTATATACTATAATATTCAGCGTTGTGCTACGAATATGTACATCGAAAAAAACATGTACATGTACTTTTATATGCACAGAAAACGTAAGGCACAGCTATGATGCAGAGATCCAGCAGCAATCAACAACAACAGTATATTGGCTTTCACATCAGAATCTATATAGCTCACAGGCAGATCATTTCAGACAGCGCAATGCTAGAAACGAGAGAACGTTCACAACAAGTTGTGCGAAAAAAAAGCAAGCTAACAGGAACTATTTATACCCGGCTAGTGATCATATACGAAAAAGCGTTTGATCTTAAAGGCAGCGTACACCCAAAACAAATGCAACAGATGTTGCAACAGCAACTGCAACTGCAATTGCAGCTTACGCTGTTATGGATTCGTCCGGAGGAGGCGGAGCGAAAGAAAAGGGGCGGCGTGAAAGAAAATTGAGGGGGTTTTCTCCGCTCAGAAGCAGCATTGGGAGACCGGACCAACGCAGTTGGTCTTCTTCTGGGCCCAGTATATACACGGTGTAGAAAGATCTAGGAAATTCGGTAACTCAAATTTTGGGTGTACGCTGCCTTTAATGATATGGACTGTATGGAAAGAAAAGAGATCTTGCTCATTTGAATAATATTAAAAAATGAAAAAAGAAGAGACATTAACCTCAAAAAAGCAAACCATAAGCCTTTCTGTGCTGGCACTGCAACATGCGATTGGTTATACGAGTAGCCAGATCGTTCAATTGGTTCACTATGTAGGCAGTGAGCGCATCATCTCGAAGTATAACGGCATCGGTGGCTCTCTTTTTCAGATAACTAAAAATATGACCACAATTGAGTTGAAAATCTCCTTTCATCTCTTCTCCCTCTTCTTTCAGCAGTTAAAGGCAGTGTCCAGGCAAATCTGGACCCTTTAGTTTCTTGCGTGGAAACTGATGAGGGGCCACTGACTAAACCACTGCCCGAGTTGCAGCGCACGGGATTCACTCACGGCAGAGAAATCGGCCTCCGAACCCGTCGTCTCCGCGCCGTGACCGTAACACCTTAACAGCCTAAACGCACATCATGGTCCCGGCGCGAAACCATGAGGACAGGCTGTAGCGCGGAAACTCGCTGAAAAAAATTCCACAAATTCGAAATGACACGGAAAATGAAGATAAACCATATGAAATCAACTAAAACACCATGAAAACACAGAAAAGACGAGAGAAAACAAGTAAACAACGAAAACAATGGCAAATCACAACAAAAGAGAAGGATTAGGAAATCGGCAGTATTTGTGCAACGAGTTTCCGCGCTGCACCCTCTCCTCATGGTTTCGCGCCGGGACCGTGATGTGCGTTTAGGCTGTTGAGGTGATACGGTCACGGCGCGGGGACGACGGGTTCGGAGGCCGATTTCTCTGTCGTAAGCGAATCCCGTGCGCTGCGACTCGGGCAGTGGTTTAGTCAATGGCCCCCCATCAGTTTCCACGCAAAAAAACAAAGGGTCCAGATTTGCTTGGACACTGCCTTTAAGGGTGCAAGCTGATGGAGAAGCGGAGAAGTTCATTTTGAACTGTTCGCCGTGTGCGAACTGAAGTAAAAAAAAACTAGCATAATTAGCTGCTGATGGCTTTGCTATGGAAACATCTCCATCAAGATAGTGACATACAATTCAAAAAACTGCTACATTTGCAAGAAGTACCAAACATAGTTAAAGAATCTTGAGCTTCCTTCTCCAACCGTCTGCCCTGATTGATGAGAAATTATCCACATGTCTAGCATGACAAGAATCTCTGTGATTGCCGCAATGAGGTATTTACCAAAATTTGATTGTACACAAATCCAGCACAAGCGTGCGGTAACAAAAGGTTGGAATCAGAAGAACCCCAACAACCCCACTGCAAATGATAATGTACTCCTACCCGCAATCATTAAGAACTTACTTCAATTTCAATTCATCGATAGTGGTCGACAAACCGCAGAGGACATTCATGTTGGTAGGTGTTTCGCATATAATACGTAGGATCTGAAAGCGGATGGAGAAATTAGCATCAGGGAACAACATACATATAATCACTTACCTCCCTGGTTTGTATCCAACAAGAACTGAATTCGCTCAGGTGCCTTGAATTTTTTAGAAACGCGCTCACAACTACATTAATAAACTCGACCATGAGCGTAGCCACCTCCTGAAAAAAAGTGTCACTTTTGAGAAAACTAAATGTTGATGACACAGTTCTCACACTGTAACCGCGCTGTACCCCATGCTCCAGAAGTTTCACAGCATCAACCACATAAAGCTGTAAACACTTTTGAAGATCGACAGGACGGCTCTGAATATCCAAACTAGTAGTAGCCTCCCCAATAAGGGAAGTGCCTTGTATTTCTCGGAAGAATAGTACCGAAAGGGATGAGTATGCTTTCATAAGCATTTTCCAACATTCTAGAACCTGTGCCGCAAAAGCCGATCGCGAGTACGACGAAGACAGTATTTTCCTAAAATAAAAAAATTAGAGAACTACATTTTAAGGGGGCTACTTACTGTATCCATTGTGACTGCAGTTCGAACATCTTCTCCCAGAATTTCCTGCTTTTCAAGGACTTGCGAGTATCGGTGCGCTGCGACACAGTCGTTAGTTGAGTATCGCTAGCCATTGTTTCCTAAAAAGTAGCAAGATTCATGGAAGTCTTGATGTAGTGCAAACCCTTAAAGGTAGTGTCCGGGCAAAAAGTCGATTTGGAAAATTTGTGCTTGCCTGGGCTTATTCGCTATGCTGAATGCGAAAATCCACACTGGAGAGCTCGGAAAGGGCGAAAAAGGACTCGAACGCGAAAATCAGCAGGTGGGTAGAGCCTCCCACTCTGTGAAGTCACCCTCCCAACTTCAGGAGCGATCTTCTCTTTTCCGCACTCGGCCGGTGGCTATATTAAGGAGGCTAGCGGAAGCGAGAAGATGGCTCCGGAAGCTGGGAGGGTGACTCTACAGAGTGGAAGATCGCGCCCACTTGTTGATTACCCTCCTGCATTAGAGCTCTTTTTCACACTTTTTGAGCACTCCACCGGTGGATTTTCGAATTCAGCATAGCGAATAGGTCCAGGTAAGGCTTGATACATACTTGGCGTCGGGTGTCTATACGTAGCGGTGGCAGCAACGCATTTGATGTGTATCGATTGCAGCGGAGTAGCAAAATCTCGAAGTCGAGTTCTTGCACGGACACTGCCTCGAAGGTCTTTGCTAGATACCTCTAAGCAGGTGGATATCGTGCAATTCATGGGCTGTTTCAGTCTCCGTCCGTAACGACTTCGGCTTCTTTTGCTTTGCGGTGTTGCAGTACTTAGAACAAAACTAATATGTTTGTTACCGTCTTTATACACTCTCCGTGAACTATTCTACCTCTGCGCTGGACGAATGATGCCAGCTCGTCTGTCAGCTTCATCATTCACGAGTTCAAGATCGTTTTCTAGCTCGTTCTGCAATGCTGTCTGCAGCCGTCTTTGACAAAAACTCTTAGCCTTCTGTCACTATCTTTTGACTATGTAGGGGCTAAATAGACATTCTTATCTGACGTAAGCTGTTATGAATGACCCATTGACGGAGTGGGACTGGTCAGAATTAAAAAAAAACAATAACAATCTATATATATATATATATATATATATATATATATATATATAAAACTCAATGTCTGTGAGGATGTTCGTTTAATTGTTCGTTCGTTAGAAACGCGCGCCACTGAACCGATCCGGCTGAAACTTCGCACACGTATATTTTCGACCCCGGCGGTGGTTTAGAGCTACTTTCCGCGGCGATTCGCCAGGCCATTCTATCGATTTATTGATTTGTTTACTCAAACCTAAGAAAATGAAGGGCCATCATGGCAACCGATCATTTTTACATATAAGCATGTAAGCAGGGGCGGTAAAGTCCATTTCAGTCATGAAGTTGGTAGGGTGCGGCAATTAGTCTGAAAGCGCTTCATGCGCATGTTAGAAGAAATCTAGAGGCGTAAGTTTACAAGTTCTGTTGGCTTAACTAACTTGAAGTCTCGGGTGAGACCGGGGCCACCAGCTAGTAAACTATATGGCAGCCAACAATGAAAAATTTGGAGGATGATGCAGGAGTCATGGAACCCGACACATTTGATCGGGAAGTCAGACTGTTGGTAGAATGATGCCGGCAATCGCCAAAGAAAGCGAGAAGATTGTAAAGGGATTAAGTACCTCGATCGTATTGCTTTCCTCTTCGTTTCGGTAAAAAGCTGAGGTTGTTTCGCCTCCATGCCCAATGCTGTTGTCACAGATAGGACATGTAACAAAATTTAGATAGAGCGATTTAACGAAAACTTGCCCTCTCAGAGCAAATTTCGCCGTTTGATCTTTTCTACACATAGGTGAGTTCGTACGCAGAGAATGGACGCGTCCAGCAAAGACAGCGCATGTTCGAAAAAAGACGGCAGACGGTAAAAGGAATAAGAGTGCTCGGCCAGAGAGACGCCAACATAATCCGCAATGGCGTCCTGTCTCTGCGTGCGATGGTTCGCCCGTAATTTCAGAGGAAAAACAAAAAAGAAATGATGGAGAACCTCTCATATCACTGTTTACGCCGTGTTCTTGTGACAATATTGGAGTAGAAGCGAAATTTGGCCTGAAAAAAGAACATGAAGAAATATTTGCTGCTCACTGACAGCTACAGCGGAAGGGGATAGGAGCTACCAAAAATAAAGTTGTACCAACATGATGCTTTCTACAGACATGTCCGACGAGTGCAAAGTCCACGTTGATGGCTAGAATACAACTTTCATAAACTTGAAGCTTTCTGAGAGAAGTAATTAATATGCATCCGCTCAGTTGATTAGACGCTTTCTATTCGAAACTGTAGAGCTTACGCTTCGCTGCATTGAATATGCAGCATCGCTCATAGTAGTATCCGCCGCAGTACGATCGCCCTGATTCTGTTGACTTTGCAAAGCTAGGGCTAAGGCAGCAGCGAGAACAAAGTCGTTAGCTGAAATACTTTAAGTATCGACATTAATTCACTCGTAAACTTAGAACTTACGCATTGATAGAGATGTTCCTTCCATCTTATTACCATACAATGCGTTTCCCAAACAAATGCATGTAAAGTCTATTGATAAAGGACTGACAGAACGGGCTCACGAACACGGGCACCTGCAGTCTATTCCAACCAATCTGTCTTCTTGTGGAGCGACGTCCTCGCGGACGCCAACTAGAGATATCGAAGAAGAAGAGGAGGCGCAGACAGGGGTTCTTAGCGCGATACGAACTGTATCGCAATAGATGCAAAGGACCGCAAAAGCCCTCCTTTTCAATTTCGATCAATGAGTTGACACAGGTTGTATCGTGCATCCCCAGAATTTTCCCATATGAACCATCAACGTGGCTGCCTTTCGATTATGTTTTAACACGTTAACTCCAGCAAATTCAGGGCGCTTACTCGAACTTGACATATTGAAATGCTCGAAAGACAGCCACGCTGATGGTTTATCTTGTGACAATTTTGGTTGGCGGATGCACCATACCCTCTGTTTCAAGGCAGCGGCGTCGTCTGTCGCGGCTCTGATCCGGCGTGACGACTTCGTTTGGGCTCTGTACAGCGTTCCCAAACCTGTAGTTTGGTCATTTTTTCACGAGTGAAAAAAATGATCAAACTACAGGTTGAGCCTGAAAAAGGCTCAGTGGTGAGCTTTAATCGCTAGCTAAGCGTGGAAAATAATCATAGGCCAATAACGTGATAGAGCAAGCACGGTCCGCCCTAGATTAGGAACGCACGAAGACGGAACCGAGAAAATCACTCCAGTTGGGAGTGTGTTTTCACAAAGTGGAAGAGCCTTTATGCCTTTTTCGCGCTCTTCAGCGAGGATTATCGGATTCAGCGTAGGGAATAGGGCCATGCAAGCGAACGCCCGTAAAAGGGCTCGGACCTGGGAGGAGTTGCAGGTGCGCTCCATCGCCATTTCGATTAGAGCACCGTTTTTTCAAGTGGGGCGCACTATCTCCTAACACTTAGCGTTTCACAAACTTTCCAAAGGGATGGAAGACTGGGAGAGGGACCATGTGCAAAATAATAGAATGTTTTGGGTCATTCCGCTTGCATGTACTTTTCCTCTTCTCAAGCTGTCAGGACATATCATCATACCCTATGGTTCTCATGATTTGGCGTTCATGCATCACTCAACAATACTTTTGCTTTGTGTTCTTCTATATATGACCTTTGTTTTGGTTCTTATTTTACTCTACTCACTAGAGTTATGCAACAACGCTTTTGGTCCAACAACGAAAAAAGGGGCGACGATCAAGAGGCGCGATTTCTCCGGCTGTCACCAACTTAAAACTCCAGTGTAGTGCTACACGAGTCTTCAAAAAAAAACCAGATAAAGTGCATTGGATTACTATCTGTCTGAGGTTACCACTTGCTAAGCCTGGTGGCTTTTGCTGGAAAACTAACCAAAATACTTACGAATTTGTCCTTAACTGCATTTTAATGAGTTTTTGACCTTCTCAATTGCTGTTTTGAATTGAATCTAATGTAGCAAGATTGAGCAACCCTGCAACTATCTAGCCCAGCCATAGTTAGCATTTACCCTCTATAACCTTTGCCTGAATTTACGCCGCTTGAAACTCATTGTCAGTAACTGTCTTGAACTTCCATTTTTGGGTTAGTCTCGGCTGCTCTAACTTCTCTTTGAGTTCACACCACTCGAGGATCCACTTTGTGCAGCTTTTAGAAGTATCTTAGGGCTGCTAGCGCTAAATTGGGATGGATTTAGCACTGGTGTTCGTGTGCGAACTCTTTTTACGGCTCGCATGTGGCCAATCAAATTCTGGCAACAGCTGTGTTTCAGTCCTTCCTACTCCTTCAAAAACATCCTTTACGGTGTTGCTTTGTCTTTTTTTCCTTAAGACGACCTATAACTGTCTTGTAATTACATAACTTATCTCGAAAACATAAAATTCTTTCCTGAGATCTGCTGGAAAACTTGTTAGATCGACGTCTTTGAAGCAATGAGAGCTAAAAAAAAGAAATCGAAAGTGTCATATTTCAATTTTGCGCTTGATAGCAATCGTCGCCTTTTCTCATGAGCTTCAAAAGCGCTGCATAGTCGTAAATCATCATTGCTAATGTTGTTCGATAAGCTTGTCGATGATGCCTAGATTGAAAATTGAAGGAAAAATGGGTGGAAAATGGCAACTTTATGCTGGTGACCTTTATAGACTGTAACGTTTTGCTAAATGGAAAAACCGGGATTTTTGCAGTTAGTGAATAGTTTTGAATGTACAAAATTAATTTGCCCAGCTGTCAACCTCAGGAATTCTCTAGAAACAAACAAATTTTGAAACTTGGTGCTATACTAAGTTAACTATGAAACTTTACTTACTGGAATTGAAATCAATGAGAATTTTTTTGAGCGAGAGCTGACGGGTGGGGGAACGAAAGCCGCCAGGTCCAGCCGCCTTTCGCGGCCAGCTGGTCCTTTCGCAGCGTTGTTGCATGTCGTTCCAGGACCAGCAGTCCGCGGAGGCGGCTGGACCTGGCGGCTTTCGTTCCCCCACCCAGAGCTGACCAATGTCTGAACATAGAACTTGGCCTGCTGCCATGTTCTCACTGAGCATCACTTCGGGACAAGTTCGTAGTTTTTCGTAGGACGGGTTCTTAGGCACATGCCGTAGGCTGCGTTCATACTAATCCGGAAATCTGGAAACCTTGAAACTTGAAGCAGATCTTACTTATCATTGAGATCCATTGAGAAAATAGATATTGTATATATTCGTGGAAATACATGTGACAAGAGTCCAAACGCATGTAGGGTCGGTCGAATATGCACAAAAAATCCAGCATGCTTGGAATTTATGTATTTCGAGCAAAACGTTCTCAAGGATTTGAAATTTCTGGCGGGCTTGTGGGTTTGTGCTTCAAAGTTAAGCAGCAAAATGGTTTGATGTTTCACAGAATTTTTTCTACGCATGAAATGCACGCAAGCGGGTCTTACCGTAACAAAAAATTGGCAGTTTTGATCCTCTGACATGATTTGTCCACATTTTACCGTCAAATTCCCACAAAGATGTCAAAGACTATACGTATACTCAAAAACTACCCAGATCGGCGTAGAAGTGTTTGGAGATAGTGCGCTCCAGTTGAAAAAACGGTGCTCTAATCGAAATGGCTATGGAGCGCACCTGCAACTCCTCCCAGGTCCGAGCCCTTTTACGGGCGTTCCATGCAAGCAACAAATTTCAAAACCGCTTTTTGCCCGGACACTGCCTTCAAAGAGCTCAGGCAATCAAAGACTCTCAGCCGGTAGCAGCAAAGCCACCGGCAAACCCCACCAAAAGCTCCGTGCCTTATCACCGCCACTTTTGCCTTCTGGAAGGCAGACAAGCAAGCTGCGGACGTTACGCGTCCCATCGCGTCGCGAGGCTTTTGGTCGCGTCTACGGCTAGCTTAGGTAGGTGCCAGAGTAAGCGAATATTTTGTTCAGGTTGGGGTCCCGTGCAGAATTGACATCTCTCACCATGCTGGCGTCAATCCAAGCGACGTCAATTCTGCGCGGGACCCCAACTTGAACAAAATATTCGCTTACTCTGGCACCTAACTTATCTGCTCTCTTGTCAATCTTTTCTCCCTCTCTGGCATGCACTGTGCGCATTTGCAGCGCGAAACCCTAGCGCTGCGAGAGCGCAAACTGCCAACGATTCGGATTTTGACTGGGACAGAATATATAGTTGAATCGTTGACCACACGCGTGTCCGCGGACTGGACATCACTGGGGGCACGCGCCGCGAGGTATGTAAAACGCTTGCAGTACAAATTTGCCATTGTACAAGCCGTGCTCTCGCGACAATTCAGCCGCGCCGCGCGTGGTCCGAGGGTTTGAGCAGTCCGTGCGGTCAACGAATCGAAGATACAATATGACTCCAACTCTACCATGTAAAAAAATTGTAAATTTATGTTTCCGAACACCTTTTCTCGGATTTGAATGGTTTCTAGATCATCACCAAGCCAACTAGCCTGGGGCATAAGTATCACAGAGTTCACATATGTTGCATCTTTTTGGCTTGTCAAGTTGAAGAGTGTCAAGTTGAAGAGTTAGCTATTCTCTTAACTTGATCCCTCTACCCTTAGTTTCTTTCCTTTGATTTAACATAACAGTTCTGACTAGATTATTTTATCATTATAACATAAATATAAATGTGGGGGAATAATTGGGGAGGGGACCACCGAGCACCCGGGGTGTGCCAGCTCATCTGAAGTTAGTGGCACCGCCCAGTCGGCGAGGGGACTGTCGGACTCTAATTAGTCTGCGTCTCGACAGGCTTATACATCTAAACACAAGCTATCATTCGGTGAAGAGATTGGATTGGAACATTACTTATCCTCTCTTTGGAACCATAATCGGATTTGAGAATTTGAGACATCATCGTGCTCTTATTGAGATCTGACCGAGTTTCCAGACATTCTAGAAGTGAGCAAATTTGATCCGCTATTTATCTACCCTCTGTTTCATTGGGAGTGGCAGGTGGAGGGCGGAGCTTCGATTGTTAATCAAGCCTAGAAACTGATTAGAGAGCACGCTCGCGAGAGAGATGCAAAGCCCCATCCATCACCTGCCACTTCCACTACACAGATGTGTCATCGGCCCCTCAAATTCGTATAAAGGCGGTTGCAGATTTTCCCTGATTATAAGCATAAACTTCTTGGACCTCTTACAGCATTGTTCTTCGTACCCTCTCATTAACTTCATCCTTATAATCAAGGAAAGTCCGCAACCCGCCTTCCCATGAATCTGGAACCGATCATATATTGGGTCGGTCCGAAAGTTCCTTCCTTTTTTCAACCCGTCATAAAAACACGAGGAATAGAGGCAGGCAAATGCTCTAAGGACTATCACACGCAGTTTTTTGGGATCATTTGCCTTGGTGGTTTCTGAGATAATTGTTGAAATTTCAAATCCATGGTTTTCATCATGCGCAACCTGCAAAATTGCCATTAATCCAATTTTGGAGCAAATAATTCAATTCTGCCATCACATTTCATTATACTTTAAAGAGGACTTCGGGATGACTGTATGAAGTCATTGGAGACACTATGCAAATTATACACTAGATTCGAGATCTTGACCCTTCCCGCATACTGTCGGAGTCGCACATATCTAAGGCCCGTATGACTACAGTTCCCTTGAACAGCACATTCAAGAACTCTCGTGTCAAAAATTTTGGCGAAGCTTGATCTGACATTTTGGGTTGTGCAAGATGGGATAGAACTCCTTTCTTTACTAGAGAGCTTTATGATACCATGGTGATCTTGATATTTCTACACAAATAACAATCATGCATTGATTTCATTGTTATGTGTGTAGGTTTCTCATTTGATTTAGTCACCCTAAGTATTTAGAGTATAACTACTTGATTATCGTCGATTCGTTGACCGCACGAACTGGACATCACTGCGGAGCACGCGCCGCGAGTTGAAGGTAGTGTCCGGGCAAGAATGGGGGTCTTGGGATTTCATGCCATGCGAGATTGGCCCCCCTCAGACACAACATCGCGCAAGTGCGACGTCACAATGCTCGACCTAAAGCAAGAAAAACGACCGGAAAGTGGAGAAACTTACGCCTTTGGACGGGGTCCTCCGAGCTGTCCGAGTTCCTGGGGTAGGGGAACGAACTCCGCCAGTTCCAACCGCCTCCGCGGACTGCTAGTCTCGCAATGACACGCAGACCAGTTGCCAGCGAAGGCGGCTCAAACCCCACCCGAATTCCTGCTATGCGGCAGGGTACGCATGCCGCAACAGCCGAAATCGTAGGGTCCCGCGGCGACTCTGCGTTCCAGCCTTGGGGGGGGGGCGCCGAATTTCAAAGGGGTAGAGGAACGAACACCTCAATTAGGCGGGGGCACGCGGAAGGCGACAATCGTCGAAAAATGGAGGCTGTGTATCGTCCATCCCAATGACTTTTGTTCTGGCCACGCCAGAACCCCTGCCGATGTCGGCCCCCTTTCTTGCATCAGGGGCGGGGCGCGTAGCCCCGCACTCTTCGTTTTTGCGCTCTCCCGAGCACGTTGTCAATATCCTGATAAACATAACCACTGAACCACTTTCTTATTGCACTAAAAAGGGCCTGCCATACGCCCTGTACACATTAGGCTATACCATAAGCCTCAAGTCGCCACATTTTTGGTGCATCGGCCAAACTATCGCCGTAATTGAGGTTGATCTACTCGACCTTGGGACTCAGCTAGCCCTAAATTACAAACCCTTGTTTGTCACACTTTCCCAACTCAAAAGCAGTTGGAATCTTTTGTGTTAGAGCCGGATAATCAAACATGTCTCTATATTTTATAAATATAGAGACATGTTTTTTTATAAATAAATATTTTCACAAAAAAGCCATCCGTACCAGTTCGTCTAGACTGTCAGAGCTTCTCAAAACGTAAGAAGCTCATGGACATGGAAAAAAGGTCGACTACCCAGAGGACGATCAGGAACGGCATGATAAATGCGCAACAAACTTGATATCACTAGCTGAGAGCCTAGACGAGGTAAAAGAGTATACGGAAACGCTCGAGAGCAAAGTTGACAATGTGGAGCAAGTTTTCATGGGTATCAAATCCAAAACGGAGTAAAAAGAATGGATTGCGGAGATTGAAGAGTTTGAAAAAGAATCGGAATATTCTAAAATTTTCAACGAGTCCGCCAATTTCGTGCTCAGGGTTAAAACTCAAATCACAGGCGCTTACATTAGATTGTGGTCCTGATACCATCGTCACAAAGAAGAAACTACACGTCGACTCCGCAGTAGTGCGCATAAATTGCTTCACAGCATGTTCAGGTTCCCACATACATCTGCCCATAAATAAGACCCTAGTGTACCATTATTCTGATTACAGAAATGTGTTTGAATACAACGCACCCAAAGATGTAGACTACTCCTGGTCAGACTTCCTGGACATCACCCTGCCAGACCTTCAACCCCTCCTGAACATCATAAGAAACCACTGGAAAGCTGCATTGGTGATCATCTGTGTTACGGCAACAATGGCAGGTCTTACATATCTATTTGGGCCAATAGTAATACTTACCATCCTTGAAATATTGTTTGTCATTCTCAAATTAGCGCTAAGAATTGCCAAGGTTTCGGTTACTGCTGTAGTCTCAACGATAACACGGTTAGTACAGCTCATATTTAGAAAAAGCGAGTAAAAAAGCGGTGAGCTATGCACCTGTACATAATTGCCCCCATTAGCAATGTATCACTCACGAGCACCCTACATCCCTTCAGTACGCAATAAGCATCCTCGTAAATGGCTTTGCTACCAAAGTGTAGCCTAAACTGATACCCGCGGAACAGGGAGGCGGCTCTGGAGACCGAGCAGGCATAGGAAGGTGTATATAAGGCGGTACAGAGTCGATTCCAGATCTCAGGTTTCGAGAAACATCATGTTCGACAACGTGGATGCCGCCAGCATGATGCACGAGATACTGAACACCGTACGAACTGTCCAGCATCAAGTCGAACTCGGCCTCCAGCAGATGACGCAACTTGACGAACGAATCGGCAGCCTGGAACAGCGAGTCACCGACATCACCTATTCCTGTTCTGAGCTTTTGGAGCGGTCTAAACCCCGCTCCAATTGCATATTCTGCTCGATCGACGACAACAAGGACGCGCATCCGACGGTGCGCTGCAACAAGTACCCGGACCCGGTCTCCAAGTCATGCCAAGCCACCCGCCTTGGACTGTGCGAGAAGTGCTTGAAGCCAGCACACCCCGATGATTGCGGCATACAGTGCGCAAAGTGTGGGCGACCACACAATGTGCTGCTGTGTGCCGAAAGAAACGCGCCAAATCACGGATACAAGCGCCGACGCCCTTGATGTAGCCACCAGCCTCCAGCCACCGTCTCTGCCATCGCCTCGATCAACCTCCGCAACCGCCACCGCCTCCAGCCACAACTGCCACCACCACCACCACCACCGCCCACCTGCCACAACTGCCACCACCACCGCCACCAGCCACCAACCGCCTGCCACAACCGCCACCACCACCACCACCAACCACGACCAGCTGCCACATCCACTCCGATTAATACTAGGCATCTCCAAGGAATGATCAGTTCATTTATATTTGTGTTAACTTGTAATTTTATTGTGATGTTGATTTTTTGGCTGTCGTCGCGCGGAGTGTTCTGGCCACGCCAGAACCTCTGCCGATGGCGGCCTCCTTTCTTGCATCAGGGGCGGGGTGCGTAGCCCCGCACTCTTCGTTTTTGCGCTCTCCCGAGCACGTTGTCAATATCCTGATAAACATAACCACTGAACCACTTTCTTATTGTACTAAAAAGGGCCTGCCATACGCCCTGTACACATTAGGCTATACCATAAGCCTCAAGTCGCCATAACTTTCACGGATTTCTACTTGTGGCGTTGAGTAATGTATCTGCCCCCACCCCCACCCCCGTAGTCCCCCGGGGTGTCACTTTGACACCGGAGAGTTTCTGACAGGCACAAAACTGGGGATTGTCGCTTTCCGCACCACACCCTAATTAGGCATCATTTCCGCGGGCTGCTGGTCCTTTCGTGCTAGTGTTGAGCATCGTGTTGGGACCAGTAGTCCGCGGACGGTGCCTAATTGAGGTGTTCGTCCCTCCACCCATTTCAAAGTTTCAAGCTGTAAGGCTCTGGAAAACGCATGTTCTCGCCGTTTTTGCGCCTTCCAATGTTGATTTTCGGATTCGGCGTTGCGCATAACCCCCAGTAAGGGGATTTCCTAGAAATCGAGTTTTGCCCGGACACTGTCTTTAAAACACTTGCGCCATTACAAATTCGCCATTGTGCGAATCGTGTTCTCGCCACATTTCAACCGCGCCGCGTGTGGCTTTGCGTTCGAGAAGTCCGTGCGGTCAGCGAATCGACGGTATTCTATCCGTGTATCAGTGAAGTATACTAGTTCAAAGAAATGATTCTCTACTACGTATTTTCTCTTCAAAGGAAAGCTATTGTAGGTATAGGGCTATGCGTGATAGCGGAAGTCGGTGAGTCTACGACAGAGGTGCGATAGGGGGAGCCAAGTCTCCCCCTACCTTCACTTTTGAGCTGGTACGGGGTGACCACCTTCACTTTTGGAATAAAAATTTTTTCGCTGGACGACAAAGAAGGAAAATAAGCAAAACAAACGCAAAAAAGATTATTGAAAGCATATATTTATGTATACGGCGGCATATATATTTAAAATAAAGGTTTTTAGTAAATGGTGTATTTGGAAGTAAAGCTCAGCAAAACTGTACGGATTTTATTAAACAAATTATGTTATAACGTATAGCGAAGGAAGTAGGTCGATCCAGGCAGTAACGGCGGAGAACCAGAATTTTGAATATTTAAATAGTGAAAAATCATGCGAAATTTCCACTGTTATAAATCTGTTGTTTGAAGATGTCAGCAGTTGCGACTTCATAGGTTTTGAAGAGTAGATGTTGCTCTATCAGCTAGTGAAGGAATCGGGTCGATTTAAGAGATAGTCGTTGAAAACCAGAGTTCTAAAACTTTACGCCATTTTTGCGTGTTTTTTGACTGTTGAGAGTTAAACTCTTATAAATCTTGAATGTGGAAGTGTATGATGTTGCGACTTCATAGGTTTTATAGAGTAAGGTTTGCCTTATCAGAATATGTCTTGTCCGTTCCGATCCATTGAAACACCTCCGAGATCCAGAGTCATGAAAAAGCAGGTAAAAAAGAGCTTTTTGAACTTCAACAGCTCATAACTTCTTCAGGATTGCACGAATCATGTTGCGACTTCATAGGTTAGATTCTTCTCGTCAAGAGCTTTCAGATGATATATAATATGTGGGGGTTTCGCGCCTCTTACGGCATATGCCCGGGGGGGGGGAGACTTTTTAGGCCAAAGTCTCCCCCGGCAGCCTCCAGCCAATACATTAAAATGGGCGAGGGGGAGACTTTGGCCTAAAAAGTCTCCCCCCCGGTCATAATTCGCAGGAGGCTCTAAACCCCCACATATTATATATCATCTGAAAGCCCTTGATGAGAGGAATCTAACCTATGAAGTCGCAACATGATTCATGCAGTTCTGAAGAAGTTATGAGCTGTTGAAGTTCAAAAAGCTCTTTTTTACCTGCTTTTTCATGACTCTGGATCTCGGAGGTGTTTCAATGGATCGGAACGGACAAGACATATTCTGATAAGGCAAACCTTACTCTATAAAACCTATGAAGTCGCAACATCATACACTTCCACATTCAAGATTTATAAGAGTTTAACTCTCAACAGTCAAAAAACACGCAAAAATGGCGTAAAGTTTTAGAACTCTGGTTTTCAACGACTATCTCTTAAATCGACCCGATTCCTTCACTAGCTGATAGAGCAACATCTACTCTTCAAAACCTATGAAGTCGCAACTGCTGACATCTTCAAACAACAGATTTATAACAGTGGAAATTTTGCATGATTTTTCACTATTTATTTATTCGAAATTCTGATTCTCGGCCGTTACTGCCTGGATCGATCTACTTTCTTCGCTGTACGTTATAACAAAATTTGCTTAATAAAATCCGTACAGTCCAACAAACTTCTACTTCCAAATACACCATTTACTAAACACGTCTATTTTGAATTTTTATAAATAAAATTTGTAGATATTTTTAATATTCATCGTATCTGTGGCCCTAAAGAGGGCCGTTGGGTCGACGTTAGACCTAGAAAGATAGCTCCGTTCGTCCGTTCTATCCTCCCCCCGCACCTCCCCCACCCCCCCCCCCCCCCCGTCGACGTTTTTGGGAGGTGAGTGTCCGACACTACCACCTTCACTTTTGGCCGGCCAGTGGTAGCTGAAACCACCTTCACTTTTGGGGGACCCGGCTCCCCCTATCGCACCTCTGGTCTACGACCACTGCACACGCAGGATATCTACCAGTTGAAGAGTCCCGTACTCTTCAAAATCCTTTCAGATGATTAGCGATGTGTTACCAGAAGAGCGATTGAAAGAAGACAATAATTGATTGTGAGAAAGCCGAATGCGAGTGCAATGGCCGCAAACTCGCTGACTCTCGCGATCGCGCACAACCCTATAACTAGAGGGTAAATACAATCACTTTCCAAAGTCAGCTAGACTAATACAGTTTTCAAAGGACTTCCGGGCACTTATTTGTCAAAACTCCGTAGGGTATGAAGAAGCACTGTAGGTAATTGCCCGGAACGTTCTGAAGTCCTGCGGAACTATCAGCCAAAAATAAGTCTGAGGCGCCTCATAGCCTTCGTTTCAGGGTAATGACAACACAAAAACACTAAATCTTATCTTATATATAAAGCTGAATGTCTGTTTGTCTGTCTGTATGTCTGTCTGTCTGTCTGCATGTCTGTGTGTACGTATGTTCCGAATAGAAAATTCCATTTCTGAACCGATCCGGACCAAACTTGGCACACATACACTACGGGCCCCGGCGGGTGTCATAGGCTACTTTTCGTCATCGATCGATATCGATTTTATCGATTTTTATCGATTTTTTTGCTGAGTTCACCTACGGGGCTGGGAGTTGGCATAGGGGGGGTAATCGAGCATGGGGTTTCCGAATACAGTATTGGTTTTCAGGATTATCGATTACTTTTATCGATTTTATCGATTTTTTGCAAAGTTTGAGCTACGGGGCTGGGAGTTGGCACAGGGGGGTAATCGAGCATGGGGATCATCCCCAAGGGGGGTGATCAGCATGCTCGATTACACCCCTGTGCCAAATTCCAGCCCCCTAGCTCAAATTTTCAAAAAATCGATAAAATCGATAAAAGTAATGGACGATCTTGAAAACTAATATTGTATTCGTAATCTGCATGCTCGATTACCCCCTGTGCAAACTCCCAGCCCCGTAGGTGAACTCAGCAAAAAAATCGATAAAAATCGGTAAAATCGACATCGATCGATAACGAAAAGTGGACTGTGACACCCGCCGGGGCCCGAAGTGTATGTGTGCCAGGTTTGGTCCGGATACGGCGGAGCGGGGTAAGCCAGCTAGTTTACAAATATAAAGGATTATTTGCATCCGTGAAATGTTTGGTGTGCTTGTCATACGAGAAATATAAGAAACGCTTTGGAATTTATTTATATCAGATTAAACCAGGATGAAAAATGATCAGTATCATCCGAAGACATAGTGCTAAAGGGTGAAACACAAATGTCCTCCAGCATCGCTCATCTTCAGCTTCACTTTCCTCATCTTCTCTGAAAGGGAAACCATCAACAAGAAAGCAGATTTTCGAACAGAATCCTGTTTATGCTAACAAAAAAAAATTATGATGTACTTCTAAAATTCACTGGATTTCGAGACGCACACCCTCATCCTGTGCTTCTCGTCTCACAGCGTTAGCGATGGACATATCGAGATGTGGACATCAGAACAGCTGCGATTTTTGGAAGATAGACGACTAAGCTGATATTGATATCTGGAATAGCTGGAGACCAAAAAACTGACAGATGAGAACGAATGGAATAGGGACTGTAGAAAATATTGAATGAGAGTTCTAATTTGTGCTAAATCGCACGCCTGTCAAATTCATATTCGATATAATGAGTGAAAAACTGGTTACTAAACAGTTTCGGAAAGTGACCGTGAGTCAATAAAGGAGTTGAAGTCATGACTTCACTGAAAGAATCACATGTAAGTGGAAAAGACGATAAATGTAATGTAAATAGTGAGGCACTTTCTGTCATCGCATCTAAACTCTAAACAACCGAAGTAAACTAAGACACCCATTCAGCAGCCATGTGATTGGAGAATAGCCAGAACGGTTAACGGAAGAAAACAATCAATGTGGAACAGTGAGTGTTTCAACCGAAACTTTTTGTGTGTCACATCGCCAGTGTTGAACGACTCGGATGATTCCAAAGTTCAGAATATTTATAGCTGCTGAGAGGGTAGAAAACCAGTTTCAAATGAAATTAGTGTCACTGGCGTCGATAACGCTCTAGGTATGATGAGAAAACGTTCGATGCGTTGGGGTTTTGTGGAACACGGGGAGGGCAGATATCCATCATTTGTAAACGCGTCGAAACCCAATGAAAGGGCTTACAGCGGAATGTATTTTGAAAATGTGCCAACTCTCATGAGCAAACGTTCTTTAACTCAATCAGACTCTTGATTATTTTCAGACTTCACATCTCAGACAATTTATGGGAACTTCCGTAGTACAAGCAAAATTTGCAGTAGTTCCGCAGGATCTTGTTTACTAAAGTCAACGGGAATTTCCGCACGACTTTTTACAAAATGCTGCGGATTCCGAGAAATGTCAACGGTTTTGCAGCACTTTGACTTGCCAGTACTTCCGCAGGAATTCAAATGTGTTTTACGACGTTGTCTCGCCAACAAATAGAGTGCATTGTTGAACATGTCTTCCGTAGTGCAGAGGATAGTAGGTGAGTTGCACAGTCAATAGACAACGCTCAAATCCGCTAAAGAGTTCTCTTTTGCTGTTGTGGTTCGCTTTCTCAGAACTTCCGCGACTGTTTACGGGAATTCCGCAAGTGATCCGGCGAAACTTTGCCAACTTTGCCGTTCTGCGGAAGTCCCGACTTGCCTGGGATAGCTATTAAAAAACAGTCTTCTCAAACATTGTTTCACATCTGTGGCAATGTAAATTTCGATTATTTTTGCTTGTGTTTGACGTCGAAAATGTGCATAAATCTGTTTGATTCATCGACGCTGTCTTGCCATTAAATCTATATAATGCGCAAATCCGACACACAAACCAATCTGTTCTTCCACTATGCTCAACTTTTTTGCTTGATGCAGTCATTTTGTGGTAAGACCTGATAAATGGCGTCTTGCACAAATCACAACATGACGTAGCATTCGTTATTCTCGTTGATTAGGTAGAATTAATGAGAAAAAAATGTGAAACGCATATATGTTTAACAAAACATAACCAGTGCAGTAAAGTGGAGTAAACTGAATATTTATTATTTCCAGAAATAATAGTTTGTCCCACCCTATCAAACGAAAACTTTTGCACTGCCTCGCCGTTAGTGGTTATACAAGCAGTTTCTGCATATGGAACAAACAATTTCAAAATGTTTCATATTTCGGAGCTCCTAAACAATGAGGGTCTTGCATCAGTCCAGGTCTTTTTCCATGAAAACATTGTGTTTGAAATGGATCAAACTCTCACGGAGATATTTCACGAAAAAATCTTTTAGACCTCTACTTGCACAAAAGTATCTCGTAACCGCCTCAAGCGGATACATCTACCTTCTAGCTATAGGAAAATTGGAAGGAACAGAATTATTCAGTGTTGCTGGCAATTGTCGCTACGAATGAATAAGAGATGCAAGAAATACAGGACTCTGTAGAGAAATGCCTAACGTACAACCACATCTATTCCCTTATTATGCAACAGGACCTCTAATGGTCTCTCAGGTAGTCAAAACAAGTGTTGATATACGCAATTTGAGTTATATAGGAAATCTTGTTAATTATTATATCTAAGATTTTCCCGCATCTTCAAAGCAGAGTACTTTTTCATTTCGTGCGCTTTGAGACGGGCCTAGAAACAAGCTTATCTGTCCGAAAGTGTTATCTTTCAACGAGTTTTTCGATCTATTGTTCTCACCCTAGAGTGGCTGCTAGCGCATAATGGGTTTCCGCAAGAGCAAGTAAGTAAAATTTGCTGTTTGGACGTCTCATTTAGGATCTATGAACTTTACCAACAAATGCGATCACCCACCCAATCATTCTGTGCCTCCATTCTATTTGAACCCTAGCTATCCTTGGCTCAGCAATTACGAAGTCTTTGTACTTTTTTAGTTTTGCTGGGGGCCATCAAACATTTTCTGGTTTCATGATCTTACATAGTTTTTCTTTTCACAAAATGATCTCTGTCACCTTCGAAGATGACTTTTGATAAGGATCGAGGACATAACGTTTTATGCCTTAGATTTCGCTTTCCCCACCACGCATATGTCTAGCCTTTTCCTTCAAACGACACATGGAAATTGAGACCTTTCTGCTTGAGTGATGAGCTCAATTTGATAAAACATAAGTTCAGAAAAGATGAGAAGAAACCCATTAGTGAGGAAGAAGAGCAAGCAAAGAAAGTTCCAGTCACGCAGTTGGTAGGAGTCAATTTCCTTCTATTGTCCCTGTAGCAGATTTCTACTTCGAAACTTTAGTTCCGCTATGCTAGCTGCAAAGAATTAATTCTGCTCTTCATTGGAATTGGAGTTTCACTCGTTACCGGCGCCGGATTGCCACTGATGTCCATTCTTCAAGGCAGGATAACCCAAGCTTTTGTCTATGAACAGATGTACAAAACCAACACAACACCAGGTAGAGTAGATGAAGTTTTTGCTTATTCAAGCTATCAAATCTCAAAATACTTACAGGACCAGATTTTCACTATAACGACACGAATTTCACTCATGACGTTATGAACGCGGTTTATGGTTACACAGCTATGGCTGTCGGAATTTTCTTGGCAGCTAATGTTCAGGTAAATTATGCCTCATTGTCTCTTTACATGCTAACCTAGTCTTAGTTCTTCTTTCTTAGGTACCGTCTGCCTCGTGGTCTTAGTTGGTAGATTAACTTCTAAAAAACTTGAAGAAATACGCTCGACAAAATTTTCTGAAAATATGATAATAAATTTTCCTGGCACATAGATTTCAGGTTTTATGGATTGTTATTCATAGACATTCGTTATCGTAAGTGACATTCTTGCGTATAGGAAACTCACGAAACATGAATACAGCAGTGGCAGTTCCAAAAATGTTTTTCTTGGAAGCGCTGGATGGAGGGAGGGGGGGGGGGGGGGAGTGTTTCAACAGAACTTCAGAAAGGGAAGTTTTTTGGGAGGCTGTTAGCAACTGAGCATGGTTAGAAAACCTCGCAAGTGATATCGAATTTTTGTTTCATGCAAACAATTTTTTGTTTGTATTTATCAACACCTGTAATTTTTTCACGAATCTTCTGAGAAAATGCAAAATCTTTCCAAACTTTGCGAATGAAAGCAAGTCACCTGCACAATTTATTAAATTTTGTAGATTAGAGCGAAAAGTTGTGCGACTCTCTCCTACTTCTACCGCTAGTTAAGTGCCAGTCAATTATTTGTAAGAGAGAGCAAAAATTTACGTAGTTTCCTAGAACATGGATTGTCTGATCGAAGTTTCAATTCATAATAATTATTCGTCTATAGTTGATGGTTCTGTCCATATCTGATCATCAGCAATCTCAGTAATCATTATAGGTGACATGTTTCCTGATTGTTTGCGAACAAATGAGCAATCGAATTCGTCGAAGATTTGTCCAAGCCATTCTGCGGCAAGATATCTCATGGTTTGATAAGAATAACAGTGGCACGTTAGCCCCTAAACTGTTTGAGTGAGTTGAGTTTGGCCATTTTGTCAAATTTTGGCCAGCCCTACATGTAATTTGTTCCTAACGTATAAGGATTTTTTTACAGCAATTTGGAACGAGTCAAGGAAGGCACAGGAGATAAGATTGGCCTCATGTTTCAGTATACTAGTCAATTCTTCACTGGTCAGTATGCAACATTTTCATGTCCGCAAATTCGCCTATTCATTGCTTGTTGCTCCAACTTTTTGTCCTATGTATTATTAGGTTGTCAAGAAAATAATGTCCGTTTTTATTTGCTTGCTTTAACAAAGCAATCAGACTCAACCCAACAAAGGGCAAGGGGTACTGTTCGATAGAGCAAAGCAAGCTCTATTAGATGGCACTCATGTCTTTGCGCCACGCTCGATCCACGGAGAGTTCGAACTCAAAATCTAAAGATTTCCAAATGCCCAAAAAATTGAAAAAAATCAGATCTTCGTCCAAATAATTTCTACGAAGCTTCCACTCGCTCACATCAATACTATCGATATCTGATATCCATATGTGCGATTGCCGTATTTTTTCCTTGACTAGAAACTGAGAAAACGAAAATTTCCCTGATTTTCTCAAAGCAATGCTGAGCCGTTTTTGCATATGTAGTTCTATACTACAAGCCTAGGTAAGTATAACTGTAGATTTTCAGCCCATTCCACGCGGTAGTTTTCGAAAAATAACGAATTCGGATTTTTTCGTTTCAGTTTCAGTGCTAAAATCGACATTTCGCGAAAAGTACCGCTCGAAATAGGCTGAAAATCTACAGTTATGCTTACTTAGGCTTGTAGTATAGAACTACATATGCAAAAACGGCTCAGCATTGCTTTGAGAAAATCAGGGAAATTTTCGTTTTCTCAGTTTCTAGTCAAGGAAAAAATACGGCAATCGCACATATGGATATCAGATATCGATAGTATTGATGTGAGCGAGTGGGAGGTTCGTAGAAATTATTTGGACGAAGATCCGATTTTTTTCGATTTTTTGGGCATTTGGAAATCTTTAGATTTTGAGTTCGAACTCTCCGTGGATCGAGCATGGCGCAAAGACATGAGTGCCATCTTGTAGAGCTTGCTTTGCTCTATCGAACAGTACCCCTTACCCTTTGTTGGGTTGAGTCTGATTGCTTTGTTAAAGCAAGCAAATAAAAACGGACATTATTTTCTTGACAACCTAATATATAATATGTGTTATAATTGTGGAAAAACTTGAAACTTTAGGCTTTATAATCGCTTTTACCCACAGTTGGAAGCTAACGTTGGTAATGTTGGCTGTAACCCCATTACAAGCACTCTGCGGTTTCGGAATAGCCAAGGTTAGCAGCTTTTACTACGGCAAGCTAAGTTGGCAGAACGAGAAGGGGGATTTTTGAAAATTCCTCGCAAAATCTCAGGTCTTTGACTCACTAGCTTGGCGGCTGGAAGGCGGGGCTTCCTGATCTAATCAAGGCCCCCGCGACGCAGTCTACGTTTCTCCCGTGCGCGTGCTCTCTGATCATTACCCTGGCCTTAATTAGGTCAGGAAGCTCCGCCCTCCAGCCGCCAAGCCAGGATCAAAGGGTGGCTCTTACAAAAAATATACTTTTAGTCCATGTCTACATTCACCATACAAGAAACCATAAAGTACGCCAAAGCGGGAAAAATTGTCGAGCAGGCGATTTCTTCCATTCGCACTGTGTGCGCACTCAATGGATTACCGTTCGAAATTGCCAGGTAGAAATCTTTTGTAGCTACCCAACTATTTCTTTTATCTCTTTGCTTGGTAATTCAGGTACAAGGTAGCTCTTCTGGAAGCTCGCCGAGCTGGTATTATGAAAAACTTATTTGTCGGTATTTCGTTCTGCTGTATGGGTCTGGTGAATTTTTCATCCTTCTCTTTGGCTTTCTACGTCGGGATCACCTGGGCTGTCGATGGTCAAATTCAATTGCAAGATCTTTTAACGGTAAACTAATTGGAAACGCTACGATATCTACGTGAAAATCTTTTTTCCAGACTTTCTTCTCTGTGATGATGGGTTCATTAGCTTTGGGTCAGGCCGGTCCACAATTTGCCGTTTTGGGAGCAGCACAAGGCGCTGCTGCGAGTATATATGAAGTTCTCGACAGGGTTAGTGCCTTTCAGATTCCGCTTCTACCAACTACTATACTATTACCAACTACTATAGTATTTCAGGTGCCAGAGATAGACTCATCAAGCAAAGCAGGTCGCCGTGATCTAAAAATTAAAGGCAATATTGAGGTCAAAAATGTTGTGTTTAACTATCCATCTCGACCTGATGTTCAGGTATTTCTAGCATGCCGTAATTTTCCGGCTCTTCTAAAAATAGAATCAATTTCTAAGGTCCTCAAAAAGCTGTCACTGAGCGTAAAAGCTGGAGAGACTGTGGCACTTGTAGGCTCTAGCGGTTGTGGCAAGAGTACCATAGTCAGCTTGCTTCTACGATACTATGATGTGCTTTCAGGAGAGGCGAGTTTAGAAAATCTCATATTCTTGTGTGGTCCCTAAGTCCACGATGATACAAAACAATCTCTTAGATAACCATTGATGGCGTGGCTCTGAAGCAAATCAACATAGAGTACCTTAGAAATCACATAGCTGTTGTATCACAGGAGCCAATCCTTTTCAATTGTTCCATCGAAGAAAATATACGGGTGAGTCCATTCAAATTACAAATCTGCTTTCTACATTTTTCCACTTTGAAAGAAATAGGGTTTTTATGCCATCATCCATGTCTTTATGTACTTTTTGAAAGTATTTTCGAATCTTTAAAGATTTGCCTAAAAAAATTCTACAAAAACTTTTGATTCGTACCGTGTATTTATAAATATAACAAATAGCACAAATTCCCCTCAACCTGAAAGAAAAATTTAAAAGAACTACGGCAGTATCTATATATAAAGAACCAGTGCGTCACCTCTGCTTCGCAGAGGCTCGCACTGGCTCCACTATCTAGGCCCTACTTATTCTCGCACAATGATGGCATTGGAACTCACCGAGCAATGCCGACTATCACGAACAAAATGTAAACAACTATTCATTCCGAAAGCTTTTTTATGTAAAATCGGTGATTTCGTGTGGATGAGACTTTTTGCAGGAAAACAAACGCAAATTTTTATAGGTTCTTGATTTTCCCGTGGTCTTGACAGTTGCAATAAGAATAGCAGTCACCGTGAGCTACATCTTTGTGCAAAAATCTCGTCAAAAGCTCTGGTAAAACCTTAGCAAATTGACCATTTAAGCAACCAATACTTTTTGGCGCCGTTTTTGTAAAGTAATGGACTTTTGATCATTTTTTGGGCCTAAGTTCATGACTTGCACATTTACTTGGCATAAACATTCACGACTCTACAAAAAGTGGAATTACGGACCCAATTTGGCGGCCCAAATGCAAAGTGGATCCGTTTGACACGCAGTTTCTGAGGGATCCACTAAACGAATCTGCTCGTGCTTTTGCATGTTGGACTTTCATGCGGATAGCATACACTGTGCAAAATTTGAGCCCAGGAGGTTGGCTGGAACACGCTCTACGAATTTCGTAACAGACACACTCACACACACACAAAGTCACGTAAACAACCTTAGCCCGTTATTATAAGTAACTAGCTGGCTTACCCGGCTCCGCCGTATCCGGACCAAACTTGGCACACATACACTTCGGGCCCCGGCGGGTGTCACAGTCCACTTTTCGTTATCGATCGATGTCGATTTTACCGATTTTTATCGATTTTTTTGCAGAGTTCACCTACAGGGCTAGGAGTTGGCACAGGGGGGGAAGTGAGCATGGGGATTCCGAATACAATATTAGTTTTCAGAATCATCGATTACTTTTATTGATTTTATCGATTTTTTTGCAAAGTTTGACATGCGAGGCTGGGATTTTGCACAGGGGGGTAATCGAGCATGCTGATTACGAACACAATATTAGTTTTCAGGATCGTCCATTACTTTTATCGATTTTACCGATTTTTTTGTAAAGTTTGAGCTACGGGGCTGGGATTTTGCACAGGGGGGTAATCGAGCATGCTGATTACGAACACAATATTAGTTTTCAGGATCGTCCATTACTTTTATCGATTTTATCGATTTTTTGAAAATTTGAGCTAGGGGGCTGGAATTTGGCACAGGGGCGTAATCGGGCATGCTGATCACCCCCCTTGGGAATGATCAGCATGCTCGATTACCCCCCTGTGCCAACTCCCAGCCCCCTAGCTCAAACTTTGCAAAAAAATCGATAAAATCGATAAAAGTAATCGATAATCCCGAAAACCAATATTGTATTCGGAATCCCCATGCTCGATTACCCCCCTGTGCCAACTCCCAGCCCCGTAGCTCAAACTTTGCAAAAAAATCGATAAAATCGATAAAAGTAATCGATAATCCTGAAAACCAATATTGTATTCGGAATCCCCATGCTCGATTACCCCCCTGTGCCAACTCCCAGCCCCGTAGCTCAAACTTTGCAAAAAATCGATAAAATCGATAAAAGTAATCGATAATCCTGAAAACCAATACTGTATTCGGAAACCCCATGCTCGATTACCCCCCCCTATGCCAACTCCCAGCCCCGTAGGTGAACTCAGCAAAAAAATCGATAAAAATCGATAAAATCGATATCGATCGATACGAAAAGTAGCCTATGACACCCGCCGGGGCCCGAAGTGTATGTGTGCCAAGTTTGGTCCCGATCGGTTCAGAAATGGAATTTTCTATTCGGAACATACGTACAGACATACATACAGACATACATACAGACATACATACATACATACAAACAGACATTCAGCTTTATATATAAGATGATCGTTGTGCTTATTCACAAAAGGTGAGTTGCGGGAAACCGGGCGGTCCCGCAGCGAACGCTCCTGCAAATCTAGCGTTTTCAAATTACTGGTTTGCTAGTAGAAATCAAATTTGAAATTAAAATTGAATTCCCGGAAATATGTAGAGTCATTAGCGATCAGATGTATGCTTTTACTGTTTTATCAATCAGCTTGTATCCCCACTACTACGTGCTAGAGAGATTTTTTTGTAACATCCAGAAAATGCAAAATTCTCTCTTTCTAAGCTATATTGAACCAAACGAATATACAATTATGTAAGAAAATTTTGTCGCAAGGCTACAGAGCAACTTAATAGTCAAGAAAGATCGCTAATTATTATGCTTTCAGTATGGAAAACTCGATCTTACCCAACAAGAACTCGTGACCGCATGCAGAATGGCGAACGCGGAAAAATTCATAAATACGCTACCAAATGCAAGTTTTCTTCAAATTACGACATTCAAGGATCCATTTTATTTTCTTAGGGATACCAGACTCTCGTCGGCGATAGAGGCACCCAGCTGTCAGGAGGACAAAAACAACGTATTGCTATCGCCAGAGCATTAGTTCGAGATCCGAAAATTCTGCTTTTGGATGAGGCCACAAGTGCGCTAGATGCGGAAAGTGAATCAGTGGTACAGAAGGCCTTGGAGAGGGTGAGATTCTGGATCAAGAAAATAAAAGGCTTTGATGTGGCGATGTGTACAAACTTAGGCATCAATCGGTCGTACAACAATAATCATCGCCCATAGGCTGTCAACAATCAAAAATGCCAATAAGATTATAGCCATGAAAGTAGGTTTGGCTGGGATGGACTGCTTTAAATCTCTCCTATTTTGTACTGCTCTTCATTTCGTAGGCAGGTGAAGTTGTGGAATTTGGAACCCACGATGAGCTTCTAGCCAAGAAGGGGCTTTATTATGACTTAGTCAATGCCCAAACATTTACAGATGCCGTCGATAATGTCGTAGGTAAGCCAGTATTTATGCGATTCTGCAGTTTTGAACCTGCCAAATACTTTTTTGATAGCTCATGACGAAGAAGAGGATTACAAAGAGGACATGAGACGCGCGAGTCTTGTTTCGAGGGAAATTTCCATTCAGACTGTCAACGATATGCAGGTAGATATTTCTTTTCTAATTGATGATCTCCACAGAAGTGGCAGAATACCACTTTTTCACGCAGATTCGGATGCGTGGTGCAACTGTCATGACCATGGAGGGACAAGAACAAGAGGAGACAAAGGAGAAAAAAGACGATATAACACGATTGAAAAAAGGTCAGCACTAATAAGTCACGTTATGAGCAAATTTTTCTCGCCCCCAGTTAGATCACAGCTAATGCGCTCAGCACAATTTTTTTAACGAGGAAAGATGCGACAATCTATACTCCCCTAATTAGTACCCCGTCTACAAGAATTTTAAGAGTAGGACATTTGCGTTGGTCAGGCCTCCTAATGTGCCCACTGAATGGAAAAGATGGAGCTAAACCCCGAAAGTGCTATCAAGCCACGCCCGCCCTATCAAGCTCCGCCCACCTAAACACTGAAAGTCATCTGTGCCTTCAGAAAATAGGATCTTGAAATTTTTTGCATATTTTGCTCTCATGTCTGTGATCAAAGCTACGAAAAGGCTCCGAAATGACAATCCAGACTAAATTGTGTGGATGCTGCTTTATAACATTTTTTGATATTTCGCTTTCACCACCCCTTCCTCTTAAAGTCACACTAGAAGCCCATTCCAGAACTGAAGGACGAAGGTGTAAAGAAGACAAACCTCTTTGAAATCCTCTCTTATGCTAAACCCCATTGGAAACCCCTTACGGTTGGTTTGGTCGGTTGTACTATAGGTGGACTCGTTTACCCGGCGTATTCGATTATCTTCATGCAAGTAATCACGGTAAGAAACATTTAATTCTAACTTTTTTACCCGTATCGTAGTAATTGCCTTTTCAGTCTTTCTCGAACACAGCAACTCTGCTCTCAACTGGTCATTTTTGGGCTCTCATGTTTCTCGTTTTGGCTGTCGTACAAGGAGCTACACTGTTTTCACAGGCATAGTCTACCAATTGTTTTACCTACGGCTTATCTCACTGTTTTCAGACATTCTTCATGGGCCTTGGCTCAGAATATCTCACTATGGATCTGCGTTCGAAATTATTCACCAATATACTCTCCCAGGACATGGCCTACTTTGATTCGCCCCTACATGCTTGCGGTAAAATTTGTACTCGGCTTGCTAGTGATGTGCCAAATCTTAGATCGGTGAGTGCTCATAATCTAATCAAGGGGATTAATTTACAAAATCTAAGGCCATCGACTTTCGACTTACTACTGTAATCGGAACACTCATCTCCGTGGTTGGTGGTATCGTGCTTGCCTTTATTTATGGTTGGCAAATGGCATTTTTAGTAGTGGGTATATTGCCACTGTTAGGTGAGACTTGAATTTTTATTTATGAGGAACTTGGAACATTTGAATAGAAAATACAACTCAGTATCCAAAAACTTTTACTTCCATACTTCTGATCTTTGCAGCATTTGGACAAGCTCTTCGAGTGCGTGTCTATAGTGGAAAACATCGCAAAGGTGCGAAAGATTTCGAAGATTCTGGAAAGGTTTGTATTCAATTGTTTGAAACAGCGTTTCAATCCAAACATCACCAAAAGTTCCCCCAGATGTTTTTGAGAATTTTCGCCTCACTACTAGATAGCATCAGTATCAAATTTGAGAAAGATCGCTCCAGAAAGACGTAAAATACTGACTACAAATGTCTTTTGCAAAGAAATTTAGAATATTTTTCTTCTGCTCATGTTTAGTAACCTTAGAATTTTCGACTTCATTGTACCTACTCTTTCTAGTGAGACTCCCAAAATTGTCCGCTTTCTGTTATAAAATTGCAGATTGACAACTGAAAAGCATTTGAGGATGCATTCAATGCAGCATTTTTTATGACCCATTGCCGCCTACTAAATTTCTATTAATTTGTGAAAACCACTACTCTACAAAAAATACATTTCACATAAAGCAAATCGTTGGCTATGCGCTGCTCTCAGACGCCTTATTGAGAATTCTGACACTTCTTGGAGAACTCAATTATCCGTAAAATCTAAGCTTGACTCGGTTTAGAAAATTGTGATCTCGAAATGTTCAGTACTCCTAAAAGCTAGTGCAGGATGCGGAAAAGTAATGAACTGAAGCAGACCTTTCCTATTATTAGGTTGTCAAGAAAATAATGTCGGTTTTTATTTGCTTGCTTTAACAAAGCAAACAGACTCAACCCAACAATGGGTAAGGGGTATTGTTCGATAGAGCAAAGCAAGCTCTACAAGATGGCACTCATGTCTTTGCGCCATGCTCGACCCACGGAGAGTTCGAACTCAAAATCTAAAGATTTCCAAATGCCCAAAAAATCGAAAAAAATCAGATCTTCGTCCAAATAATTTCTGCGGACCTCCCACTCGTTCACATCAATACTATCGACATCTGATATCCATATGTGCGATTGCCGTATTTTTTCCTTGACTAGAAACTGAGAAAACGAAAATTTCCCTGATTTTCTCAAAGCAATGCTGAGCCGTTTTTGCATATGTAGTTCTATACTACAAGCCTAGGTAAGCATAACTGTAGGTTTTCAGCCTATTTCGAGCGGTACTTTTCGAGAAATGTCGATTTTAGCACTGAAACTGAAACGAAAAAATCCGAATTCGTTATTTTTCGAAAACTACCGCTTGAAATGGGCTGAAAATCTACAGTTATACTTATCTAGGCTTGTAGTATAGAACTACACATGCAAAAACGGCTCAGCATTGCTTTGAGAAAATCATGGAAATTTTCGTTTTCTCAGTTTCTAGTCAAGGAAAAAATACGGCAATCGCACATATGGATATCAGATGTCGATAGTATTGATGTGAACGAGTGGGAGGTCCGCAGAAATTATTTGGACGAAGATCTGATTTTTTTCGATTTTTTGGGCATTTGGAAATCTTTAGATTTTGAGTTCGAACTCTCCGTGGGTCGAGCATGGCGCAAAGACATGAGTGCCATCTTGTAGAGCTTGCTTTGCTCTATCGAACAATACCCCTTACCCTTTGTTGGGTTGAGTCTGGTTGCTTTGTTGAAGAAAGCAAATAAAAACCGACATTATTTTCTTGACAACCTAATAACTTGTTTTGGTCTAATCTCTAAGGTCTCCCCTACAAGTAACGATTTGAAAAAAATATGTTCTCAAAATGCTGTTTTTTTAGACATGTATAAGTATAAGACTCCACCTATCTGATTAGCGTATTCTACTATCAAAATATAGCAAAAGCTTCTTCTGGTCAAGCCCTTGATATGCTAGAACGAAAGTTTTTTTAAATCAGTGTAACCTAGAAATTTTTGCAAAATTGCTCAAAGTTTATAAGGATAAAATCGCACGGTGCACGGAACATAGAAAACGTCTTATCCAAGAAAGGAAAAAAAGCTGAATTAGATGATAATAATCGTCGTTGAGCAGTGTTCAATGAGTTTTGTAATCGATCAAAAAAGAAATAAACACAAAATTTTCAAGACTGCAATATGTATAGCCATAAACTGTAAAATTTCGATACAATATGTGTAGCCATAAACTGAAATTTCGATATTTAAGGTAGCTATGGAAGCTATTGAACATGTGCGCACGGTACAAGCCCTCACTAAAGAAGCGGCTTTCCACGAGAAATTCTGTCATTATCTGGAAGGGCCTCATAAGGATGCGCTGAGAGAATCTGTTATTCAGGGCATGGCATATGGGTCTGTATTGCTTGTTCTCTTTTTCGGTTGCTTTAGCTCAGTATAGAGAATTTAGTTTCGCGTCATCTGTCGTTTACATACTGAATTGTTGCTCATATCGCCTTGGACTTTATCTCATCGTGCAAAGCATCATGTTACCAATAAGGGTATTGCGGTGGGTTAGCTTAGTTTCATTAACCCAAAAGCAGCTAGATTTATTCTTCTTTAGAGTCATGTATGCCATCACAATCTCCTCCACGACGCTTGGTTTTGCTTCATCATACTTTCCGGAATATATGAAAGCCACATTTGCTGGCGGTATCATCTTCAATATGTTAAAACAAAAGACTAAAATTGATAATCTGTCTAATGAAGGGAAGAAAGAGGTATGTTGCAAGATGCTTGGCACTGTTCTTGGCTTTTATTAGAAACTTTTACTTTTAGAAACTCTCTGGAGCAGTCACGTTCAAAAATGTGAGGTTCTCCTATCCAGAACGGCCTCAGTTGGAGATATTGAAGGTAAATTCTAGATTCTTCATATTTTTTCTAAAATGTTTTTGTGAAGCTAAACGCATTTTCTAGGGTCTCTCCTTCACTGCCAGACCTGGTGAGACCTTAGCCTTGGTGGGCCCTTCTGGATGTGGTAAAAGCACCGTCGTGGCCCTGATCGAGAGATTTTACGACGTAAAGTCAGGACAAGTGGTATATTTCTTGCTCGTTCATGTAGTTAGATGGATGAGGAACTTTGCTAATTGTATGTTAAAAAATCTGTTTTAGCTGCTGGACTCTCACGATATCAGAACTCTTAATCCATACCATACTCGTTCACAAATAGCTATAGTTTCACAAGAACCCATTCTTTTTGATTGTTCTATTGCTGACAATATTGCCTATGGATTGGAACGTAAGTGTCAAATGTCCAACACAATACACCAATTGTTAACTCCTTCATACTTGCAGGACGCCCATCACAATCAGAAATAGAAGCTGCTGCTATGAAAGCTAATATTCACAGTTTTATCGCTCAACTACCTGAAGTAGGTCTACTTTTTGCATGTCAAAAACGATCAAATGTTACTCAAGGGCTACAACACTCCGGTCGGAGACAAAGGAACGCAACTGTCTGGAGGGCAAAAGCAACGCATAGCAATTGCCAGAGCTCTGATTAGGAGCCCTAAGATTCTACTACTGGATGAGGCGACAAGCGCTTTGGATACCGAAAGCGAAAAGGTACAGCGAAACTATTTTGAAAAATCTGGCTTATCACTGCGTATATTCCAGATTGTACAAGAGGCACTGGATCGAGCACGTGAAGGTCGGACTTGTATCGTGATAGCACACCGTTTGAGTACAATCGTCAATGCGGACCAAATTGCTGTCGTAAATGGAGGTGTAATCGTTGAGCAAGGCATGTGCAGTGAATTTACATTTTGGGTGAAAGTGAAAAAATTGCGGCACTTAGGTCGTTGTTCTATCTTGAAGACAGCGGCCAGGCAGGATTTGAATACAAGAAATTTTTGATTACTTGGCTTATTCCTCGCTGATTCCGAAAATGCAGCTTGGAGAACACACAGAATATTAACAACGGGCTATTCTAGGAATTGATTTTGACTTCGGACTTACGCTGGCAAATTTGTAGGCAGTAGCACGATAGGAGACTTTGAAGTATTTATTCTCAATTATGATTCTCAATTTATGAGTGGCTTTACTGCGGAAAAATCGTACACAAAAATTGCGAAATTAGGCCATTATTGCCTTTTCAACTCACCTCTAGGTACGGGCGTGAAGTGATCTAGTTGCATGTTTTGGTCCAGCAGTGAGCCGAGAATAGCTCTGTACAATACCGCTCACATTTTTTGAAAAATAGACGCGAATGTATGGACATGCATGGACATGTACGGACATGTCCATACATGTCCATACATTCGCGTCTATTTTTCAAAAAATGTGAGCGGTATTGTACGGCCAAGTTTGCCCTTTACTCGCACGATTCCTTCGCAAAATAATGGCTTTTAACGGCTTGTAATTTCATTCACAAAGGTGTTCTGCAGATAATCAAGACACATTTAGAGTCAGCGTTTTATGCTGCATCTAATAATATGCAGCTTGCTTGAAGTGGCCACTTCAGTTTCTCAACATTCCCTTGTTAGCTGTCCCCTTTGTGGGGTTGCCATATCAAGGAATGCGTATTATCCTCATATCTTAACAGCTGGTCTTATTCTCATAACATACTTTGCTTTTCAATGCCTCATTCTTTTTCTCATAACATTGCTGTCCCACTTGCAGAATCCTATGCACTCAAGCATACAGCCTGCAAGCTGCTATTCAGTTTGAATCAAAGAAAAATAGACAGAATTTAGGGGTAAGCACGCACAGGGGACTTGAGCTAGATAACGATGGTTTTGTCTTTTTTAAGTGCAGAGATTGAGAGGAATAGAATTATAAAGTTAGAAAAATTTTATCAAACGCGTAAACAAACAATAAAGCACGGATTGATCACCAGGGTCTCAGACAGCGGATCGGACCCCTCCGCCGGAGAAGTGGCAGGGTCGCGGCGTATCCCCAGCGGTGGGTCTCCCATTTGTCCGGCGGAGCCCTCCCATTTTCTGCTCCGGATACCCCCCATTTTCTGCTCCGGATACCCCCCATTTTCTGCTCCGGATACCTCCCATTTTCTGCTCCGGAGCCCCCGATTTTGTGCGCCGGAGCCCCCCGATCGCGGCATACTGTAATTAGCCCTAATTAAAGGCAGCTTCCAGGCAGATCTGGAAGGGCTATGGGGCTTTTACATGGAAAGTACTTTTGGGACCCTAACTAAGGCACTGCCGAAGCAGCAGCTCAGGTAGTGCTCCAATGGCTGAGATATTCCCCTCGAAACAGACCCCCGCGAACGTACTCGCATGGATTCATGGCAGTTTCGCGCCAGGATCCACTCTTTGCGCCATGAATCCATGCGAAACACGGTCGCGGGGTCCGGTTTCGAGCAGAATATCTCAGGCGTTAGAGCACTACTTGAGCTGCCGGTTGGGTAGTGGCTTAGTTAGGGCCCCAAAATACTTTCCATGTAAAATCCCCATAGGTCCAGACTTGCCTGGACGCTGCCTTTAAGCTCCAAACCCCAATTTTGTCTCTAAACCCCACCCAAATAAGCCGAATAGGACCCCCCCCCGGGTAGGAGTTTAGCGCGACCCTCACCCCGTACTCTACCCCCTCCCTCTCACCCCTAGCGTTTGTGGATAGAAGATAGAAGAAAGAACGAAGAGATAAGACATTTATTTCAAATTTATCAAACTTTCGAAAAATCTATCTATCTATCTCCAGCATACGTACAACAGTTAATTCATATTACAAAAAACATACTAGGAGTGATAAGAATATTCAAAGAAAAACTAATTTCCTAGTTGCAAAAAGAACCTTGTAACACCACAGTATAAGCATATGGTTTTAACATGGTAAGAAAATGACAAAAAGATCAAAAAAGCATTCTGTGCAACATGAAACAAAACAGCGAGGAACGCCATAAACTCACATTTGCAAAGCAGGGACATATTGTCCAAGTGCGATATATACATGAGCTATATTCATCGAAACACCTTCGAATTCCGAGGTCCAAGGCCATACTGGGGCAAAACGAAAGTAGGATGATTCAACGTAGTTGCTTGATAATAGTACTAGGACACGATGATGACATGGATTGAAATTCTTGCATATGCAACTTACCTTGAACGCCTTTTCATAGTCTCTTTTGAAATGGAAAAACCGCGCAAGAATGTAACAAGCTTCGGCCTTGATTTCGTCACTTTCCGTCATACTCATTGCATGCCACGCTAACCGTTCAACCTTGTTCATTTCCTGAAAAAGTGATGCCTTCAGATAAAGCGATAAACACCTCGATGTAACAGCTTGGACAAATTTAAAAGGTCCCTTTTATAGATAATTCGTAATTAATTCAAAGAATTTCTGCACTGACTCCTTTGAAGAAGAAGTGGTTGGCAAGATGGACCAAGACAACCGGATTCTCCGGCTCCAGACTATACGCTTGGCCTAGACAAGCCACTGCACTTTGGGCTCCCTCGACAGTATGCGTATTGTAATCCAAAATGGCAAGTGCTGAGAGAGCACAAACATTGTCATTTTGCAATTCCAACGCTTGTTCAAAAGCGATTCTGCAAATTGTAATTGAAAGTCACATAAACAGTAAAGAAGAAGCTATGTGACTCAAACATTTCACATTTACATGCTTACCTAGCCTTATCAGTCCCTAATCTCGCTAAGCAATACTGGAAGCAATGTGATGTGACTAAGCAACAGTAACAGTCACAATGCTTCAGTAACAGTCACAAAACTTCAACATCGTTTGGAGTTGCCTCCAAGACTTTTGTCAACATATCTCTTGCCTTGTCCTATCTTTCAAGCCAGAAACGATATAGTGAGGATCTGCAACGTCTGATGAAAAGTCGATCGACTTGGTAAGCATACGTACGAGAGAGATAGTGTGGACCCCGGCCAGCTTCAGGTACTAGCGCGGCGCACACGCAACGCGCGCCCGACTTGAACGCTTCTCATTTCACTTACGAACAAAAAAACATTATAACCGAAAACAGGAGTGAAATGAGATGTGGAGGCCTCTAATCCGAACACGAGAAAAGCCAAGGCAATAGGAGAACCTTCACAACTTCTACTACTAGCGCTCAGATTCCAGTCAATCTCATAAATAACTGGAATCTTCTATTATCCATCGCTAGTAGTGTATGACACTACCAGCGATGGATGATAGAAGTAACAGGAAAAGTCGAAGAACAATTCTGAAAAGTCTTCCTTCTGTTCATAAAAAAACCCAGAAAGTTTGAGCTCAAGAGCACGATTGCAAAGCTCTGATGGTGTAACAAAAGGCTAGAAGCATCTACACTCCACAAAATCAACTGCATATACACTTATTCTGAACATTTGGAGAGATGTCTCTGAACTACACCGAAATCTTCACTATTGAGAAAAAAACAAGATTTTCGAAACAAATGCTTGCAAGACTGTCAAGACTCGTAAAAATCCATCACCAGCAGTTGACGTGTGTCGTTTACATCTAAAGTAGAGATTACAGAAGAGAACAAACACACTTGAAAGAGGAAATTGAAAGAAATCCCTTCAGAGCCGAAACGAAAAGCGCACTGAAGGCATGCGCTGCGGGCGCGCCGCGGAGGTACCTATGGGAACCTGGCTGGGGTCCACACTATAGCAATAAACGGATTATTTAGACGATACTTTCATCACAACAACACTAGATAGTTGCGCAACTAACCTCATTGTTTCGAAAATCCAGAATTAATCACAAAAACCACTCCATCAATAGTCTACGATGTCTCAGCAAGTCGGAAAGAGCCAAACACTGAAGGTGATTGAGTGCAACCGCACGAAAATTTCAAACATAAACCTGAAAACGAGGAACTTACAGCAACATAAACGCCAACGCGACGAAGAGCAACGCGGAAAAGGAAAAAACGGTAAAGAAACGCGCAAAAACAACAGAATCAAATAAACGGCGACTAAAATATGGACAAAGAGCGTAAACAGAGGACTCATCACCGTGGAGTTAGACGTTTGCTTGCTACGCGCCAAATCGATACGCAGCCTGCTCCGGATACCTCCCATTTCTCCGGCGGATACCTCCCATCTATCTTCTGCTCCGGATACCCCCCATTTTCTGCTCCGGATACCTCCCATTTTCTGCTCCGGATACCTCCCATTTTCTGCTCCGGATACCTCCCATTTCTGCTCCGGACCCCTCCGATTTTCTCCGGCGCGTGTCTTCCAAATTTGGCGGACACGCGCCGCGCAGACCTCTGCGGCGCGGAGTCCGTCAAATCTGGCAGAGTCGCGCCGGAGAAATGGCGGACCTTTGCAGCAGGGCCGGAGAAGCCTCCCATTTGCCTGCCAGTGATGCCACCGCGATGGACCGCCCATTTGCCCTTCTCTCATTGGTCAACTGGGTCCGGCGCGACCCTGGCAGTTTCCGAGGGTCCGGCGGAGGGGTCCGATCGATTGTCTGAGGTGCTATACACAAAAGGCGTCGTGACTAAACGCTAAATGTATTGTTTAGAAGGAGCTAATATTAGGTTGTTAACCAAATTTTCAATTTCTTCGTAACTTTTCTCTCTTTGAGTATGGCGCGCTCAAACGTTGGCATTATATATGCAGCTTGGAGAACACACAAAATATCAAAAACGGGCTATTCTAGAAAGCTACGTGAGCTACGAACTTTTAGGGATTTGGAGCACTAGGGAGGTTAAACAATGTAGCTGAACGCAAAGTTGATGCTAACGTCCGCAAATAGCTCATTAGCGAAGTTTAAAAATTGCCGAGACTTCGTATTATAGGGTGATTCTATCCATTTGCCGTCAAAGGAATGATTTTGTGCCGTGCCAAAAAGGCACTATCGTGCAAGATAAGTATGATTTTCGCAATTAGCGTATTGAGAAACCCCCATAGACAAAGTTTCAGCCGTAACTGTAACGATCTGGAACTATCCGTGAACTTTTCTTTTTACCGTACACCTACTGTAACTCTTACACGCGTCAAAGGAATTTGTAACAAATTGTCGTATTTGTAGCTCACATAATAGTCTTAACATTGTGAACGTTTGAGTGTACTACATGCAAAAAGGGAAAAATTATGTTGCAAAACTTAGTTAACAACCTAGTAAATTCTTATATAAAATTGTCAGAGTCTTGCGATGCCAAGTTAAATCTAGTTTCAGAGTTTATCTTTTTTCGTAATGCAAGCATATATTAGGTTGGTGCAGAAGTTCTTTCCGCCCAAATTCAAAAATTCATAACTTGTTAAAATCTCAACGAAACTGCAAGATCTAAATCTTGCTTAAGAGAAAAACTCATGCTCTTTGCATCTGTACCTGAACTGTTCGTTAAAGTTCACAACTTAAGGAGATAGAAGCTCAAAACCAAAATCACTCAAAATTCGAATGTCTGTGTAGGGTCCATAAAAAATCGGAAACTTGCAACAAAAATCGGAGCAGTCGGTGTTGTAGGTTCTTTCACCAGCTCTTTCTAACGGTGCAAAGTTTGCGCTGATCGAGCGTCTCTATAAAAAGTTATGATTTCCCTGAAAAATGCCAAAATGAATCAAATTCGCCCTTTTGTAATGCTTGCTCGAAATTCATAAGTTTTGATAGAGGCGCTCAATCAGGGCAAACTTTGCACCGTTAGAAAGAGCTGGTGAAAGAACCTACAATACCGAGTGCTCCGATTTTTGTTGCAAGTTTCCGATTTTTTATGACCCTACACAGAAATTCGAATTTTGAGTGATTTTGGTTTTGAGCTTCTATCTCCTTAAATTGTAAACTTTAACGAACAGTTCAGGTAAAGATGCAAAGAGCATGAGTTTCTCTCTTAAGCAAAATTTAGATCTTGCAGTTTCGTTGATAATTCAACAAGTTGTGAATTTTTGAATTTGGGCGGAAAGAACTTCTGCACCAACCCAATATTTTGTAATCGTTTGATGGATTATTTGTTTTACCAATAAAAAAACATTATGACTCTAATCTTTGTTCCAGGATCTCATAGTGAACTAATGGCCAGGAGAGGGGCTTACTACGATTTGACTCAAAAGCAGACAACGAAGACGTAAAAATGAAGACCACATGTGACCCATTATGTGCTTTGTGAACATATCTTGATTACGTGTCATTATTTCTAGCCTTACTTTTGAGTGAGAGTCTTCCAGTGCCTGATACTTATCGCGTCTTTCAATACGCTCTCAATCAAAGGTGTTCTGTTGTTTACTATAGTTCCACATATTCTCTCCTGTTACCTTCACTTCTATTTCGAGTAAACTAGCTGTAAGCACTGGGAAAAAAACTCGCTTCTCTGATGAAAGTGATAGAATTACAATTATATTTTTTTGATTCGACAGATATATGGTTACATATGCTGTTTTAGTGTGAAACACAATGGCCTACTGGAGACAAGGTCGTTACAATTGGCTTGCATTGACAAAAAAGCCCCAACTTCGTAGCAAGGCAGAAGTTTCCAGACCACGAAGCCAAAATTGTGATGCCCAAAAAGTTTTGTGACGTTTGACGACAATTTCGTTTTGTTGCGAAAATTCGCTGTACGCGACGCCCGATGACAAAGTAGTAAGCACGCGTTTTGCACGAAGCGGATCAAGTGGGTCAACAGGATGAAGTATGGCAAGCGCCTAATGTGCAATTTTTTCTGCTCGGTCAAAACGACCTGAATTTCCTCTGTATCCAGCTCAGACTCTATATAGCTTTCTAATTAATTTTATATCGTAATCGAATGCCACTCATTTGCTAGGAAAATGCAATCGCTTACTGCACACGATTTTTCAATTATTCGGGTATCTGAGCAGTGTTGAGGACAGTTACTAATTATTGTGGGTCTCACGTCAGAACCATTAACATGCCAAAACCTTTTTTTGGATCCCTTTAAAAGAAACCAGCATTGCAAACCTTTAACTGTTTACTAAATAAAACAAACAATGTAAAAGTCCTGTACGCTGATATGTTAACAAAAAAAATTCATGTGCGTGCGACTTCCTTGCATGGTGCGAAATCATCTTCTAAAGTGTGATTATAAGCAATATGAACAAGTTGTTCTGATATTCTCACCTCTTCATCTTATACAACGCGAAATATTGGAGGAGCTGTATATAAGATGCATTGTTGGCAAAATGTACGCTATTATAGATTGCTTACCGTAAAAGTCAGCATCCCTGCAATAATGGCAAACTGGAGTGCACAAATAGCCAAGAGGATTGTTTTCCATTTGAAGAACGCTTTGAACAGAAAGCCTAAAAATGTTGTGCTCGTATAAGCATCATCCATTCAAAACTAGAAAATCAGCCGGTTGTTGGCTGAAGTGGTTTGACGATGCATTTGCGAGCAGAATAAATGGCAAGTGGATATACAGTGCTGATCAAAAGTTTGCAGCCACTCTGGAATTTTGCTATATCTTACTCTGTTTTGTCTAGAACGAACCTGAATTTCGATACTGTGCAAATCACTCTAAACACTGTGTGAAAAATTTTGGAGTTTTGCACAAAGAATGGGCATTTGGGCAGAGGCAAAAACCCCGAAACCAAAGCTGGTCAAAAATTTGCGGCCACTTTCTGCTAAATCCTTGGAAAACTTATCACCCTCCAGCTGGGCTACAGATGCACATCTAAGCCTTGAGATATGTAGTGCGACCAGCATTCACAGCATTCATCAAACTCCAGTTGACCTTATGGGGCAAATTTATTTGAACCCAAATGGCCGTAAAACTTGGATAAATCATTAGGTTGCCGAGAAGTAATCGACTGATCCGTACTACTGCGGGAAAGTTCTACCATACGTTTACTGGCGGTTTGCGAGTATGACAGAGAAAGCATTACTTGGCATGCTTCTCTACCACCACCTTAATTCAGATTAGGAGACCTTTCAGTCAAAAAAGGTTGGGCACAGCGGGTATTATTTCTCAAAGTTGATAATAACCCTGGTTTTATGAAGACGAACTCTGGTCCGCATCTCGCAGAGCTTCGTTGAAAGTATGGAGGAGCCACAGCTGCAGAAAAGTTCGCGCAATTATCACTACTAATAATTCCCCTTGACAATGTCGAATGTTCCCTAGATGTGATAATCGCGCAAACTTTACCGCAGATGTGGCGCCTCCATAATTTCAATGGAGCTCCGAGAGATGCGGACTACGGCTCGTCTTCGTCAAATCAGGGTTTTTAACAAGTCTGAGAAATTTTTTTGATAGCTGAGCCCAACTTTTGAGCTGAAAGGCGTTCCTAATCTGAGTCGAGTTGGTGTTAGATGTTCAAGCATGCCAAGTAATGCTTTTCCTGCCACAGTCGCATATCGCCAGTAAACGTCTAGATAATAAAACAACTTTTCCATAGGAGCACGGACCAGTCGACTACTTCTCGTCAACCTAATGATTTATCCAAGTTCCGCGTCATTTGAATTCAAGCAAATTTGCTCTGTAAACCCTTCTTCTAGGAGTTTGATGATGCTGGCTGCACTTCATATCTCAAGGCTCAGGGGTGCATCTGTAGCTCAGATAGTGGAAGGTGGCAAGTTCTCCAAAGACGTTTAGCAGAAAGTGGCCGCAAACTTTTGGCTAACTTCGATTTTTTGCCGTTCCCTAGTGTGCATGAAAATGCAAAATTTCTTGACATAGTTTGAAGCAGTGTGATCTGCACATATTATCGAAATTTGGATTTCTTCTAAGCAAAGCAGAGTAAGATATAGCAAAATATTCCAGAGTGGCTGTAAATTTTTGGCTAGCACTGCATTAGGTTGTGTCATAAGTTCGTCCGCAATTTTCCTTTTAGTTTTTTTTCTTAATAAAAGGTCTTTGGAGAAATGTTTGTATGCGTTCGAAAGCTCTGAATCTGCTCTACCAAACTGCTGTGATTCTCCTCTCAGTTTCCAAGAACTTGATCAAGAAACTCGGCTGCGAACCGAAAAATCCGAGAAGGCAAATTTTCTACATTTGACATCTTTTTCTTATTTAAGTTTTATAAATAATCATTGGTACAATCTATTCAAAAAGCTTGACAACAATCTAAACAACAGCTAATTACTTGTACATTTACTACCACCGTTTATACTTGCTACTTCCTTTCACCGACCGTTCAATGCCATTTGTGCAAAAGTCGGCGGAGATTTTGCCTTAAAGGCGTCCACCGTCTCGCGTACTCGAGTTGTGTAACTCCCAAAGGCTGAAATTTAGAGCAAATAACCTACATCAAGATTTGATCACCAAAGACCCTTTGTCTGCCAATTCTGTATTGTTCGGCAACCATCTTCTTTCACGGTGCCTTCAGATGCCTATCGTTGACGCCGAAAATACGGCAAAAAAGCAGACCTATCTGTAAGCTTGTAATGTGAATTTTTGAGATATTTTAACACTGATAAGTAGCTTGGGGAGGTACAGCATCCCATCGTATATAGGTCGCGAACTTTTCGAAATTTTTCAAAGAGTTTAGACCCATTTGAGGCTCAGCGTAAGATAGTTGTCGATAATGAGTTTTTGCTCTCTCGAATTTTCCGGTTTGTAATCGAATTTTCCACATAATTTCTTGAGAACTGAGCAAATAATGGTAACTGCTTGGCAGGGCAAACTTGATCCTTTCGGACGTACATAAACTAAAAAATGTGAACAGACTTATTACACAACTCAGTATAAGGCTACCCAGCACGTTTTTTTAAGGCGTTTTCTTTTTCTCCATTCCAATATACGAGATTGAAAGCCGCTTTGATAGTATACGAATGCAAAGCTGTGTGATGTTGCGACATCGTGGAATTTATTAAGATTTCCTCAGTCAAATTATTATTTATCCGAGCCACAGAGATTGCCGAAAACCGAGCAAACCTAAAAGCCTTTTTTCGGGGTTCAACAGCACATAACCTCCTCTACATCAACACAGATACGACGTTATTGTTTAGATATACCTTCCAAGAGTTTCAGATGAGCTATAATGTTTAGAAAGTTGACGCCTCTTGCGGCTTTAAGGCAGTGGTTCGGGAATTGCAAATACGAGTTTTCGCATTTACATGGCCTTCTGGATCCGCTGAGTCCAAGATTGTGCTTGAAAAGTCAAAAAAATGCTTTTTCGGCTTTCCGGCCCCGGAGACTGCTGAGGGTGTAGGGCGAGGAATTCCCGCCAAAAAAGCAACTGGCTGCAGGATACTGTACCTCCACCCATTTTGACGGCAGTTGGCTGACCGGCTCAGGCAGGCAGTCGCTCCTCCATTCTCCCCCCCCCCCCCCCAGCAACCTCCAAGACCGGAAAACGCCATGAAAAGCACTTTTTCGAAAACACAGCGCCGGACTCAGCGCATCTAGAAGACCAACAAGGAATGAAGAGCTCATAGCTAGAATTTTCCCGAGGCCACTGGCTTTGAAGATTTTTCAACACAAAGTCTTCGCTTCCGCCCACGCAATGGCTTGGCTAGAGGCCGCCAAAAGTTGCTGTTCTGCGAATCAGTTTTTCAGTTGTTTAGTGTTAGGCGACGTTCTTTTGAAGCACTTGGCTATACTATAAAACTTACAACGTCCAACATCACTCTTCTTCACGTTCGAGATGTTATGCCAGACGTCTGAGCAACCTAAGGCGAAAATTTTTTTGAAAAGCGTAATTCTAGACGATGAACTCCTAGGATCGGCATACACTTTTGCGGTCAAACAGAGCGCGGCTACCGTTTGAGTCTATAAATTTCGAACTGTCTGCCAATTTCTAAAACTAACTTTACGAGAGTTGAAATTTTTAGAAAATTTCGGCCAACTTCACGAAATGAAATTTCGTTTTCGGCGATGACTCCTGGGCCGTATTTATTAGGTTGGTGCAAAAGTTTTGTCAGTTTTTTCAATCCATCGGCAAACACGCTAGAATGAAGATAAACAATCACTTCAAAACGTATCCGATGCAGAATTTCTTCCTCTTTCCAGTGGCTAAACCCCCATGTGTTTCCTTGAGAGAGTGATGAGATATTCGCTGGAAAATGTAACCATTCGTTTTTATCATGTCCATATTTCACTAATTCTCAAGATTTTTGTATGAGACTTTCGGAGGGGCCCTAATAACTATCAGATAGGGCAAACCTTTTGCCAACCTATGTAATTTTTTCTTCTTTTCAGCCGCTTTTTCATATTTTTGCTAAATAATTTTCTAAAAGTCTTGTGTTTTGGAAAATCGCATAACTTGTTATTGCACCAAACACTGCAAAACCTGCAGAACAGGAGGTTTCAACACTCGGTTATTACTACTGCTACCACTACAAAGTAAATGAGCGATTTTCGCTTCAAATTATGAAGACTTTGAAACACAGGTTATGTCAGTGCGCATTCCTGAATTGAGAAATACTGCGGTTTTTTTCACAAATTTCGCCTGTCTCACCATGAAAAGACAAGTGTCAGAAGGAGGAGAAAAAGTTGCATCGAATGGTGACTGAAGTATTCAACATTTTATGTTCTACGGGGTTAAAATAGGCTGAATGTAAAATTTGGTTACTTCAAAAAATAAATCGTAGAAATTCTGAAAGACAAGCCATAGGGCGGGCTATAAAAAATTGTTTCTGTTGGCAAAAGGTTTGCACTATCTAATGGTTATTAGAACTCCTCCGAAAGTCTCATACAAAAATTTTGAAAATTAGTGAAAATTGGACATGGTAAAAACGAATGGTTGCGAATTCCAGCGAATATCTCATTACTCTCCCATCGAAACACAATGACAGTCCAGCCACTGGAAAGAGGAAGAAATTCTGCATCGGAGACATTTTGAAGCGATTGTTTATCTTCATTCTATCGTGTTTGCCGATGGATTGAAAAAACTGACAAAACTTTTGCACCTAATATCAATTACTAGCTGGCTTACCCGGCTCCGCCGTATGTTCCGAATAGAAAATTCCATTTCTTAACCGCGGGGATGATCAGCATGCTCGATTACCCCCCTCTGCCAACTCCCAGCCCCGTAGCTCAAATTTTGCAAAAAATCGATAAAATCGATATCGATCGATGACGAAAAGTGGCCTATGACACCCGCCGGGGCCCGATGTGTATGTGTGCCAAGTTTGGTCCGGATCGGTTCAGAAATGGAATTTTCTATTCGGAACATACGTACAGACAGACAGACGGACATACAGACAGACAGACAGACAAACAGACATTCAGCTTTATATATAAGTATCAATACTACCCTATTTTCAGGAATATAACCCCCACTTTTTCAAATTTCCTCGCGAGCTGCTCAGCCACTTCATTGTGTTTCGAGAAGCGATCCTTATGCCGCACGATTCTTTCAGATAATACGCAGCATGCTGTAGGGTCCTTTGGTTGCGAGGTCCTTTGATGTGTTCAGGTTGGTCGATGTAAGCTAGGACCACCCCGCGGCTTATACACTTGAAAATGGGGTACTATTCATTATCCGACTCACCGTTCGGGCGCTGTTCCATTGAAGATAGAAAGAGTTTTTTGTATACGCGAAGTACAATATTAACGCTAGCAGGCGTTTTTGGTATAGCAGCCTGTATGATCGCGAGAGTCGGACGTGCGTACGGCCAGTGCGCCGCGCACGTCCGATGTCACTGAGACAGGGGCTAGACCTATCCTGTTCAACCGGTTCGTTCGGTCACTCATTCGCTACTAGTCAAATCAATGCACTGACCAAGTGGGGTGAACCTGATGAATCTGTTGAACAGGGTATGTCTGGTACCTACCTGAGTCGTGGAACGGACATCGGACGTACGCGGCGCAATGGCCGTACGCACGTCCGATTCTCGCAATCATGCAGGCCCCTATATGTACCGGCTTAGCGCCTGCACCTCGGATTTGTAACCTTTACAAAACACCTTGTACAAGAGACTGATGAATATCGCCCTTGGATGGATTTGATTTCTTTGCAATTGAAAAACGAAATCCATTCAAAAGTACAGTCTCAACTAACAACTAATTCCATTTATTCTCGTATTATCTAAATCAGTGAAACCGTTTACTAGGCCTAAAAAATGAAGTTGGTCACACTGCACCCTTACAAGAGTGAATTCAACGAGAGAGTTCCATTAGCGCGTATGAGATATCAGTAGCCTATACGTTCACTTAGCGTGTAGTGAGTAAATAGGCCGCTGTTGGAAAGAATCCTTTACCAAACTTGTCTAAATTTATCTTTCGTAGTTTTCTATGGCTTGGACGGTTACTCTTCGAAAGTGAAGCACTCAAGTACTAAGTTTACCTTGCCGAGAAATCATGAGCGTTCTTTTCTTCTCGACTTCTCGAGCACGTTTGTTGAGTGCTGCTCGCTTCTTTGGCAATTCTTGTCTTACTTGCTCCAAGCTCTCCATTTTTTCTGCTATCCGTCGTTCGCCTTCTTCTACACTCTTTTGCAGTTCTTCTACAACAGCTGCAGCTTTCGCTTTAGCTTTGGATCTTTCCGCTTTTCTCGGTGTCATGAAGTGAATGACTATAGGCGTAGAGATCGTTGACGACTTGTGAGCTTCCACAGTCAACTGAATATTTGTGAAAGTCTGCAGAATTTCTAAGGATATTTTTTGTTGCATTGAGCATATAAGAAAACAGATTAGCACCACATGAGTGGTGACGGTGCATTAAGAACCAGCGCGTGGAAAACTTTATCGCCAAATGTAGGAGGGTCCCGCGCGGACTTCTTGCAAAAGCGCACCTCCACGCGTGCGAAGGTGCGTGTTTGTTGCAGATGACCGAAGGGAAAGCCCCATTTCGGCGACGTATAGCTCTCTACCCAAAACCAGCTAAGCCGCGTATACCAACAGGTAATTAAGAACGCAAGCAAAACTGAGAGTGGCAAAACTTGGCAAGGGTCCAAATCTTGACCAGGTATTCATTTGTGTGGAAACAAAGTCTCATCACTCTGTGCAGAGAAACCTTGGGAAGATATGGAAGACAGATTCCGAACAATCAGCTGAAATACACAGATTTCGAATAATCAACCGAAGTACACCTACAGATAGATGAACAACGCTCTCACCTTTCTAGCTGCAATCCATATGAATAAATGTCATGGAGAAAAAATTTTGAACCATTATTGAGAAGTAAAGAGTTGCGACTTCCATGACCATGAAAGCGCTCGCAAAGTTTAGGAAAATCCCCTCGAATTTCCAAAATGATCATAACTAGTGGGTAAAGCCTCAATTTCATTCGCATTGTGACTATAATTGTTCGCTTTCTGGATTCCTGTAGGAATCATGGGTTTCCAATGTGAAGCCTACAAAAATCAAAAAGTTATCACCCACTGTAATCAGAATAAATTCTGAAGTCAAAAAACGTTGGAATAGTGTATTGTACCTTCACGTAAGCCTTCAGATTATTTTCTATGGAATTTTGATGTAATTGAACAAACTCGAAATAAACTCTCTACTTCTATTCAGTTTGATTAGCACACTATTTAGCTATGTAGGCAGTGGCGACAGGTGTATCATCTAAATGTATAACGAATGATGAGCTCGGGGGGGGGGGGGAGGGGAAGGGAACGAACTAGCAAATGAGCTAGTGCTTTATCACCAATTCACAAAAATCAATGAAATCCAACATCATATGCGGTGAAAATTCTATTAGGTTGTCCCGAAAGTTTTGTCGGTTTTTTCAATTCACTGTAAAACCACGCACATTAAAGATCTGAGTGAGTTTCAACATGCATTCGATGCAGCTTTCCCTTCTCTTTCTTATGGTTCCGTTTTCGTCCCACAATCTTGTACGCTTTTTTCGATAATTGCCAAAATTCTCCACCCGTCAATTTTGCTCAAAGTTAGGCTAATTTTTGAAAATTTCATTACAAAGTTTCGAAAAGGGTTGAGTAGGTATCGAATAGAGCAACTCTCGGACTACAAGATGCTATTTTTAGATTCTCCTAATCTGCTGATTTTAGCTTCAAAAAATTATTTCTCCGGAGGTCTCGATTTTTGACAAAGTCATGAAACACGCAACTGCACAAAACACATGGAAGCTTCTGAAATTTCTGCGTATTGAAACATATTTCTTACTAGACATCATTTATAAAAAATAACCAGCTTTGATTCGCTTCGAAAAAGCAGCTTTTTGGAATTTTTGGTACTTTTGCGTGTTAAACTTAATCAAAAAGCCACGGTTTTTATTGAATAAATAATCATAACGACTTGGTAAACGCGGCTCATGTAATCTAAATTAGGAACAATGTAGCCAAAGGTTTGCTCTATATAATAGCTACCAGCGCTTTTTGAAAACATCAGAACCAAATTTTTTAAAATTCAGGAAAGATTTGGCGTCATTGCTGAGCTGCTCAAAAAGCCATGGAAATAACATCCTAAGACAGGGCAGATTAGAGAGCAAGTATAAATGTAAGAAAGAGGATAAAAAACTGAATCAGATGATACCTAGAACGCCCATGAATTGGTGTTCTGTGAGTTTTGGTGAGCGATGAAAGAAACCGACAAAATTTTCGGGACAACCTAATATGATGCTGAATGTCCTACTCTCCTCCACTTTTGCCCAAATTGTGATGATTAATAAGTATCAACATTCTGCATTTTTTGAGTTACGCCAAAGTTACCAGTATTTCGACTTTGAGACCATAATTATTACAAATGGCTCTTGCTGGCTAACTTAATGCCTGGGAGATCAAAATTGATAAACGTTAGCCTTCAAAACCTCTTGAGATTCTTGATAGGCCTGAAGCTGAAAAAAAGTATTAGAAGTACTCTTTGATTCAACAGGGAAAGGAAGGCGACCGCTTGCATCCGCCACGCATCTGCCTCTCTCTCTCTCTCGCGGACGTGCTCTACCTTCTTTATAAAAATTTCATACACATCCAAATCCGCAAAACGGTTCTCAAACCGCCCAACCCAAAGGCCTCCTCCCCGCAGTTGCAGCTCATTGAAAATTTTGAATGACAGCGGCAATGCTGCTCCAGGCGCGTAGTGCTGCGCGGCGGATACATCAAGCCACCAATCCGAAGAATACGAATATCATCGCGTTTGTCTGATGCTTCTCTGGCGTTTTTTTTTTGCTTTTTCCGTTCCTTTTCAAGTTATTTCTCTTCTAATATCTCATGGTGGATGCCGGTCATTGTGAAGTCAAAGGGGATTTCTTTCGCAATTTCGGGAAGCCACCTCGTGCCGAGGCCTGCTCGAAGCCCCGCCTTACAGCCGCCAATCCCGTTGCAAAAGGGTATGAAGTGTCCGAAGATCAAAAAGTCTTGTTTTGGCTTCATGTGCATTTTCTCTGAAAAGCAAAAAGGAAAAAAGCGCAATTATTCACTATCTCAAAATGCCTCTGTATTATTCCATTTGGACTTTTCGCTATCGCTATCATCGCTCTCTTAAGAATGAAAAAAGTCCAGATAATATTAGTTTGTCGGACATTCTGTTACTCTTTCTTTATTTCATTTCTCAAAAATCTTAGAAGCTTTGGAAAGACAGGGTCAAAAGGCCTATTCATCGGTATTTTCGCATCCGCGATCCGTGCGCAAAACACCCACTTTGTAACTAAAAATTCGTTTTGTTTTTGCTCCCTTTTTTGTAAATGGGCTGGCACATTTTCAGGTTTTGAGAGAAAAGACAATATGGTTTGCATAGTATGCAGCGTTTAGCAGCATGGGGGGGGGGGGGAGGGAGCGGGATAACAAGACATGTCTACACGCGTTTTTCTGAACGTCTTCAAAAAATTTCAAAAAATGACTTTTGAGTTTTCTGTATTCATTTCTACACGCTGCACATGAGACGAAGAATAAAGGAAAGATTTTGAATTTTTTGCATTTTTTTTCACTTCTCGTTTTTGAAACATTAAAGGCATCGGGACGCCTTTATGTAAGAAACAATGCCAATGTAGGTTCCAAAAAAATTCTAAAAGAGGAAAACCACAGATAGGTGCAGAGAAAAATCAGACAAAAATGTAAATTCAAGTGCTTTTGCAAAAAGTGTCGTAAACTTGTTGGTAATTAGCGTACTTGCGGCATCAATTATGCTGGTGATAGACCCTGCCATGTCCTATGCGAGTCGCAAATCTGGGATTTCAGAAAGCTTTTGGAATCCTAGAAAAATTTTAAAATGGTGTAACAGAAATTATACGACAACCTTATAATTGCTCAAAATTACCTGCTGATATATCTGAAAATACAATGTGCAGTTTACAAATACAAAGAGCTGACCTTGGAGATTAGAAGTCGCAATTCGGTCTCAAATGCAAATCGCGTAATGTTCAGTTGAATAGGCAAAAAGAGAGCTAAGTGCTAATTTGTTAACCTCGAGATGCGCTATTATTTCTGAGAACCCTCGAATTTAATGGAGTCAGCACTTACGCAATTATTTATACTTCCCCACATACATGTTTACAAAAAATATCGCTTTCAGATTGTCAAAAGCTGTCTAGTTTTCAAAAGAACAAGGAAGGCTACTTACATTGTAGAATGTTGATTCTTGGAGTGAGTCGAGTTCTATGTCATTGTCCTTCACATCTTTGAGGTAACGAATATCCTTTTGAGTGCGAAAAAGCTGGACCTGCATTGAAGAGCTGATAATAATCGGTACACATTTATGAAGCGTGGATGCTTTGGATGGCCAACAAACAACAAAGTGATTTTTAGCCCTATATTAGGAAAGGCCGTGATTTTCTGAGTTTCGGTTTGAACACACTGACAGTTAGCCAGCTTGCTTGCACTCAAGACATACAAGTGATCATTGCTTAATGGTAAGTATGCAAAAAGTGCAGATTTATTAGTCAGATTGTTGATTGATGATTGAGATTGGTGTACAAGCAGGTGAGTAGCACTGAAGCATGTGCATAACTAGCTAGCTTACCCGGCTCCGCTCGGCCCTGTCAAAAGGCTATCATAAAGGTCCCATCCTTATCCTTGTAAAACCTTTCGCTGTGCCCACATCTACATGCCGATTCCCTATTCCCGCTGTACTAGTAATCAGCATGCCCTCCTGTGCCAATTTGCAGCCCCAGAATTTTGCAAAAAAATCGATAAAGGTAAATAATAAATCCAAAACTAATACTGTATTCGTAATCAGCATGCTCTCTCATCCTCCTGTGCCATTTCCCAGCCCCGTAGCACGAACTTTGCAAAAAATCAATAAAATCGATAAAGGTGATCGATGAATCCAAGAACTGATATTGTGTTCATAATCAGCATGCTCAACTACCCCCCCCCCCTATGTCAGCTCCCTCTCCAGCAGCTCAGACTTGTCAAAAAAATCGATAAAAATCGATAAAATGGATGTCAGTCGATAAACAAAAGTAGCCTGTGACACGCTCTCGCCCCGAGCTATATGTGTGCTAAGCTTAGTCCAAATCGGTCCAGAAATAAAAATTTATATTCCGCACGTACGTACAAAAGACAGACAGACAAACAGACATTCAGTTTTATATATAAGACTAGCTTGCTTACCCGGCTCCGCTCGACCCTGTCAACACTGTAATAAAGGTCTCATCCCTATCCCTGAAACAGCCTTTCCCTGTGCCCACTTCTACACTTCATTTCCCGTTCCCAGTGTTGTCTTCGAAATCAGGATGCCCGCTTACCCACCTGTGCCAACCCCCAGCCATCCAGCTCAAACTTTGCAAAAATCGATAAAAGCGATAAAATCAATCGATGATTCTAAAGACTAATATTGTATTCGGAATCGCCATGCTCACTTACCCCCCTGTACCAACTCCCAGCCCCGTAGGTGAACTCTGCAAAAAATCGATAAAAACGATATCGATCGATAAACCAAAAGTAGCCTATGACACGCTCCCTGCCCCGAAGTATATGTGTGCCAAGTTTGGTCCAAATCGGTTTAGAAATAAAAATTTCTGTTCCGCACATACGTACGACATACAGACAGACAAACAGACATTCAGCTTTATATATAGGACTAGATGGCTTACCCGGCTCCGCCCGGCCCTGGGCCCGCACACAGTCAAGACGTAGGGTTCCACCAAAACTCTGCGTCTTAAAGGCAGTTTCTCACCAAGATTTACTTGCCGAGTTTTTTGCATTTTGCAAGAATCTCGAACCCTGTCTAGCACTGTATGGTCCTTAAATCGCAAGAAGTTCCCAAAAACCCCGTTTTCTGGAGTCCCCGCGAAAGCAACGTGGACGAGTTGTACCTTCCAACTTCAGCCTCAGCCACAGTGGCAGCAACACAGGGGGGGGGGGTGGATGCCAAGTGGAGGGACATGTTCAAACGCGTAAGGGGGGAGACCGAAAGAGTCGTCCGCGCGTACCAAGTCGCTCTCCGCGTACCACTTTAAGCGAATTTTGCTCAGCTTGGAGGGGGTCAAATTGAGTGGGACTTGTTGCAATGGCCTATTTAGAGGTCCCTATAATAGAATATGCGAAAATCCGCGCGACCTCAACTTTGGTGAGACACTGCCTTTAACCTCGGCGGGAGGCGTCTAAATTCAAAACCAGGGGCTTCTGGAATAACCCGTTTTCTTTTCGTACCCTGCAAGCTGCCTTTTCGGAATCAGAGGGAATCATAAGCCAGGGTAAGCAGTACCGTTTAAGATTTTGCCCGGGCTTTGCCTTCAAAGGATCGTGATGCTCCACCAGCATGGTTATCACAAAGCCTTGATCCTCATCAGAATGTGTTCGATTTGGCTCAGAGCTAGTCAGATTTAGTCCTGCCCAATTGTTTAGTCGCCGAAGTACTAGATTGGAAGACACACTATTGTTGTATTATGGTTTACATTCTCATTACGGTATTTTCAATTCACTATCTATAACAGAATGACTTTGGTGAGCGCTTAAATCATAATCAACTTACAACATTCAGGAGCAGTAAACTTACATTTACTGACGTAACCTTTCCTTCCCACTTCAAACGAACTTTGTTGGGTTCCATCTTCAATGATTGCGCATGAGATTACAAAAGCAAGAAAACTTTTCTCTTACTTTTGAAAGAGAAACTCTTGTGATGTCCATCGGATTTACATCATATTTAGTGGTGCGTACGCGAACAAACTTTCCATATGGTCCGACATAGCCAAAAATATTGCCGAAACGTGCACTGACAGCATAAGCAGCTGAAGGGTGCTTTCTACATAAAGGAGAACAATGTGCAAACATACTCACTTTCTGGTTGAAGATTAGTAATCACATGTACTGCAAACTCTTCGTAAATCATTCTTATTTCGCGAAAGTCAATGTATATGTCTGACACCTTTGTTGATTTCAGTATATCTTCTCTATAGACGGTGATCTGAAATGTGCATTATCGCTTTGAATGAGCAGTTTAGTCGCAATAAGTAGCAGTTAATAGCTCTCTTATTACTAATTTTGCTGTAGATCAATGCTTATGTTTCTGGTTTGGTCCTTCTGCCCAGACCTGAGTGCGCAAAACAAATCATTTTTTTGAGTGTTTGACCTTTCATGAAGGTATGTCAGCAACGAATTGGAGTAAGTAATAGTACAGAACATCACAAATCTGCTTGCCGCTCAAGGGGAAAAATTCGGAGAAATGAAAAAGTGAAGAGAAAGTAGGGAACTCTCATACAACAAGTTGCTGCAACATCGGTTTGAGGTAAGCCCGGAATGCGTTTACTCGTTTTCTAACAAGAATTTTTCACAGAGAAGGAAACTAATTTACAAGAAGAGTTCCCCTGAATGTTGTAACGATTTGACGTGTATGGGCGATTCTTAGCACGCGCTGCGGACTTATCGGAATCTCTCTAATCGAGCCCTCTTTCATCTCTATTACCGTCTGCTGTCTCTTTCATGCGTAAACTATCCTGGCTGGATAAAACGGTGCCCAGTCTTTGCGTGTCTTGAATCCTGCATATGTTTCACCTGCTACTTGTACATTGTTCGTGTCTGACACAAGTCAACATGCCTGGTACCCAATCAATTGCTCCTGCTTGATGACGGCTTCTCTTGGAAGTTCAAAATATAAAACGAAACTCCTCGAAAGAACGTTCGAAACGAAATAAGCGTTGGGAGAAATCTTCACTGTAAAAACGTACAGTAAGAGCTACCAGTTTTTAAAGAAAAAAAAACACACCATCTTCTTGAAAGTCCAAATAATGGAAAATCTTTCCAGTTGTTCCAAGCGTCGTATCATTCTTACAGATGCATTCGAAGCTTACCCATTGTGAATGTTTCAGCATAGGATAGAAAAGCTATATAGAATTAAAGTTATTTATAAATAGGGTTTTTGAGCTACTTGCTTGATATGTTTCTGCTTTCAACAATTATCCTCGAATCAAAAGTGCGCGAAATTTCTGTGGTAATGCTTTTACATGCAGTGCTTGCGATAAAATGCAAAAGAAAGCAGGTAAAGGCTACTGCATGACGAAGGCGCAGAAGCAATATTAGTTGAGCGGCCGCGACGCGTGCGTATCCTTACCGTGGCTAGTAAAGCCGCGTTCGCGCCCAGAGCTATTGCGCCTTCGTCATGCAGCAGCCTGTAAATGCTACTGCAGTACGAAGGCGCGGAACCAGTATAAGTTGAACGGGCGCGAACGCGACGCAAGCCTATGTTCACGCTGTAGACCCTGCGCCTCATGCGCTCTACGGCTAATGAAACCGCCTTTGCGCCTAGGGATATTGCGCCTTCGTCGTGCTGTAGTCTATTTCTTAAAATTCCTTCTTAACTCAAATTTGAACTCTGTTTTCAACACCAAGTAATTGTAGGAAAAGCTGACAAATGTGATCATTTCTGCTCACATTCAAGATTAAAAAAGAATCGAATCTGTTTTTTATCAATGCTTTTTGAGGCACTCATATATCCGTCTATTTGTTACAATAATATTCTCTTAAGTTTTTTCTGAGAATGTTGCTTACAAACTGTTGTTTTGTTGCGTGATAAAATTGAGTTCCAAATGGAAGAAGTTCTATTTTCTTCTCCATGTTCAACTTGTAGGAATAAAAACTGCAATGTTTCGCATGTCATGTAAAAACAATGTACCAACAAATCTCAGTTTATTTACCGGCAATATGCCATCTCGGGCCCATAGTAGGTATATTTTACTTCTAATTGGGATGTGGAATGCTCGCGACTGTTCCACAGATGTGCAATCGACATATTTCGTGGCAAACAGCTCTCTTTGTGAGGATCTGAAAATTGAAAGCTTATATTACACTAGCTGGCTTACCCGGCTCCGTTCGGCCCTGTCAAAACACTATGATAAAACTGTATCCCTACCTATCCCTACACAGCCTTCCCCTATGAACACAACTACATACCAACTCCCTATTCCCGCTGTGTTAGCTATCAGCATGCCCACTTATCTCTGTGCGAATTCCCACCCCGTAGCTCGAAATATACAAAAAATCGATAAAGTCGATAAAAATAGCGGATAATTCCAAAACTATTACTGTACTCGCAATCAGCAGGCTCGATTACCCCACTGTGCCAACTCGCAGCGCAGTAGCTCAAACTTCGTAAAAAAATCGATAAAATCGATGAAAGTAATAGATAATTCTGGGAACTAATTGTCTTCGGAATCGCCATGCCCACTTATCCACTGTGCCAACTCCCAACTGCGTAGGTGAACTCTGCAAAAAATCGATAAAAATCGATAAAATCGACATCGATCGATGACGAAAAGTAGCCTATGACAGCTCCCTGCCCCGAAGTGTATGTGTGCCAAGTTTGGTCCGGATCGGTTCAGAAATGGATTTTCCATTTGGAACATACGTACAGACACACAGACAGACAGACAGTCTGTATGTATGTGCGTACGTATGTTCCGAATAGAAAATTCCATTTCTGAACCGATCCGGACCAAGCTTGGCACACATACACTTCGGGCCCCGGCGGGTGTCATAGGCTACTCTTCGCCATCGATAAATATCGATTTTATCGATTTTTTATCGATTTTTTGTGCAGAGTTCACCTACGGGGCTAGGAGTTGGCACAGGGAGGGGGGGGGGGTATGTGAGCATGGAGATTCCGAATACAATATTAGTTTTCAGAACTATCGATTACTTTTATCGATTTTATCGATTTTTTGCAAAGTTTAGGCTACGGGGTTGGGGGCTGGTGAGGAAGGTAGGTGAGCATACTGATTACTAACACAGCGGGAATAGGGACTTGCATGTAGAAGTGGGTACAGGTAAAGGTGTAGAGGGATAGAAATGGAACTTTCATCGTTTTTGACAGGGCCGGGCGGAGCCGGGTAAGCCAGCTAGAGACTTACATACAGACATACAGACAAACAGACATTCAGCTTTATACGGGGTGTCCCAAAAAATGTTAACATTGTTTGATCGTTAATAACTCCCTTGATTTCATGTCTTTCGGCAAGCTTGAGGCACCATTCTGAAGAGCGAGGTTCAACTTAGATTTTTTTGGTCGCAGAATGCCAGTCTAGAAACTAAGCAACACTGCTCACTATAACAGTGTATCTCTAGAAAAGGCATGGATGGTGGCATTAGGTTCTGAGTTCAATTTCGGTGCCTAGGACTCACAGAATTGAGGCAATAAAGGAGCATGAAGAATGGAATAACATGAACAGAAAGTTAAATTAGGTTAGACTACGGCGGAGGCAACGGCGCAGTTGGTTCGACCACCATATCAAAACTCCAGTGTTATGCGAGTGTACAAAAAGTAATCAGCAAACTTCGACACCGTACAGAAATTCTACCGTACTGCTACCGTTGTCCCACTTTGGGAAAGTAATGAACAAAGTGGACACTATAATCGTGATCAGCATGTGAAACAACCTCAAAACACAATTTTTCACGAAGATCCGTGGTGTTGGGTTTTTACAGAATGATACCGTAATCTTGCTGTATACTGCCACAAACTGAAACAACTCATACTTTAGTAAACAGCGCCTTCGATAACCCTTGTGGGGATATTCTCGGAAACATGTTTTGAATTTCTTTCAAAAAGGCTACCATTTCGGACAATACGACCCACGTGTGGGTCGTAAGTTTGACAAAGCGAAAAAGGCTTCTGTCCGAAATGGCAGTAATCGAAAAATCGGCCTTGTCTTCAGTGTATTAAAGGACCAATAGAATATCAATACGCAGGCAGTATTCTCGTGTAAGATGTAAGATGCCACTGCAAAATTGTGCCATAGCTAAAATTCATTTCCACAAAATGCACGACCCGCACAAAGCACTGTAGCACAAATATTAGGGGTGCAATTTTGTCAGTTTTTTCAATTCAACGGCAAACACGCTAGAATGAAGATGAACAAACTCTTCAAAATGCATCCGATGCAAAATTTCTTCCTCTTTCTAGCGGCTAAACTCTCATTGTGTTTCGTTGAGAGAGTGACGAGATACTTGCTGGCAATTACAACCACTCGTTTTTACCATGTCCAACTTTCCCTAATTTTCAAAATTTTTATATGAGATTTTCGGAGGAGGCTCAACGACTAGCAGATAGAGCAAACCTTTTCCCAACAAAAGCAATTTTTTGTAGCCCTATGGCTTTCTTTCAGAATTTCTACGATTTATTTTTTGAAGTGACCAAATATTACACTTAGCCCATTTTACCCTCGTAAAACATAAAATGTTGAACTCTTCAGTCATTATTCGATGCAACTCTTTCTCCTCCTTCTAACACTGGTCTTTTTTTGTCGAGACAGGCGAAATTTTTGGGGATCGCAGTACAATTTCAGGAGTGCGCACTGACGTGATTTATGTTCCAAAATCTCCATAATTTGAAGCGAAAATCGCTCATTTAATTTGTAATGATAGCGATAGTAATAATCGAGTGCTGAAACCTCAGTTTTCTGCAGGTTTTGCAGTGTTTGGTGCAATAACAGGTTGTGCAAACGCAATACTTCAAAAAAATTGTTTAGCAAAATGTGAAAAAGCAGCCGAGAAAAAGAAAAAAATTGCATAAGTTGGCAAAAGGTATGCCCTGACTGCTCGTAAAAAGGGCTCCTCCAAAAGTCTCAAACAAAAATTTTGAAAATTAGCGAAATTTGGGCATGGTAAAAATGAGTGGTTGTACTTTCCAGCAAATATCTCGTCACTCTCTCAACGAAACACAATGAGAGTTTAGCTGCTAGAAAGAGGAAAAAATTCTGCATCGGATACGTCTTGAAGTGATTGTTTATCTTCATTCTAACGTGTTTGCCGATTAGTTGAAAAAATGACAAAACTTTTGCACCGACCTAATATGTCAACTGTTTTTACTCGCAAATTTAATTTAAAACCCTACTCAGTTTTATTGTAGTTTACTCGGATCTACTTGGACTATAAACAATTTGCTAGGTTGGCTCGAAAGTTCTCGAACATTTTTAGACTAAATTCGCTATCTCTTGAAAGGTAATACATGCACATCCTCAAAAATTTGTAGTTTTACTCCCTCTCACTTGTAACCAATATCTGCGCAAGTGGGAAAGGCCTAAGACTAATGTGGCCGGAGTTTGTTACTTTTGATTACCTCGTTTTTCTTATTGTTTAAGCTCAAGTTCCATGCAAACTGTGTAAGTACGGAAGTATGTTTGTACTGAGCATGCGGGGTCTCATAACGTTCATAGAAGCTAGATCTTTGGGTTAACTCAAAATCCTATGCTTTGGAATTTTCGCCTGAATTTTCATAGGAAACATTGCTAATGCGTGTGCTTACCATAATTTTGTTTGGATCGCTTTCATCTATCCAACGGTCTGCAGCATGCCCACATCACTGCTTACATTGAGACAGAAATGTCTACATGCAATATCCAACAGCTTTCGAGCCAACCTAATAGATTATGTATAACATCAAATTAGCTAGTTTTTCAGTTGTGCGATTCCATTATAGCAAACGCAGACATCGAGAAGTCCGTTTCAAGATTCTGTGACTTTGCCCGAGTTTACATGATTCATAAAGAATTACTAGTTAACCAGAGCTGTTTTGCTGCCACTGAACCACGGTTCGGCACGAACGGAATCAGGAAGTCTTTGGAACAACATCTAGCTTCGACGTAGCAAAATTTGGAGCCTGCCCACTACACCCTACTTGTTTTTTTTTGTATCTGAGAGCTATTGCTCAACGTCTGAATAAATGGTAAAAAACCAAAACTCCTCTTTTACAGATCTACAATCGACCAACTGTTGTTGCCCGATGTTTACTGTTCAAGTCACGGCATTTCCTTTACTGTTCAATAGTCGAATGTCACTTGATTCTTTCATGGATGAGCTGACAGGACTATTTTATCATTACATTTGATTTTCCCTTATGAACGGGGTTCTTATTCTGAAAGCAATTCTCAGATGCTCATTATATCAACTAGAAAAAATGCTATAGATAATGAATACTCAAAGAACGATGGCAGTGCAATAGTGGCTGTGAAACTTGAACAAGGCCACCATGTTTCAGTCTGCCACGGAAGATCAAACTCTGACTAAGGCAAAACACTGAAGTCTTGAAGGTCAAAGTCATAAGTCGTACTGTGTAAATAGTAATGACCTCGGTTCAATGTTCATCAGCACGCTTTGTCGCAATCCCCATGCTTTCGTCATGTTCCCACGTTATGTTGTGCACATAGCCTAGTTAGAGTAACATGAGTGCAAACACTTACTGATTGTTGACAACCTTGATTTCGGTAAACTTCAAGTAGCGTTCTGCAGGGCGAGATTCAACTCAGAATCGCAGTTAGAGCGATTGCTCTTCATTATTGTGGGAATATTATAGAAACTTCGAAAAAGATTTGACGCCATTGAGAGCTATATTTTGCTTCAAAGAAAAACCAAACAAGCCGATACTCTTATACCGACTATGCGAGATCGCTGATCTCAACTATGAAATATGCGCTTTACTGTACTGCTTTTTTCGTAAGGTGTACAAGGATATCGTGACAAGTGCTTTTCTAAGGTGCGTCAGAAACGTGTTTATACATAAAAAAGTTCAAAAAGTCGTAAAAAGTTGTGTAATAATCAGCATGCGTACCCTTCTACACAATCTCCCAAATTTTTTGGAATAATTTTGTCAAACGGCCTTTTTTTTACAATGGTTTTATATACTGAAAGCTCTTACCGTAATACTACAATATAGCTGCTTCGCTCTAGGCTGTAAATTCAAGTTGAACCTTGCTTCAACAGAGTTATTGGCGATCAAACTGTGTGCACATTTTTTGGGACATCCTGTACATTCTCAGACACTGTGACCGGCCTAAAAAGGCCTTTCCGGCCCGTCCGCGGCCTTAAGTGGGCGTGGCCGGAGTGCGGCCGAGCCACGGACTGAATATGGCAATTCATGTCAATATCATTGCATCGACCGAGCTGCGGACTGAAAATATGGCTTACAGGCTCAGCCGCGGCCTTAAAGGCAATGGGTCGGCAGAATGAGACCCGTGGCAAAACAAGATCACAGGGTAGGAGCCCCATAATGGAACCTATGGGCCAAAGTTCGATCTTTTTCTGCCACTTCTAAAATCGAAATTTCAAAGCGAAAGCAGCGCTCATCTCCTGTCCTCTCCGAACCCGGCCACCCCATGGACGAGTGACTTCCGCGGTCAGAGCGCCAGCCGCAATGCTATAAGCGTGAGGTCCCGCAAAGACTCTGCGTCTTCGCCATGACGGGCTTCGGTTCACTCGTCCATGGGGTGGGCGGGTTCGGAGAGGACAGGAGATGAGCGCTGCTTTCGCTTTGAAATTTCGGGGGTTAGAAGTGGCAGAGAAAGATCGAACTTTGGCCCATAGGTTCCATTATGGGGGCTCCTACCCTGTGACCTTGTTTTGCCACGGGTCTCATTCTGCCGACCTACTGCCTTTAATGATGGGGTGGAGCATTGCAGCGGCTGAGCCGCGGACCAAAAAAATCTCTATAATGAGACTCCGGCCGAGCCGCGGCCCATGTCAGACAGAGTCCGCGGGCCGGCCTGAGTTTAATAAGTTGTTTGGCTTTCTTCCAACTAACTTAAAAAACAATGTCTTTTTAAGTAATTAGACGCATGATGTGTATACCTTACATTTGGTTGTCCAGAGCTGCTGGCGGCAAACAGCACAGCGTCGCCTCCTCCTCCAATACAAAAGACCAACGTAATACAAAAGACCAACGTAAGTCTATTACCTTATTACTTATGTTTTGTAAAAACTACGTTTTGCAGTAAGATCCTTGAAACAAAGAATCTTTTAAACTTACTGTTATCCCAATATACCCTCTTTTCTGATCATAGACACTAAAGTAAAGTCTAGGAGCTTACCAAATCTGAAAAAGTTATTTGAATCTATCTCGTCCTAATCACTCCATGTTTTGATGGAATTGGCTTAAGCTTTTCATGCTTTTCGTTCCAGGAAAGGTTGGAAGTTGCATGTGTCTACCCTCCAGCTATTTCTGAGCTCATGCGAAACATTCGTGCTCACATCGATTCATTGCTAGGCGAGCACAAAGCAGAATAAGTGCTATGAATCTAGCCGTAGCACATTCTCTTCGGTACAAAGGGTGATTGTACAGGTTCGTTTGACATTCTGCATTATCACTGCTAATTTGCAAATGTCTTTCCTTTCTGTGCTGTTTCGCTTTTGGACGACTTAGATAAAGAGTTCAATAATTACGTGATGAGATGTAGTTGGTTTCCCGAACTCGGCAAACTTGTACAGGATCACCAAGCTTTTGCAAAGATGCACTCTTCTCGTATCGTTTTTCATCGTTTATCAATCGACTTCCAGGTTGTCAAAGCCATTGGCATGAGGCAAAATGCAGCCAATGTTGATCATTCCGAATTTCTAGAAAAGCAACTTGAAACAAAGGTAGAAGAGGAGGCAGATATCTCGATAGGAGCTGACATTTCTGTTTTGGATCTGATTCATATTAGTGGCTTATGCGACGAAATATCGAACCGCAGTACAGGTGCGTTGTAAATTTGCAAATTGGATGTTATGAGTATAGCCACCTCTTTACCTTGATATGTTCTATGGTTTCCCTAGAAGTTCTTTGTAAGGTCGTAGTCATATTGACATTCTTATTTTATCTTTCATATTTGAAATACTCTGAAATGTGTGAGTCGGGCTTTTATGAAGTTAAGTTGTTTCTTCTTCTTAATTTAGATTTTTCTCTTCAGATCGCAATTGTTGGACTATTTGAAGAATAGAATGACCGCCCTAGCCCTAACTTAACATGCTTACTTGGTGAGCTTGTTGGTGCTCGACTGATCTCACATGCTGGATATTTCGTTTCATTGGCCAAAGCACCTGCTTCTACTACAAAGTCTTGGTGCTGAGAAGGTATGAAAAGTGGTTTTTTGTGGTTTTTTCTTGTATGATTTTCTTTTCAGGCTTTGTTCTGTGCTTTGAATTTGAAGACCAAGAAAGACACTCCTAAATATGGACTCATCTATCACGCACAACTTATCACGCGGGCTCCTGCAAAACTCAAGGGAAAGGTATAATAGCACTCTCTTTTATACATCTTTTCGTCTTATTTAATTATTTTATCATTATTTTCTCTAATTATAGCATTGCACGCCGATAACCTCGCGTTTCGGTTGTACTAATACAGCACGTACTACTGCCTTTGAGGGATAGAATAAGTGACGGGTTCCAAACGCAATTCCACCTCGTTTAATTGTCATGTTGTCGTTTTTGTTTATGTTTTTGTTATCTTGCTAGCATGTCCTCACTTTTTGTTGTTGATTTGAGAAGAAAATTCCATGTGTTTTCTCTTCTGTGCCACTGCATAAAAAGAAGTTCTACGGTGAATCTGTGTTCGGCTTAGAGAATCAATTATTATATGATTTAGTGATAAAGCATTATCCTATATATGGTGAACCAAGGCCTAATTATGGCCAAGCTATAATGAACTACACGCAGCCCGATAGCCAGCTACGGCCGAGCTGAGGCCCACAATCGGCTGAGCCGCGGCCCATCCGGCCGAGCCGCGGACGCTGCGAAATTCCAGCCGGAAAAGGTCCGCGATTCGGCCGCTTCCAGTATCTGAGTTGTTGCGGTGTCACAAAAGTTTCCGCAAAAAATGATCTTTTTTGGATTGTGAAAATCACTTACAAAACATAAGCTCGTCCTTGCTCGCACCAATACCTAGGTAGAGAACTATTGACGGAAGATAAACATGCCATAAAAGAACATACTGTATTGTTTTGTGAACACTCCAAAACGTTTGATAATCTTGTTAGCATGTTCACAAGTATAGTAGCCCACGGTTGGATAGTGCACGTAGATATATATAATGCTTCCATTTATGATAAGATCCCACCGATAATCCCGTATTATTTCATTCTATAAAGCTGCTATGAAATGCAACAAATCCAAGCCTGTACACCTGCCTCAAATTTCCATACAACCTGTCCTTCGCATTTGAGTTTGGTGAAACTTTCTTCCGGTAGAATGACTGAAGAATAATTATGATTGCTTACGTACAGATTTTCTATGATTTAGGCTCATTTAAGCTCTCAAGCAAATTTTCGTGGGTAGAGCTGGAGTAGACTATGCACAAATGTTACTCGTAATGCAGAGCGGATTCATGACAATTCTAAGGCTGCGTTCATACTGATCCCGAAGTCCGGAAACACTTCCAGCACAGCGCTTGAAATGAGCGCTGTGTTGAGACTGTTCCCGGACTTCGAGATCAGTATGAATGCAGCCTAACACAGTGAGTCCAATCTCAAACTTATTATCATTGAAATCCCAAGTTGACGGACGGAGCCACGCCTCTTCTACCTTTTCTCTCCTGGTTATACATCTTTTGCCGTGGGATCAAAGCGATTACTCAATTAGGGGTTCCGCTATTGTACGACATCCAAATCTCACCACCCTTTGTGTGAATAGCCTCCAACTTGTGAATCGGCTTTTGGCTCACATTTGCTGGAACAGGAACTCTATGAAATAAGGGCAACAAATTTCTACGCATTCACTCTTTGCATTGGAAACAGAGGTGCGATAGGTGGAGCCGGGCCCTCCAAAAGTGAAGGTGGTAGTGCCGGACACTCACCTCTCAAAAACGTCGACCGGGGGGAGGGGGACTTCGGATAATTGAAGAACTCTGACCCAACGGTCTCCTTGAGGGCCAACAAGTGTGACCTAACGGCCCTCTTTAGGGCCACAAATACGATGAGTACAGCGGCATAAAAATAAAAAAAGAAATAAACGTGTTATTCAAATGGTCTATTTGTAAGTAAAACTCAGTTAGACTTTACGTATTTTATTGAGTAAATTTTGTTATAACGTATTGCGAGTAAAGTAGGTCGATCCAAGCAGTAACCACCGAGAACCAGGATTTCGAATAATAAAATAACGTAAAATCATGCAAAATTTCCACTGTTATATATCTAGTAGTTGAAGATGTCAGCAATTGCGACTTCATAGCTTTTTAAGTGCAAGTGTTGTTCTACCAGATAGTGAAAGAATCTGGTCGATTTGAGCAGCAGTCGCCGCCGAGAACGAGAATTTTAAAAAATTAAGCGATTTTGGGTTACTTAGTGACAGCTGACGTTTAAACTCCTATAAATCTGGAATGTGAAGGTGAGCAATGTTGCGACTTCATAGGCTTTGTAGAGCAAGAATTTCTCTAACGGATTATGTCTTAGCAATACCGATCTACTGAAAGAGCGCCGAGATTCAGGGTCTTGAAAAAGCAGGTAAAAAACCGCTTTTTGAACTTCAACAGCTCATAACTTCTTCAGAATTGCAGGAATCATGTTGCGAGTTCATAGGTTAGATTCTTCTCATCAAGAGCTTTCAGATGATATATAATATGTGGGGGTTTCGCGTCTTTCACGGCACATGCCTGGAGGTGGAGACTTTTCACTCCAAAGTCTCCACTGGCGGTCTCCGGCCAATACATTAACATGGACGAGGTGGAGACTTTGGGCTGAAAAGTCTCCACCCTGGGTTGGAGCCGCAAAAATCACTGAACCCCCCAACTATTATATATCATCTGAAAGCTCTTGATAAGAAGAATCTAACCTATGAAGTCGCAACATGATTCATGCAATTCTGAAGAAGTTATGAGCTGTTGAATTTCAAGAAGCGGTTTTTTACCTGCTTTTTCAAGACCTTGAATCTCGGCGCTATTTCAATAGATCGGTACTGCTAAGAGATAATCCGATAGAGAAATTTTTGCTCTACTAAACCTATGAAGTCGCAACATTGCTCACCTTCACATTACAGATTTATAGGAGTTTAAACGTCAGCTGTCACTAAGTAACCTAAAATCGCTTAATTTTTTGAAAAACTCGTTCTCGGCGGCCACTGCTCAAATCGACCAGATTCTTTCACCATCTGGTAGAACAACACTTGCCCTTAAAAACCTATGAAGTCGCAATTGCTGACATCTTCAACCACCAGATTTATTACAGTGTAAATTTCGCATAATTTTCGCTACTTTGTCATTCGAAATACTGGTTCTCTGCGGTTACTGCTTAGATTGACCTACTACATGGATATATGCTCTCAATACTTTCTTTTGGTTCCTTTTGCTCATTTTCCTTCTTTTAACCTTCAGCAAAAATTTTTTCAAACCCAAAAGTGAAGGTGGTCATCCGTATCAGCTCAAAAGTGAAGGTAGGCGGAGACTCGGCTCCAACTATCGCACATCTGATTGGAAATGAGGATCCATTAAAATGAGCTTGTTAGGATGGTTCTAAAAAAGATGCTCACAGTGGAATGTTGGAATGTTTGCACAATTTTTCGGTTTTTGAAGTCTCAAAAAAACCATGATTTCATTTCGTGAATTTTCTCTCAAAAAACCATGATTTTATCTCCTAAAAACGGTTTTAATCTCCACTTTAAAAGCTTTCACACAAGTAGGAAACGATTTCTTAATATTCTCTCCCCCCCCCCCCCCAACTCCCACCTCCCCCACGCTTCTTCACAATCCTCAAAAACTTTTACTGACGGCGCAATCTGCCTCGTTCGCCAAGTGCGCGGCTGAGCAAACCGACGCGCAGTGTCTTCATCTTCATGATTCTCCTTTACATTTTACTTTCATTTGTCATAGTCGATGGGTGCAAAAAATACTGACCAAGAACAGGTTTCGCAGGTTTCGTGCCTCCAGCATCTTCGATCATAAGCATACTGAAATGAGTCATAAGCTGTAAACCAATTGTTCCATAAATTGTCCTCACTAAGCGTTTTTAAGATTGTTATTCATTTATTAGCACAAATAAACCAGTGGACATGATCGTCTTGTGAGTCGCCTCTGTCGAGGGTGGAAAGCAAAAATTGTGAGCCTTATACAGAGTGTCCCAAAAAGATGTGCACACTGTTTGATCGTTAATAACTCTCTTGCTTCCGTATCTTTCGCCGAGCTTGAGGTAATTCTGTAAAGCGAGGATAAACCTAAATTTACAGTATGGAGCCAATCACAAATCACTCTTGATTAATGTAGGATTACGGTGTGAACTTTCAGCACACATCGTCACTGTAGAATAATACGCCTTTTGATGAAATGATTTCAAAAAAATCTGAAGATTTGTGTAGGAAGGTTTTCAGGCGTGCTGATTTCACTACATAACTTTCCACCAGTTTTTCGAACTTCTTTGATGGCGTATTCACATTTCTGAAGAACATTGGAAAATCAGTTGTTACCCTAAATCTGAAATAAAATCATGAAAGAAACAACGTCCTGACGTGCAGTTTTCATATTTAGAATCAGCAACTTTAGTTAGGCTAGTACAAGAGTTTTTGGCTTGTTTGGCTTTTTTCTAAGGCAAAATACCCCTTTTAATGGCTCAGAATCCTCTTCGAAGTTCCTACCGTAATCCTAGAGTAACGAAGAGCGGCTGATAATTCGCTCGATACTGTAAATCTAAGTTGAACATCGCTCGAGAGAATGGTACCTTATCGGCAAAAGACATGAAAGCAAGGGAGTTATTAACAATCAAACAGTGTGCACATCTTTTTGGAACACCCTGTCTATTTGGTAAGTTAAGCACTGAGATTAGAATCTGCATTCATGAAGCCGGGCTGCACAATATAATAAGAGTTGTCAAAATCTCGCCCCAAATCCAAGCGGTGCATGGTAGTAATAGAAAATACGATTTATTGTTTCAAAATAGACTGCATCATATGCAATTCGAACAAATCTGCATGCGTCTCGGTGCCTTGTACTTATTAATTGTTACAGTCTTTCCAGCGCTCTGATAAAGCAATGTTAAGCATTGGCATATTAGATAAAATGTATCTATTGCATGAACTGCTCTGATACTCAACACAAGACCATTTTAGCAAATCTGGGCGATTTCGCTCCAGTTTTGCGTTCAATTTCTTGACCCAAAAACGCCCATAATTCGGCGTCCAGAAGCGCTTGGCAGATAGTGAAGGCAGATTTGGAATCACCACTGTGCAATACCCTCTAATGAAATATGGGTCCCATTTGGAAAGGCCACTTCGACTATACACGCTTCCCTTGTTAGTTTATTTTCGCACTCTATATTAACGAGGTCCAGGCTATCATGTACTTCCTCGTACAGCTCTGCCATCGACAGGGTTCGCTTTTCTCCCCGTTCATTGATCACCTCGTTATCTGTACTTGGCTGGGTTCTGTGTTCCTCCTCTTTCTTCATCATGCCCCAATCTTTCTACAGCAAACACTCTTTTAATTGTAGGATTCGATCGAACGCTACAAGCGATCAACGTGAAACTTGAACACACACAGCAATGCACCGAGTAGCCTTACCAAACTTCCTTGAAGTATGGTTCTACGATGCTATGCACTGCCGTAGCTCTTGCAGTTCGTATAAGCGGCCTAAGGCGCGCTCATATAGTCAACGCTAATCGACCAATAGATCGATAGCTTACGAGGGGATAAATCCGCCGCCTCGAAATCAATAATGGGAACAGTGGTGCCCCGATCTATCAGTCTGAACGCGATCTTATGCGGCATTGAATCGCTGCTCTTAATTGATTTTAGAGGTACTTGACGGTCGAAGATTAATCAATTTTGGAGGTCGTTGACGCTCCAAAGTTCAGCTTCTCTGGAAGGTCTTCGACACTTCCACAGTTGTCGGTGTCAAGTCGACGTTTCAGGCCCCCAAGTGGCGGTAGGACGGTCCAGACCGCAGGTTCCACTGAATTAGCAGAAACAACTGGTAAAAATATAATGGTTCATCAGATGACAAACCACAAGAAGAAGCTGATATGCAAACACAGAGAATATGAATAGCTAGATTATGAGATACAGGAGAGCTAACACAGAACAGTGAATATTGGTGAAACTGTTCAGAAACGAACTAGACTTCTTAGAACCGACACACAGATATGGTGCTTCGTACTTCCCATGGTTTTGGTTCTTAATAGTGTGACAAAAAACCTAGCCGGCTGCTACAAGTAGGAATTAAAAATTGACAATCAAGGAAGAAACGGATCCCCGGAGCATCGAGCTATAAAGCGGATGCTACTGAATGGGAATTCTTACCCGAACGGGCGGTTGATACATACCTCCCCTAATGGCGTAATACACGATGTGCGCTTAGCCGCGTAGACACTCGCAATCTCTGGATTCCGTGCAAATGCTCGCGTGTTCGTACAACAGTCTTCTCGTTTCTCCAATATATTCTTCTCCACTCAGTTTACGAGATACTAACGAGGGAAGCTACCTAACTTAGCTCGCGCTTTCTGAATAAGACACATATATTTGGAATCAGCCTGGAACGCTGATGCCAAATATGCTGTTCCCATGTGCCACGCATCATTCGGAACGGAGTTAGGAGGACTCTTTCCGTATGACTCCTCCACCGGCAAGTCTATGGGAAACTCGACAATGACTCACAGAGGTCGTGTGGTAAAGTGGTAAGTGTGTCGCTTTGTACGCTGAGGGTCCGGAGTTCAAGTCCTGTTGGCGCTCTTCGCCCTCGCAAGCCCTCGAAAGTGTTCATTAGTCAGCCCAAAAGTAATTCACGATTAGATTGAGGCGCACCAGCTTCAGCATAAAGATTAAATCCAAAAAGACATTAAAAAAACACAGACCATAAGTTTTACCATAAAATTCCACAATAATCGTCTCCGGACCATACAGGATCTTCTTCATCCTCCTCCCTCATCCAGACTGACTAATGAACACTTTCGAGAGCTTGCAAAACGAAAAACGTCCAACAGGACTCGAACCCCAGACACTCAGCGTAAAAAGCGAACTCACCACTTTACCACACGTCCCTTTTGGCCATTGTCGAGTTTTCCCTAGATTTGCCGGTGGAGGAGTCACACGGAAAGAGGTCCTCGTAACTCCGTGCCGAATGATGCGTGGCACCTGGGAACAGCATATTTGGCATCAGCGTTTCAGGCTGATTTCAATATGTGTCTTATTCAGAAAGCGCGAGCTAAGTTAGATAGCTTTCCCCTTAAGTACAAGGCACCGACGCATGCAGTCTCCCGAATTGTTCGAATTGCATATGGTGCAGTCTATTTCAAAACAAACTGAATCGTATTTTCTATTACCCACCATGCACCGCTTGAGATTTGGGGCGAAATTTTGGCAACTCTTATTGGCCCGTAGTAAAGCTCGGTCAGGGGAGATGATCTCCCCTGAGACCTTCATATGAGGCTTTGTCGGGTGAGATGAGAACTGCCCACCTTTCCGTGGTATAAGTATGCAAGGTCACCTTACAGGTGAGCTTTAGATGAAGCCCGGCAGGGAGTTCAGCTCCCGATCGAGATGAGCGGGGCGACGAGATAAGGTAAATACTGTGCTAAGGGGGAGAGCACAGAGAAAACCTCCGTAAGTTGCTCCCGAGTAACTTATGAAACATCGCAGCTGATGTTCTTTTGCGGTGCAAACTCCCAAAACTGCACAATTTCGGGCGCCTAAGTGAGTGAGTATCGATGAACAGCTGATTGCGCGACGAAGTCGGAAGATTTTTTTGCATTTTTTCTGGTGTTTTTGCTTGTTTTTCTTAAAGAACCGCTTCAAATAACAAAAATGTAAATTTACCTTTCTATTCATTTTTCGCCAAGTGTAATTTTCCTCGTATGAGTGCCAAAACAATGTGTATTTGTTTTATCTCGTTGTTTGCTAGGTGAAATCTCTGATAGTAGCTATCATCGATTTTTCGATAACGGCGACTATCAAAGGTCGCCAAGCAGTAGCAAAAATTGTGCCGCTAACCGCTCTCGAACCACGACTCTGCCGCTTGAAACGCATTGGTCTTATCCATTCGACTAGTAACGCACAAAAGGCAGAAAAGTTCAAACGTTGAAAACGCGATCGTCCAGTAAGTGATCTGCTAGAAATCAATCGCTCCCCTGGCAGTGTGCTGAGGCGCGATGAGATCAACTCCGGTCCGCCTCAAGAGAGATGTTCTGATGGGGGTTTACTACGGGCCATTATATTGTGCAGCCCGGCTTCATGAATGCAGATTCTAATCTCAGTGCTTAACTTATTAAATACACAGGGTGTCCCAAAAAATGTGCACACTGTTTGATCGTTAATAACTCTCTTGCTTTCATGTCTTTTGCCAAGCTTGAGGTACCATTCTGTAGAGCGAGGTTCAACTTAAATTTACAGAATCGAGCGAATCATCAGCCCTCTTCGTTACTCTAGGATTACGATAGGAACTTCGAGGAGTATTTTGACGCGTTGCACGAGAAGTTATGAGCGTTTATTGGAGAAAAAATCGAGTGTGCAAATGATACAGAAACAGTAGTAACATTTTTCGCGCTTAAATGGACCAGTGACAATATTTTTAACACTCTATAATATGAATACTCTTAGAGATATATCTGCACCCCGGCTGTTGCGTTCGGCGGCGTAGCAGGAGGTACCAAAGGCCCTGCCGCCATATCCGCAGGAGGCAATTAAGAGCGCAAGCACTGTGGGCAGGATTTGGCAAGGATCCAAAACAACTTAGCAAAGAAACATGAAGGAGACCATATGAAAACGCATTTCATAACTCTGCTTGGGAAAAAGCACGAGAAATACAAGTAAAAGTTTTGAAATCCACTTTTCATGGCTTCTCTTAATGAAATAGTCATTCGAGAAACTCGCCATAGAGAATTTTCACTATTCAAGTTGGAAAATAGAGGGAAAGGTAAACTTAAAGTCAGCAGCCCAAGATGAAACCTTGAATTGATAAATTAAA